GACGTCCAAGGTGACCACGCCTCTCTGATCCGCGAAATCGGTGCTGTAGGCATCGTCCTCGTCAAGAATACCAACAACGCCCTCCCCTTCACCAATTCCACCCGCTTCCTCAGCGTTTACGGCTACGACGCCACTCTCCCACCTTCACCCTGGAACAACCCATCTCGCTACGGCGGCGGTTACGAGGTGAACTTTGGCTGGAACACTTTTAACGGCACGTTGGTTACCGGTGGCGGTTCCGGGGGTAGCACGCCTCCGTACGTGGTGAGCCCTATTCAGGCAATTCAGGAACGAATTTCCCGGGATCGCGGAACACTCAGGTGGGATTTCTGGTCCGAGAATCCTACGCCCGCGTATGTGAACAGTGATGCATGCCTCGTGTTCATCAACGCATATGCATCAGAGAGCTTCGATCGCGAGACCCTCCAGGATGAATTCAGCGACAACCTCGTCAACAACGTCGCCAGCAACTGCACCAACACCATCGTCGTGATCCACTCAGCTGGTACTTTTCCCACTCTTCCTCCTCACAAAAATTAACACTAACCAATTTCACGTCTAGGAATCCGCACAGTAGACACCTGGATAAACAACCCCAACATAACAGCCGTCCTCTTCGCCGGTCTCCCCGGCCAAGAAAGCGGCCACTCCCTAACCGACGTCCTCTACGGCGAAACCTCACCCTCCGGCCGCCTGCCCTACACAATCGCCAAGAACGAGTCTGACTACGGCCACCTGCTCAACTCGACTATCTCCTTCGACGCGTTTCCGCAGGTTAACTTCACGGAGGGGCTGTATATTGATTATCGATATTTCGATAAGGAGGAGATCGAGCCGAGGTTTGAGTTTGGGTTCGGGCTTACGTATTCGTCATTTGGGTATGGGGGATTGAGGGTTACGGCGAATAATGGGAGTAGTAGTACGGCTGAGCTGCCAGATCCTGATATTGCTATTGTGCAGGGTGGTCATCCGCAGCTGTGGGATGAGTTGTACACTATAACAGCGTCTATCACGAACACAGGCAACGTGACGGCCTCTGAAGTCCCGCAGTTATACGTCTCCATTCCCAACGCTCCCGTTCGACAGTTGAGGGGGTTCGAGAAGGTTCCTTTGAAAGCCGGGCAGACGAAGGCTGTTAGGTTTCCGTTGACGAGAAGGGATTTGAGTATTTGGGATGTTGGGTTGCAGCAGTGGAGGTTGCAGAGGGCTGAGTATGGGGTTTTTGTGGGGGCTAGTAGTCGGGATTTGAGGTTGGAAGGGTCGGTTAGAATTCAGTGATGTGCCAGACTCTTGAGTTAGTGGTAGTCAAAATGAGATGGGCATGTCAAAATGTATATAGTCAGGTATCAAATTATTTGTCTATCTCTGTATGCTATGCATGCATTTCATGACCAAAGATAAATAAAATAATATGTATAACACAGCTCTGTCCTCCCAGGGTATCAAAGCCCAACTCGAACAATTATTTATATCCAACAATGCCAGGCAAGTCATATACGGAACAACTTGGTGCATATTAGGATGCATGCTGTGTTTCAGTGGCATCCTTCACTTCGTTTGCGTGAGAGTTCCCTGTTGGTTCCTGCAACGGTGTCGCAGATGGCGTTTTCTCAGCGGGTTCCTGTTTCGACGACTCCGACGAAGGACCATTCGTATGCTCAGCCTCAGCCTCAGTCGTAGTCGTCTTCGTCTCCTTCTTTCCATTCTCCGCAGAATCAGCACTCAACGTATCAACCGTCGTCGACTTCTCAAGATCCTCGCCCAAAATCGGGGCTTCCCTGGACAAAGGTGATTTTGGATACGTCGTCTCTCCCTCGCTACTCTCATTACTCTCATCTTTTCGACTAGGCGAGAGGCTGGATTCGCCGCTATCCCGTCGCAACAGGACATTGCTCCATCGCTTTCGTCGACTCCCACTGCGAGAGAGGGTGCTGGCTGAGTCTTCGCTGTAGCGTGGCATGGAGCGGGTGCGGCCGCGGTCGGCTTCGGGGGTGACTTCTGAGATGCTGCCTAGTGTTGGTGTGGAGGGGGATGTGATAGCAGCGGTAGTAGGGGAAGACGGAGACGGGGAGGACGGGGCCGAGGCCTTCTTTTCCTGCCATTCTTTCTTCTTCTCGCTGGCCCAGCTTCCCCAGGAGCTAAAGTAAGAACCTGCTTTCTGGCCCGCGGCGCTGACGGATGCTTGCGCCTGAGCGACATCAACGGTGGGAGCTTTGCGGTTCGCGAACCAGGATGTAGATCCCGTGCCGGTGCTTGATGTTATTGAGGCTGTGTCTGAGGTGTTTAGCGGCGGGGAGTTAATTCGTTCCAGGGAGGAGCGTTGCGATTGGGAGGATTTTTCTTTTTCCTCGTTTTTTTTCCGCTGTGCTTCGCGCATTGTGTCGATGTCGGACCAGAAGCTGTTGAAGACGGCGCTGACTTTCTTTTGACCCGTGGAGAGGTGTCGGTTTATTGCTTCCCTGCCTTCGCGGACGCGGTCGTCGAGGTGGAGTTCTGCGACTTGTTGGGAGAGTCGTCGTTGAACGTCTTCGATTGTGAGACCGCCAGCGCAGGGATGGCGGGGTTCGACAATTGAGAAGAGGAGCGCGTCGGAGGTGAGCCGCTTGAAGAGAGCGTAGTTGGGTGTTGTTTGCCATTGTGCGAGGAATTCTGCGTTGAATTCTAGGGCTGGGTCTCCTTCGATGTTGAATGCTTCCAGCTGCTCCTTGCTCTTGTGCCCTATTTCGCCTGCGTTGAACGAGTTGAGATCTTCGTGGTACTTCATGCAGGAGAGTAGTGCAAGCAGGTATTCTTCGAATTGCAGTCGGATAAACTCTTCTGACCCCATGTAGCCATGAGTTTTGGGTCGTTGCGGGTGAGCATCGTCCCAGGTTTCGTTGATGACTTGTGTCAGGAAATCGATCCAGCGCCTGTCAGCTGCGGAGAGGGTGAGTGCGTTCCGGAAGGAAGGAGATAGAATATTAACAGTATCTTCATCAAGCTGGTGACCTGTTAGCGACAATCGAGAACATGCGCAGGAATATCTTTACATTAATTAGAATATCACTGTAACGATCCTTCTGTTGTAAAAGAAGTGAATTTGTAGACCCAACCACGTAGGACTTGGTACCGGAATCCGCCAGCAGATCCAGCTGCTGGAGCGGTGTATAAGGACCGAACATGCTGCCCTGTGAAAGTTAGATCAGTCCTCAAAACTTGAGCAAAGAGAACGTACCTTTCCAAATATCTGCAGAGGCAAACCTGTATATGCTAGCACTGACGGAATTAGCGACCAGATTAAAAGGACAACGATATGCGATTTGCCATACTAGAGCCTCTCTCGCTGGTCTTCAGTGTCGTTGGCTTTTCAGCAGTCTGTGTGTAGTTGTCGAATGCCGGGTCCGCGCAGTCTTCGAGATGATTCAAGAGGCCGGGTATCAGGGAGATCAGGGAGAATTGAATCATGCATAGACGCTCACAACGCGAACCGAAGAAGAGCATCTGCGGGAGTCAGTTTGGGTTTGCCATGCTAGATTTGAGGACATACCTTTGGTTGCAGAAGCAGAGCCTTGAACAAGACCAAAGTTTGATATTTGAATTCGTGGATCATCTCTCGCATCGAGAGCCCTAGTATGGTCAACAATGATTCAACTCAATGCTACTGTCCAAACTCACCAAGGTTCTGATCGTTCTTCGCTTCATCACTTTTGAGGCTAATAACGAGGCCCTCGCGGAATTTCTGTAGACCTGGTCAGAAAGCATTCGATGGGTATACCCCAGGCCCAATAAGCACCCACCCTCAAAATATCAACATCCGAGAAGTTCCTATAGGAACCCAGGTCAGCCCTTGTTCCCAGCCAAGCCCATTTCTCCCATGAGCCCTTCTCATCAGGAACATACCGCTGCGCAAACCACGCTGACGTCACAACCGACAATTTCTCCCTCAACTGCCCAACCCTCTGCGGACTATCCGTAACGACCACGACAGCCTTTTGCACCGTCGACCTCGTCACATCGGGGGGTCTGTAGAGGAGGGTATTCGCGTCTATCTGTCTGGAGCAAGCGATACCGAAGAGCGAGGTTGCGGGTTCGGTGGGTGTCTCGACACGACGGAGGGTGAAGTAGGAGAATTCTTCGGTTGATCTGGATGTTTAGAAGGGGATGTGTCAATTGGGTTGCGCTTTGTCTTGGGCTGTGCTGGGGTATAGGGAATAGGGGGATAATAGATGAATCGTACGCATGCGCTCCGTCGGATAATGCCATGAACGGCAGTAAAGACCAGTCATTCTCTGTCGCGGGATCGGTTCCCTCATCTCCAACACATAATTCAATCTCAGGACCCCTGCGATAATGACAAGACCGTAGAAATTAGCCGATCTGTTCTGTTCCTGACTGCCCAGTGTAATGCGCGGGGCATCCCCACGGCGCAATGAACAGTCTTATTTCTTGCGCCTCGTTATTCCTCCCTGCTAACAGCCATACTCACCTAGCATGGTGAAAATCAATGACCATCACAATAGGGTCCTGGCGACTCTGCTGAACACGAGACATGGCGATGGATCGTCATGCAAATCCTAAGGCGTTGCGTTTGCGTCTCAAAACCGGAGGAATAATCGACAAATAAATGACACGTTCTGAGCTGATCTAACAATAATAATTATCGCCCCGGGAGCAGAGCCCCCATATCGACAGAATATGAAAATAGAAAATAGAAAATAGAATAAAATAGTTCGCGTCGAATGGAATCGCTATTATCGATGATGGGGTCCCAGAATCAGGGGAACGGAGAAATGGCCCCCTCCTTGCGGGCGGTGGCCGAGTCGGCGTCTCTTAGCGACACTTCTATGGACTGGGTACAGTTGCTATTTCAAACATCTCTTCATGATTGGTATAGATTGTTCACTTTACAAGCAAGTTATCATTCGTGGTTCCGTGAATCGTATCAAGAATCATATCCAAGCTCATGCCCCGGAATATCCAGGTACAGCCAAAATAAGACAAAGCAAAATGTGTCAAAAATGAAAAAAAAAAAAAAAAAAAAGAATAATAATAATAGTAAAAAAAAAGAGATAAACATGAGGGTAAAAGAACAAAATGGAATTTATCGTGTACAGGCGTCACTCAAACATTCATAATCACAAATCAAAATCCCATCTCCATATGTCCATCATCCCGGTGACGCCACTGTAAAGAGGAAATGGATATAGAAGGGGTAAGTAAACGAAAAATCTGTCTATTCTGGATCCCACGCGCCAATGTGCGATATTATTATTTTCTTAACTTGCCTTAGGCGGCGAATGCCTGCTGGCCATCCCCGACGCCTTCCACAAGGACGTGCCCAGCATCCTCGCTTTGGTCGATGTTGTGGAAGTCGAGAATCTCCGAGTACCTGGAGCAATTCAGTTAGCAAACCGCAAGGGCTTTGGTATACGAATGACATACATCATGATCTTCCAGGTGTCCACCGGCAGATCCGCATCGTTGAACGACCAGTCGAATTTCTCTTGTGCCTCGGGCTCGTCGGTGGGATCGTGGTAGGGAGCAAGGTACTCGTGCGCCAAAGCCTCACCGGCGCGGATTCGCTTCTTGGGGTCAAAGACCAGCATTCGTTCCAAAAGGTCCACCGCTGTGTGTTGTCAGCGCATAAATTCACTGGATCTTTATGAAGATTTTACGTACCCTCAGGGTCCGCATTCTTGAACCTGTTGGTCAGTGGTTGCCGTTCCCGCTTAGGGAGCGACTTGACAAATCGCAATGTCTGGAAAAGCGATAAATCAGCACTATCCGGGGGAAAGAACAAGAAATCGGTAGCGTACGTTTTCACTGCAGATGGTCTCGATCACGTCGTCTGGCGGCGTACCCAGTAATTCGGTGATAATGGAGAATTGGTTGACATGGTCCTTGCCAGGGAACAGCGGCTTCCCGTCGAGCATCTCGGCAAAAATACACCCTGCACTCCAGATGTCGACCTCCACATCATACTTTTGCCATGTAAGCATAATCTCCGGGGCGCGATAGTATCTCGTCGACACATAGCCGGTCATCTGCGGGTCTTGAATCCGGGCCAAACCAAAATCGCAAATCTTCAGGTCGCAGTTTTCGTTGATCAGGATATTGCTCGGTTTGAGATCACGATGCACGACACCGGCCGAGTGGACATATTTCAGACCCCGCTATAACAAAAACCGGTGGTCAGCTTTTTCATGACCAAATATAACCGTGTAGAAGAGTTATCGAAGAAGCCGGCATACCAAGATCTGGTAAAGGAAATATTGGATGAATTGCTTCTCTAATGGTCGGGAAGTTAAGAGTCTGTGAAGGTCGGTGCCCAGGAGTTCGGTGACAAAGTAACTGTAACGATGAAAGTCAGCTACCGCGGATTCCGGGAGGATTCGGTTGGTTGGGTTGGTTTGCGGGCAATAATCAGCACACGTACATATCCTCGAGCGGGGAAATGAAAATGTCGCTCAGGCAGATAATCTTGTTTGTCGTCAGTATTGCGCATAGTAATGTGAATCACCAGATTCGGGACCAACGCACGTTCTCATGGCGCAAATGTTTCAAGAGCTTGAGCTCGCGATATGTTCTCTTGGACAGGACGGGTGTGCTGAAAGGCTTCATAATTTTCTTGACGGCGACGGGCGCTCCGGTCAATTGATCTCTTGCGGCACTATAAATTGCCCTATCGTGTTAATCTTCCGTAATCGTTTGGATAGAGTATAATGCCAGGTTTTGCATTTGCGACTTGGCAGGATCGAAATCCATCCGTGAAAGAGGGGGGACCTACCAGACAAGACCAAAGGCACCCATTCCCACCGGTTGCAGCTCCGTGTACCTGGAAAACGATCAGTCGCCATTCTCAAACTGATCCCTAGACCTCCTCTCCTGGGAAATCTGCGCAAAAGCGTACCGGCTGGTGATTTCGAAGGTGGTGCCGAAAATCGTGGCACGCACGAATTCCGCCATTTTGGAGGACCGCGAGGCTGCTCTTTTTTTTTTTTTTTTTTTTTTTTTTTTTTTTTTTTTTTTTTTTTTTTTTTTTTTCTTTTTCTTTTTCTTTTTCTTTTTCTTTTTCTGGTTGTTGATAAATCGGTTCTTATTTCTGCTCCCTTCTTTTCTTTACAGAGAAAAGAACAGGAGGAAGTAGTAGTCGAGAAGAGGGCGGATACAGTGAACGAATGGTAGATAAGGGGTGGTGGTGGTGAGGAGGAATGGAAGAGGGAAGGGAGAGGACCGGAGGCGGTAGCAGGAGTACTTTTATTTTGGTGGTGGTTTCCTGAGGGGTCCCAACTATAAGGAAGATCTTGAAAATGACGCAAGAGAGGAAGAACGAAGGTAATTAAAGGAGAAAGAGAAAGGAATATCGATGGGAATACAGGGTGAGGACAATAGAGAACCAAAAAAAATAAAAGAGAGAGAAAAGGAAAAGAAAAGAAGGACAGACAGTAGTAGTGTGTAGGGAAAGAAGTGGCGTTGATTTCTTGCGGCCAATGGTGTGGGGAAATCTTCACCACTTATTCGGGACTACAACTCACTCTGTGGAAAGTGTATGTATCTACGACAAGGTACAAAAAAAGGAAATGGCATGACGTGAACAAAATGGACAGGCAAATAACATTGGTTGGAACACGCTTCCCATAATTATTATTCCCTTTCCCAAACCTGGGAATTTCCGGACCCATATCCTGCTGAATCAGCGACGACGTAATAACTAACTAACTAGAGGCATGGCAGCCATGACATCAATCACTGCTACTATATATGTATACAGGACTTATTACTTGTACGGAGTGCTCTTGAACACTCGATAACATTTTAAGAGGTTCGACTATCCTTTCCCTGCCATTGGATAGTGGTGGTGGAGTCTATGCGTGTCTATTGTTGAGGTACTTGACCTTGACTACTTGTACACCCCTCATACTCGATGATGCCATGGAATTCCTTTCCAGAGTATACGAATCCGGAGTACAGAGTAGCATACCAACGGTATAAGAGTTGAGTCCATCTTGCTTTCTACAGAATACCCAAGGTGTGTTATTACTTTTGGTCATAGCTGTCCAATATATATCCTTCATCAAACTTTACTCAGGGTTCTATGGGGTCTCCAACCTCCGAGATACCGTCATAGTCAACAGTCCCTTGGTTATAAACCGTTGAATACGAAGTACCATACTTCCGTCGATTTCTCAATTGGCGATTTTAGTATTTTATTAGAAGAGAGCTTCTTGTCAATATCACATAGCAACACTGTAGTAGTAGCACTAACGTCACCAGTCTGGTAAGATACAGTAATACGGTATGGATCTACTACCAGTATATTAACGTGATCTTGGTCCCTGATGCTGATCGTTACCATCCTCTCTCGGACACTTGATTCGGTACTCTGTACTCCATAGAATCATATTATACAGAGTACTCTCATATATCGAGGTATTGGTTACTCTGCAGGTGCAGATGACTGCATGGTCTGTCTGCGAGGCTGAGGGTCTGGGGTATGTCGGTCTATTTATACCTGGGCGTGGGGGGCGGAGCACCACGTGATATACAAATTGATGATACGCCAAGCGTAATTATTGCCGGCGTAGTCAGAGTATTGATTAAAAGGCTCATAGGAGGTCAAGAGGAGAATAGATAGCAATGATATACATATGCCTGTTGTTAAATGTGTATGTGTATGTGTATGTGTATCTGTATACTAGCCGAACGGTATGATGCTTTCTCCACTTGACATGACGATGGGATCCTCGGCGAACATCTACCACCATACCTGTACTCTTCTCTATGAACTCGTCTAAAGTACTTATCCTCAATATACTAGCAAAGATACCGTGTTGTCCCATTGACCGACTCTTCATACCATCAGATTCATAAAATAACCGGTGCTTACCCGGTCTCATTTCCACCTCTCATATCTTTTTCCCCCGTCTGTCTGCAGCTCTTCTCTCCATCGTCTCTCTTTAGCGCACTCGATATACCTCACACCCCTCATTTTCTCCCACAAAAACAAATTAAACCAAAGATTCTGCATATTATACAGAAATTTCTTTCACCCGCAAAAGAACGACCTCGAGCATTGTACCCTGTCACGGGCCATTGCCTGCGCCGTCTTTTGCTTTGCCCTTTGTTGCCCGTCCGAAGCCCCGGAACTGTCCGCCGTCCTCACTCTTTTCTCTTTCGTGTTTTCCCCTCTCACTCATTTTCCCTTCTTTTTTTTTTTTTTTTTTAAAAAAAAAAAAAAAAAAATTATATATATATATATATATATATATATATTTCTCTGTATGTCTCACTCTTTTCCACCCATTCTGTGCTTATCCGCCTCTCCTGTATTTTTATTATTTTTTTCTTGTTCTGACTCGAACAAATTGCGCAGTCCTCGATCGCTCCCATATTCAGTCCCTTCCTCCACGCTCGATCGCCGCCGCCGGTTCCCGTCTCGCGCGCGCACCCGCAAGATTTAGCCGCTCTTCCCTTTTATATAGCCGACATCATCGGTTCTCGTCGCTTTGAGCTCTGAAAGCTGTCCGCAACGAGCTGAGGCTCTTATCCCCCTGTGTATAACCCGGCCAAGTCTTGGGGCTCTCTCCTGTCGCCGCCAGGTACTCCGATCCCCCGTCTTACCTGCAGCCAACGGCGCATTGGTCCGCGCCCCCCATCGGGGATCTCGTCACGATATATCACTTCAATCCGGGCAGTCCAGAAGAAAGAGCAAGGCTGTGTGGCGCTGTGTTGTGTGAATAACGAACAAAATGGGTTCCTGCTTCAGTACGGAAGCAACGGGGGAGATGACGGAACAGAAAAAGAGAAGCCAGATAATCGATCGGAGACTAGAGGAGGATTCGAGACAGTTACGGAGAGAATGCAAAATCTTACTACTTGGTTCGTTTCACATTATGGATCAACCCCAGAAACAATCCCATTTATCATGAGTCAACTAACCATGATATGCGCCCGTTACAGGATCCGGAGAAAGCGGCAAATCCACCATCGTCAAACAGATGAAGATCATCCATCAAAATGGCTATACCGTTGAAGAACTAGCTTTATATCGCTTGACCGTCTACAAGAACCTGCTCGAGTGCGCCAGATCCCTCATTGGTGCTTACGAACGTTACGACCTTGAACCCTCCAGTCCCAAAGTCCAAGAGTTCATCGAATTCCTGTCCGACTACAACATCGATCCCGATCCCAACACTCCCCTCGATTCGACTGTCGGGGACGCCATCACCTACCTATGGAGTGACCCGTGTACATCAACCGCACTCGAACATCAAAATGAATTTTACCTGATGGACTCTGCACCATAGTAAGCATCCCTGCGCGCACGCGCGCGCGCTTGCGCACTCAATCCTTCTTTGTCACTGAAGGGACATCTGCTGATACATTGCTGCTTATTAGTTTCTTTGAGGAGGCCAAACGGATAACTTCGCCAGACTATATCCCCAACGTCGACGATGTGCTTCGCGCGCGAACAAAGACCACCGGTATTTACGAGACTAGATTCACCATGGGCCAGCTGAGTATACAGTATGCGAAAACCATCTATCCCTTATTTATCTCCAAAAGACACATGGCTTACCTGTCGCATAGTATGTTTGACGTTGGTGGTCAGCGCAGTGAACGAAAGAAGTGGATCCACTGTTTTGAGAACGTCACCTCCATCATCTTTTGCGTGGCATTAAGTGAATATGACCAGGTGCTCTTGGAAGAAAGCAATCAGGTACGTTATGTGATAAGGGCCGGGGAATCGACTTGACAAGTCCTAACTTGCTGGCAGAACCGAATGATGGAAAGTTTAGTTCTCTTTGATTCGGTTGTCAACTCTCGGTGGTTTAAGCGAACTAGTATCGTCCTGTTCCTGAACAAAGTCGACTTGTTCCGCCAAAAGCTTCCTCGTTCGCCTTTGATCAATTACTTCCCCGACTATTCTGGCGGTAATGACGTGAATCGCGCGGCCAAGTATCTGCTCTGGCGGTTTAACCAGGTCAATAGAGCACACCTCAATCTCTATCCACAGTAAGTGTCCTGTTTCATGCGGTATGCGGTCCGTTGCATAATCTAACTTGTGGCTGCAGCTTAACGCAAGCAACCGATACGACAAATATTCGTCTGGTATTTGCAGCGGTCAAAGAAACTATACTGCAGAATGCCTTGAGGGATTCAGGTATTCTCTAGTTTTGCCAACTGTCTGGTGACTACTATCTAGCGTGATACAACTCCGCCAGTTGTCTCTCACCGACTCCCTTTTACCGTTCCTCTATCTTCCTTCTCCATCTATTTGCCTCTCTTCCCTCTCTTTTTTTTTTTTTTTTTCTTGTCTTCGAATTTGGCATTGGCGTTTGGGGCGCTATCTTTCCCACGGATCAACATTCCCGGCGCTGGATTGGGTCATCTTCATTGGATATCCGTGGTATGGTGTTTTTCATTATTCTCATTTATCCTTTCATTTCCGGGAGATTTACGACAATCGATACTGGGAGGCTATTCGATCTGCATTGGGTGAATATCTTTTCGTTTCTACTTTGGAGCTCGGGATTACTTCATGATTCTCTTTTTTCTTTTCTGATCTTCTACATCTAATTTCTATCTACGAAAAAGTTGTTGGCCTATGCAGCACAACTTGCATGTACCATGGGAGACGGCTTTCTGATATCCATACTCGTTTTATCGAGTTGTTTCGTTTTTTTTCTATCTTTTTGGGCTGTCTTTTCTTCTATATCATCTCTCAACGGGTTCCTGCGGTTCCTATGTGTTCTATGCAGTGTCAATGTCAATTTATTTATTCCAACTTAGTCTGGTATTATATGTCTGAATTGCTATACTATGTCATTATTTACAGAGGTATCCAGATCCCGTGGTTCATTGCGACTCTTATAGGTTTCTCTATCATAATTCAATAGATACTTGTAAACATTTTTACTTTATTGAAAGGTTAAAATATCCTGCGGCCATATCCATGCTTCACCGGAACTAAAACATAAAATGAAATATATTGCCAAATCAAACCTGTATACCTATAGATCTAGATCACCAAGTAATACAAAGAATATAACCATCATCCAACTCAAAACTCCAAGATAAAGAAAAGGGGATATCAAATATCAAACCCAAGCATCAGATTACTTCCAAGCCGTTGCTCTCTCTCTCTCTCTCTCTCTCTCTCTATGCTCTATAAAGGCAAGAGAACGAGGAAGAACAAGGACGAGAACAAAGAGGGGGTAATCACGCCAAACAAACAACCAACGAATAAACAACCAAAGCGAGAACTAAGAGCTCAACTCGGTAATACGTCGTTGAATGTCCGGAATGGTGCGGAGTTGAAGTTCCAGGTCATCTTTCTCACTGTTCGGTGATAGTAGTTAGCATGAGCCCGGTTCACCAAGATATATATGGAAAAAAGGAAGGGGACATACTCTTCAAGCTTCAATCTCCTCTCCCAATCCAACCCCGTAAACACATAACTGCCTTGCCCATCAAACTGCAGAATCTTCTTATGATACTTCCACAGACTCCGCCTATGCGACACAGTCATCAACGTGATTCCCAACTTCTTAGCAGTCTCGTACATAACACGCTCGATCTCCAGGGTCACAGAGGACGTGCACTCGTCCAGGATAGCGAACTTGGGTTTATGGTAGAAGAGGCGCGCCATGGCGATTCGTTGCTGGAGGCCTCCCGAGAGGACATCGCGCCATTCTTCCTCTGCGTCCCAGCCGCCAGGACGGTCGATGACGGAGGCGATTTCGACGATGGAGAGGACCTCAGCGAGGTCGTCGTCAGTCACGCCCTTGTGGTGCATTTCTCGCACGCCGTCCGGGTAGATGACTTGTTGGCGGAGGGTTCCGCGGGAGAGGTAGGGCCGTTGCGGGATGTAGAAGATCTCATCGAAGCGTGGCTTCTTGACGACGCCGCCATACACAGGCCACAGGCCGCCTAGGATGCGGAATAAGGAAGACTTGCCGCAGCCGTTGGGGCCGACGATGAGGAGATGGTCGCCTGGGTGGATGGCGAAGGAGAGTTTGCGGACGAGAACGTCGCCGTTGGGGGAGACGATGGGGACGTCTGTGAATTCGAGGGAGGGGCTTTCTTCGATGGTGCCACGGCCGGAAAGGACGGAGGCGTTTTCTTCGGTTGAGGCTGTTGAGACGAGTTTCTTTTCGAAGCGGCCGGCGAGGAGGTCGTCCATTACTTCTAGAAGGGATGAGACGCGGGAGGTGTGGCCAGCTAGTTCGGAGATTTCTTTGTAGGAGAACATTAGGCGGCCGAAGGCGTCGGATGCAGAGAGCAGCATTCGTCGGTTTGTGACGAAGCCTGTAAAACGTGTTAGAAATCGTCAATCTGCGAGATAGAAAATAATACTTACTTTCCGTCCGATCCCCAGCGGACTGGGTGATCTTCCCAGGGATCTTGAAGAACACAGGAACACTACAGAGCACCAAGCCCAGGGCACCCCAGAAGTACTTGATAACAAAGTCCTCCATGAAGCCATGGTACAACCGTCTCCGCAGGATGCGATTCACATGCTTGATCAAAGTGAAATAACCCTTGTCCAGGGTATCCTTCTCAGCCTCGTGGCCGTGGTAAAGCGCCACTTCCTCACTGTAATCAATGAGTCTGGTATGAAGGAATCGGAACTCTCCTTCCAGCATGGCTTCATCTGCGACGTATTTGCCAAACGGTGGTGTCAGGACACGCATGACGTTGGCTGATAGTTGCACCACCAAGCTCATGATAAAGAGACCCTCTGAACCTACACTCCTGGAGAGTGAAAAGGTATAGATGGCCATATCAAGAACCGGCTTGGCTAGGTTGCCATAGAGTTCTGCCAGGCTATCTGAGAATCTCGAGACGTCCACCGTGATCAACTGGTCGGGGTTCTTGACCCGGTCATCCAGCGCGGAGATCGCATAGAATGTCATGTTAGACAGGTATTTCTCGTGGATGTGGTCCGTCAGACGTTTCCGGTAGCTAAGGGCAAGTTTGCATTGGTGATAGGAAAGCTAGACAGTCAGCGCATGCATACTTCCTTGACTCTCTGGCACTCACCATCGAATTCGTAAATGTCGCGGGCACCGCAACAATCATCCACCACACAAGCCCCAACAAGAAATCTCTCCCCTTCCCACGCACCAAATTGCTAACCAACCTACCATCCAACTCGGCCACATACAAACTCAGCAAAGTCCGCAGAACCAAAAACACACTATGCCCCACAAGCAACCGCATCTCCTTAGTCCGCCAACCAGGAATCACAACCTTCAGCAACCGGAGCAAATTCCGAAAGAACTCCCGATTCACCCCAACCTTCTTGCGCGATCGGTCGCCGCCCCCGCTGCCCGTGGCGCCGCTGCCGAGACTACTGGTCCCTGGTCGTCGTCGCAGCTCCACCTGTTGCCGAGAGGCGGCTTTCTGCTCGGAAATGGCACCATGGATGCGCTTTGCTAGGGCGGCGAAGAGGGCTAGGTAGACGGTGCGAGTGATACGGGTGCGGTTGCGGAGGTAGAGTTTCGATAAGCTGGAGAGGAGATGCCGAATGGAGCGCTCCGGGGGGAGCAGTTTGGACTGCGCGGCCATTTTCTGTGTTCTGTTGGACTTGGAGATGGAAGAGTCCTAGCCAGAATCAAAGAGAGCGAGCATGACCATCACTATTGTTTAGGGATGGAGGGATGGAAAGAAGGAGGAATGAAGCTGGACAAAACACCGAAGATGCTCACGCGGACTGACATGTGAACGGGAGGGCCCGAGGAGTGTTTATCGGAATGGAGAGCTTACTAGAGATGTCCTGTAGTGGTGACGCCTGCACCATTTATTCGTATTATCTCATCTTCTCCAACCTCTTGCCTGTCTCTGTAACAAATATCACAATCCAAACCGTCTTCTGTCGCGGTTCTTTCTTGTCAATAACTAACTAACCCCATGTTATGACGTAAGCATCGCGGAGAAAATTACACGTGACTCAAATGCTGAATAAGCATTGAGTAAGCATTGTACCCTAGTTAACTAGGTCCTTTTGTGAAGCAAGGACATATTACCCTCGATACCAATCTTGAATAATCTAGAGTGGCGTACCCACAGCAGGTATGGCAAGGCATGCCCGTGTGGGGAGGAAGGTGCCCGAAGGGTCTGGTCAGGTATACTTCCTCTCCTCGCCCCCGGTTTACTCGCATACAAGTACCCCTGTAAGTATGGACCGGCTCGGCAGACCATCATTGGGATGAAACTTGAAATTTCGCGATCAATTCAGCTGTGCAGTCGACGTACGGATGCGGCTGAATGACTAACGGTGGATCTGAGGTGGCGCGGCTGACTTGTGGGCCGCTTCCCTGGCCAGATAGATACTTTGTACTGATCGTAGGAGATCCCATCGGAGGGCATATCGTTGAATGACTTGCTTGTAGGTGTCTGGTCGATGGCATCTTTCACTTTTGCATTGCATTTGAAGTCGATGCCCAACTGAAATTCATCGATCGAGAGCCGCCACTGACTCCAAGTAAATGTAGAGAAACCGGCAGGAGCGATTTGCGTGGCGTAGCTGAAAACTTGTGTACTCTGTACGGATATTTTTAGCTCTCTACGGAGTACATAGTTAGTCCTCATCTTCGCGGAACGAACTGCGAATATTCAACAGAGATCGATAGAGACACTAGGACGGCTGATGATTGATGAACAACTCCTAAAACAAGTAATAATTCTCCGAGCTGCATGTCATTGTTCAATTTGCTTTTTGTGTGGAAGTTGGGGCTGAACAATTTTCCTTCAGCTCTCTGTTGATCCCCACTTTTTGCAGAAGGATCTGCCTTGTCTCTATCACGCGAACCCTGAATAGAGGTTCGTAGTAGTGAGGATACAGTAACTCGGCTCATGAGCATCCTTCAAGCGTTTCTCGTTCGAATGGTTTCCACATACTAATCTCATCTCTCCCATACACAATAGCTAATATCAGTGGGTGTAGTATTTCGATCCGATTCGATATTCCTTTTCCGCGTCTGGCCTGGTTTCCAGTCCTGGCTAGTACTTCTTTTTTGATCGCCTTCCTCTAGTACAGAGTCTATACATCTGGGGCAGAATGGAGACCACCCTGGGCTTAAACAATGCTTCACTGGCAGTGGGCTCTCTGGGATTGTTCCTGGCTATTCTGACAACGCTTCCGGCTTTCAGGTCCATCGCTTGTCATCTCTGTTCCAGAACAGCGGTGGATGAGCCTGATGATTACCAAGTCACCGGTGCTTGTTATCGTGACCAGGATGGTGATACTACAGCGGAGTCACCTGCTGCCTTTCCCGATAAATGGCACCGGGTCGTGATATTCTTTCTGTCTTTCATCGGACTAAATGTCACTCTGTCTCTGGCAATTATAGAAACATCACATAACTACCATGGCTATATAATTGAGCCTTGGCTGTTGTTAGGCGTATGGGTAAGTCATCACATTAGCCTCCTATGTTCTAGATTTGTTTTCTCGGAAATGGCGAGGCAATCAATATAAGGTGTATGTTTATTGACACTTCTCAAGATTCTCCTCTCCTTCCAGACGGTTGCCGTTCTTTCCTTCGAGCCGTTTCCCGTGCGTCGGTTTTCCCTCGTGCATTTCATATTTTGGACTAGCATTTTCGCTTTCATCATCCCTTGGACGGAGATGTACCTTCTGTATTTCAATGAGACTCGACGATATCCATCCCGGGTGGTGATGTGGTTGTATACCGCTCAAAGTGCTGTCGCCACGCTCTGCATCGCAGTTTGCAGCCTACTACCGCGCCGGCCGGACGTGTACACAAACGGACAGATGGTCGACCGGGAATCAATGGTGTCTCTATTAGGGGCCATGTTAATGGCCCTGAAGCAATATACCAATACGAAGTTGAATATGAACTCCACAGAGCGTGCCATTGACTATTCCCGTATCCAGACAGAAGATCAAGGAGGACTGACACCTCCAGCTGCCTGGCCGACAAGTGGACGGTTGGAGATCGATGACCTCGTGGTAGGCTATGCACCCGATCTCCCGCCTGTGCTGGACGGCCTCACTTTTAGCGTCGTGAACGAGAGAGTTGGTGTTATCGGGCATACTGGGGCAGGGAAGTCGACACTCTCGCTGGCGTTATTTCGGTTCCTGGAAGCGAGACAGGGCAGTATTTATATTGATGGACTTGATATATCGAGAATAAAACTGCACGATCTGCGCAGCCGGCTAGCTATCATCCCCCAAGATCCGGTCCTATTCTCTGGGACGATCCGGTCGAATCTTGACCCGTTCGACCAGCACAGCGATGCTGAAATTCTCGACGCCCTGGAAAGAGTCCATCTGATCAAGCACGCCAAGGATTATTCCTCCGACTCCAGCTCCAACTCCAGCTACGTGACGACAGCAGATACTTTTGTAACGACACCAGAGACCTGGCCAGAACCAGACGACGGCGACAACGACACCACAAATATCTTCACATCCTTATCATCAACAATTTCAGAAGGCGGACTGAACTTTTCCCAGGGCCAGAGACAGCTTCTCTGCCTGGCGCGCGCAATCCTCTCACAGCCCAAGATCATGATCTTCGATGAGACGACGTCGGCCGTGGACATGGAGACCGACAAGTTAATACAGCGCTCCATTCGTGAGGAGCTTCCTCACATGTCTACGCTCTTGATGGCTACTCACCGGTTGAGCACTATTGCGGGTTTTGATAAGATTCTCGTTCTGGACGCTGGCAGGGCTGTTGATTTTGGGACACCGCGGGATTTGATGGAAGTTGAAGGAGGGATGTTTAGGAGCTTTGTGGAGCGAAGCTCGGAGAGGGAATTACTACATCAAATCATTTATGAGCGTTGAGGTTTGATATAAGTCGACATTGAGCCGGTATGGTTGTACATTACATATGTGACTCTTGAATACATAGTGAATCTTCGGAGTTGTTGAAGACTGTCCCTTGTCGGTATTTCTGAACACTCATACGTACTTGCGAGTATATCAATACATTACATCAAATTGCATTAAGCAATGTCCTCGGAAATGTAGATTGACCGTATGTACGTTTACCAAAAAAAAAAAAAAAAGACCAGCGAGACGATCAATGTTTATAAAGTGCCCGCCGGCGCCGCATCCATCGCATGACATCCGGTGACCCCAAAGATCGTCCAGAAGGTCGAGGCCGAAATCGCAACCCCTTTCGCAATTCCTCTGCATTGAACTCCCTAGTATGGATTAGCCGACCTCCACGACGTGGGTAGCCCACTCCTCGGTCTGTTGAGTTCTTGGGAGCCCAAACTGGACACAAATTCAACAACCCGTTGAGTTCTATATCCTCTTCTTCGGTGTCGATGTGCCATATTGCGTGCTGTGGCCGCTGGTAAACTATGCCCAAGATAGTGGATAGTCGAAGATCGGTGTCCATGATCCGTCCATCATGTGGATCTCCTCTAGGTCAAGTCTCTGGATTGTGGGATGCTTCTTGAGGAATGGCAGTAGTGACTTTTCGGTGAGGGTAAATCCTGCAAGCGAGAAGTCTTGCAGCAGTGGCGAGATGGTATTGTCAGCAATGGCTGTGAACAGTCGTGCACTCATGTCACTCGATTGATCTGTAGAACCACCACGGAGATGTAAATCAAGTCGGTGCAGAATCGGAGATACCTGAAACAGACTTGCGATTCCAGGCATCTCATCCTCAGATGCTGTTTGAGTTCCGCTGGCCTTGTCGGATTCTGGAGTTTTGCCTTTGTCTTGAGTCTCTTCTTTGTCAGTATCGTCTGAGTCAATGTCTTTCGCATCCGTTTCCTCCGGTTCTTTCTCATCCTTCATGGACATGCTCAGTTTCAGTGTCTCGATCGATGCTCCAATCACACGGAGGTCATCCCCACTGAAACTAGATATGTAGGAGGTAATATCCTCAATCGGGACATCGTATGCCAAAGAGCGGACTGTAGACAATCAATGACGGCCTCTTGCGATTCGGCATTTTGTATGTTCCTATGTGCCTTGACCCAGTCCAAATCAGCTTGGACTTCCGACAGCTCCTCAGGAGAGCACTCCTCCCGCTCAGATATCATGAACGCGCCATGGCTCTCTGTAATGGTCTTTCTTTTAGTTTTCAGGATCTTCTTGGCCTCCGAGGAGTCAAAGCAAGCCGCGCGGATGGTCAACGTGTGAACTTTTAATTTCAGCCTGGGGTGTAATGCTAGCGCCCGCAGCGACTTTAGACTATGCTCTGATAAGTCCGTGTCCGGCTGGCGAAGGAAGCTTAGGAAGTATGGGCCGATGGATCTTTCGCTGAACGTCCGATGAACTAGACGTAGGGCCTTGATGCTGCCAAGATCAAGGTAGGTGAGGATGATCTCAAAGATTTCTAACGGCAGTGTATTCCAGATCATGATGAACAATGAAGATGGTGTTTTTGAATGTGGTGAGTTGTAAAGATGAATAAAGATCATTCCTGTGCGGGTTGGGTCGAGGCTGATTCCGCCCCGATCATGCTCACACCAGGATCACCAAGATGGCACCCAATCTAAATCTATATATAACATGATCAGTAGCGGTAAATTAATTGCATCTCAGCTGGCTATAATTGTAGTACAGCGGACAGCAAGTGGACAATCCTCTAATGTGCGGGGAGGGGTTGAAGCACCCGCGAACCATATTTACAGAGTAGGTAAATATCCAACAACCACGACAAATCAAGAAAAGTGCTCTAAGCATATAACCTCGTCAACTCGGGCACTGTAGTGCCCAACGAAGTGAAACTACAGTGCCCTTTCCGCTCCACGTCCCTATCAAAATACGTCCCTATCAAAATGATCCATCACCCAAGCCGACGGCACAACTGTCTCCCCCACATCACCGGACCTAGGACAGCAGTTTCTGCCTCATCCTTAGGCGGATGGCAAGCAGCGCTTATAGCAGTGCTACAAGACCCCGCCAACGGCATAACGGATTTGAATCTTCGGAACGCCAACGCAACCAATAGACACAACATAACAGCCCCAACAAGAAGAGCCAAAAAAGATAGCTAGAAGCGAAAGGTTTATCGAGCTGAGCTTCCGTTTTATAATCCGGATGTTCTAGAGAGTTGTAAGGGATGATCTGGATACTTTGCGACACCAGCCAGTGGAGGATCATATGCTCCGACTACTGTGCCGTAATTGTTCGCGGACAAGGATTGAAAGATCATTGAGTTGTACCTAAGCTGCATTAGTGCAAATCTAAAGCCCTGGCCTCGCGAAACATACAATAAATGAAATAGTGTTGCCGTAATCAACAATACCACCCACAGTGCGAGCCGGTCTCGTCCAATGACAAAAAGGTTCCTGATACTCGCGCCCCCAATGTCGAGCCACCGGCCGATGAAATCAACGTTAGATATGGATCTGTCTCTCACCCACATGCCAGCTGGCGACGAATGCTTTTTCAACAACCTCCGACATCTGTCATTGGGGTTGTTGGCCAGGAAGACCATGAACAGGTGCCTGTCTTGCCAAATGACGAATATCTACGCCTTGGCGTCCTTTATGACTTTCGTGACATGGCCCATCGTTGTCAGACTGGGTTTATTCCTAGCTGAAGGTCGCAGAGCGCAAGAGTATTACATTATCGATAAGCAGCAAGCAGCAATTGACACCGCGCTGCAGCAGTGTGATATGGTGTTTGCCACTGGGCTTCGGTATAAGACGGACATAAACCCCGACGTCATGTTGGTGAAGCAACTCCTAAAAGCGTCGCCAGGTCATATGTCTGAAAATACAATAGGCCCAGGGCCAATTGGGAGCGATTTACAGTGTAGCTAGCTGCATCTAGAATTAGCCCACTCAGTTGATTGCAAGGCTTTCCATACAATTGCAAAAGAAATATCATCCACTCTACTTTGGCTGCTTTGTCCACCATTTTATAGTATTAGCCCCTCTCCCTCATCATCATGCATTCTTCCTCTTCTTTCTCGAGAAAATAACTTTCTTCAATTATGCTGAAAGGTCAATGGAAACTCTGATACTTGTCAGTTGTCCAACTCATTTCGACACAGAGCATGCATCAAGGCAGAGAAAGGCACAACACAGTGCCTTGCTTATATAGGTAAGCCATTTCATCCAACCAAAGTAGGAGACAGTCAGGTCTCTGATGCCATTATAAGATTACCAATGCTATCAGTCGCCATTTGAACAAAAATGAAAGATACCGCCAGCCAGTCATGCTTGCGCTTGAGCTGACGAAATACATTGGTTTGGTTAGATCGTACTTGCCGATAATAAAGATGCTTGAGCAATTGCTGCGGCAATCAATGCAAAGCGATGAAAGCAACACCAACACCGCTTCTGATGCCGTATTTCAGAGTACAATATATTGACCGCACTTTCGGGGTCCGTGAAGAATGAAACCTCTCCATACCCCAGATTCTCTGATCCCATTGCGAGGATACACTGGAAAACAGGGAGGAAATTCAAGGAGCTAATCAATACATCTATACATCCTATAAAATGACCAATGCGCATACTGACATATCCTACCTAGCCATAATCCACAGGGCCAAGAAAGAGGCCGGGAAAGACTGCAGAGTTTTTGGACTCGGGATAGATGGCCATGATTTTAACTTCATGGCAATTGATGAGAACTCCAAGGTACCTGTCTTTCATAGATTAGAAATCCTACGCATGCTAACGGTTTCTAGTACCACATGTTGTGGAAGAACTGGGTGGTCTATTCAGATCAGATCGACATCGTCGCATTGATCTCCAGAATATTCAAGCACACTTTACAACTGTCATGCTCTGCTATAAAAGACGAATCTGATGCGAGAGCCAGAAATGCCCAGAACTGGCAGGAGTCCGAGGACAGTGATTCAGAGTCGGATGACGACGACGGCGACGACGACGACGAATGCTTGACCACAAAAGATCACAACCCGCTTATGGATCTATTGTAGCAGTTTCTCGACATACCAGTGACAGAAGTCTCGTTTCCTCTTAATTTGGGCCAATCCAGAAAGTACCTGTTAGGGCAGCTTTGCCGGGTCGGGACTCATCATGATACCGGGCTGCGCCTAGATCTATAAGCTCTGGTCTACGCACTTTACTGGAAGTTAAATTCAAAGAAAAATTGAACAAGTTACTGGGATTCCATTCATTAGAGATCTTTAAGTAATTGAAATTTATTTTTTCCTATATTGTGATTTATCCATGTTGCATGATTAACTTGCAAGCTGACACAAATAACATTCACTATGCTTTGTTCAATAGTGCCTTGATTAGTCTCCCTCTCCCTCACCAGTGTCATATTCAACTTCTTCCTCTTTTTCCTCTCCAGGTTCAAGAATAATCTTCCTCCACTATGCTAAACGGCCAATAGGAACTCCAATATTTACCATTATCCAACTCTTTTCAATACAGAAGGCATGCTACAAGGCAGATGAAAACATGGCTCAGTTCCTACAGCTAGGTAATACATTCAACGGCAATGAAGAGTGATAGCAACTTGCAGCAGAACAACCTTCCTGTGTCAGGTCCACAACGGCCAATGGATACTGGAACATATTCCAATCTTCCATTCAGGTATCGGGAGAAACTGCGTCTTGCACGCTTGGTACAAGCTCGAGGCGAAAACTCAGTGAACACCACGAAACCGCACAGAATATCTTGGCTTGGTCGAATGTCGAGGAGAATGATTTTGCAGAAGCCACAGCTAGCGAAATGGCTGGAGAATTACGTCCCGTCAGAGCTCGACTCCAAGCGGCAATATTTCGAATTGACTTTCGAAAGTCCAGACCCAAAATTCTGGGATTTGCGCAAGATAGAAGAGGAAGCAAGCCAGTCGCGCTTAGTAAGTCCTACCTGACCCTTCCTACCATGAGCTTGAGCTGACGAACTACATTGTTTTGGCTAGATCGCATACTCGTCGATGTTACTAAAGATACGTGGGCAGGTCGATATGCCCTTAATAAATCAGAAAGCACATACGTGCGGCTTTTTTGCTGATTCTAGATGACTGCAAGATACTTCTCAATGGTCGTGGGGTGCTTCTCAACACCTCGACACCCTAATTTGTCTGATATTGTGGCCAAGGTGCATTGGCAATTCGAGAACAAACTCGAATAACGGCTTTTCACAAAAATGAGCTACGGTTAGTTAACGCTTACTGTGACTATTCCCTTTGGTACGCTTCTCCGGAAGGGGAGACAAACCTAGTGGTAGTGGAAGCCAAAGCACTGTTCAAATGGGCATGTGTTCTATACACCTTCCGAACCCAGTTATATTCCGCGCACACTAACGTGTCTTGACAATGATACGTGTCTGCCGGGTCTCCATCCTGGCGACAGACAGTTACGAATTCGTATTCGTTGCCATCGAAAACAAACAGGACCGTATGTATTCCTTCCTAAACAGGAACCCTAAGTTTCGAAGCTAATCATTTTAGTATTCCTGAATCACGAAATTCTGGATCTAAACAATGAAGAGGCTGCGGTGGTCGGTCTGATCACTACAAAGATCACTAGTTATGCTGTCTAATTACTACTTTTCGCGGTGACCTTCACCAGAACTTCGGGTGCAAGTGTAAGCAAAATCAGTGGATGCATGATCCAAAACATCGATATGCGGGATGATCCGTTTTGCAGTGAAGGAAAGCTGATGGTCGAGGACCTTGTCCTCAAAATATAACATGTGATTCAACCAATTATCCACGAATGATGACAAGTACTCATGCAAGTCGTGACAAGCATCAGAAATATGAAAAGCTAATTCTCCAGCATGCACGAGGGCAGATATGCAACGCTAAAGTTATTTCTTCAGCGAGCAAGGTTATCAAAATTCCAGGTGGATATTGTATGTCAAACTCCTTACTATGGCATGTTACGCTCCTCCATAAATTATTATTACTGTACCTAAATAATCATCAAATTAACCCTATCAAATCAATTCCTCGCAATATCCCTCCCACCCCACCAATTCAAAACCCAAGTCACACAAATCACAACCTTCCTCCTCCACGACCTCGTCCACAACAAATCCCCAGACCTCCAACTCAACCAAGCCCCATACCCACTATATTCCTTCTTCCCCGCAACAACCCCATCCCTCCTCCCCGTATACGTAACGAACTGCCTCTGCTGATACCGAAACGGCACACTGGGCTCAATATCCGGCGTCGAAAACGTGTTAAACTGGTGGATTAGATAGTCTGCTTTCTGCAGCGCGACCTCCGCAGTTGGCGGGAGACTCCCGCCGTCGATGTCTGCTGCGTCGCCTAGTGCGTAGGCATCGGTGTTGACTGTGCTGTCCTTTTTTAGCACGCGCAGGCGCGAGTCTGTTAGGATGCGGCGCATGCTGTGGGATGATTTGGAGACGTCGAGAGAGTCGACTAGGGGGGTGGATTTATCGCCTGTGGCCCAGACTAGGAGGCCGTAGCCTATGCGGCCTTCTTCTTTAGTTTCGATGAAGTCGGCGGTGACGTTCGTGATGTGCGAGTCGAACTTGATCCAGACGTTGTTGCGGTTCAGGGACTGGGTTGCGTATTCCTGCAGGTTTGCGTCGTAGGAGGAGAGGATCTTGTGGGAGACTGTGTGGACGGATACGCACATTTTGTCGTGAAGGTGTGGGTAGAGCTGGGCGTAGTCGTCTTGGAAGAGGTCTGTGAGTTCGGCTGCCATTTCGATACCCGTGGGGCCGCCGCCGACGATGATTACGTTTAGGAGCTGGCGTTGTCTGTCTTCGGAGATGGTTGGGATGGAGGCCATTTCGAACATTTCGCTGATGCGGTTGCGGATTAATTGTGCGTCTCTTACTTTTTTGAGGAAGTAGGTGTGTTCTGTGACGCCGGGGACGTTGAAGGTGTTATTCACTGTTCCCGGTGCGATGAGGACCTTGTCGTAACGGACATCAAACTCACGGTCTCTGCTCGCACTCATTGCTAGGTGGCTAAACGCCGGACGGCAGCGGAGCGTCTTCTCCTCAAAGTCAATGTGAGTCACGCAGGCCTTGATGTATTTTAAATCACGGCTTTTGCGCCGGATGGGCTCCTGGGCTAGTCGGAAGTCGAACAGACCGCAGGCAACGCTGGCAAGGAGCGGAGTCATGTTCGACGTTGTGTCGGGGGAGACCACAATGACGTAGTACTTGTTTAGGTCCAAGCCGTGGGCTAGTGCGTATCCAGCCCATCCTGTGCCAATGATGGCGACTCTTTCTTTGTGGTCGTGACAGTGGTGGTCCATTGTATGGTCTGAGAATTTGAGTGATTTGGTTGTGGTGGTTTTGTATGAACCCGAGTATGAGAGATGATGGTTTTGTATGAACCCGAGTATGAGAGATGATGTATGCATGATGGTCTCCCGGGGGAAGAGTTCCAGGGACATGGAACTATTTCTCCGTATATAAGTCATTCCGTACACTTTTCCTGTCTTCCAGGTTGGTAAGATCACACACACCGAAAAGATGCTGCTGAGCCTAGGTTGGTATCATTGAGGTATCTGGCAATGGCCAACACTATCCATCTAGTAAAGACCAAAACACCAAGCTAGTACGCATTCAAACAACCCAGGATATATGGTTACAAACATAAAGCAAGATCGTAAAGTTCATGAAATGCGATATATATGACGCTGCAGAAGAAATCGGACCCAGAAAGTATAAATGTAAACGGCTTTGCGTGTAATCACCCCGAGATATCCGATATACTCAAGAATAGATAGAGATACAGTAGATGGCGTAATCTTATGAAGACTTCTCTTCAGAATCCTGGCCCGCGGCATTGGCAGTGTCAGGCCGACTCCGTCTGCCACTGTTAATTTGGGCAGCAATCTGGCTCTGCTTGAACCGTTCGAACGCCTCCGAATCTTGTCTCTGGGTCGTCCAGAGGTCGTCCACGGTCGAACCCAGTTCCTCGAAAGTCTTATCCGAAAAACGAGAAGAACGCTCTTGTTCTTCATGCAGACGGTCCAGTTTGTCGCGCAACGCGGTGATATAAGCATCATCAAGACCCGAAGAATCATCATCATCATCATCATCATCCGCTTCTTGGTCGATGGACGGGCTGAGGAAGTCGCGGCGGAGGCCCTGGCCCAGTCGGTGGACATGGCCTTCTTCGGAGGTCATTGCACGGGAGTGGAGAGAGGTCATTGAGCTGGCGCGAGAGAGGCGGCCAATGGCATAATGCTCCGTATCTTCATCGTCGATGGCGTTTTCGTTGTCGATGTTATTCAGATTAAGCTGGCCTCCGCTATTGGTACCCGATCCATTGGCAGAGTCTCCAGAATGCTGAGAGCTGTTATCCGCGACAGCCCTAGGGACAGGCGGGAAGACCCGCGTTTCTGGATACTCATCCTCGAACCGCTGGATCATCCGATGGAGTGTAAAGTCGAGGAATTGCAAGCGTCTGTAGTTTGTTTCATTACCGGCCTTGTCTTCGCGAACAAGAGCCGACTGGATCCTGGTACGGATATTGCGGGCTGTCTCCAGCAAGTTCTTCGACATGTCTCGCGGCCTCTTAGTATTAGTGGCAAGAGACCTAGACTTCCTGTGCCGGGGTGTTGTAGTTCCACTGGGCGGTGCGGACTGGTCGCCAAGAGTATGATGGTCTCTCGCACCCAAGCATACTCCTAAAGCCTTTACCACTCCGGTACCACCAATAACGTAGTCTTCATCCGGAGCAAGGTCGTCATCTTCATCGTCACATTCGTCGCCAAAGCCATTGCCTACAATGTGCTGGAGAACTTCGGGAACTGGGACGTCGGCTCGATCAGCGACCGGCTCCGTAGGACTGGTGAGTTCCTCTGCAATGGCGCCTCGTTGGAGATTACGAAGGGAGTAGGCGACGATCTGGGATGCCAGGGCCTTCACGATTTCGTTATTTTCCGCGCTGGGGACTTCGATATCAACGGCGATGATTGTACGTGAAACCCGGACGGCAGCCATGAGGGATGCATAAACAGCGCATGCCTCCTCCTGACTGCGGGCATCGGTCGAAGAGGCAAGAGCAGTTATCGAGGGGTTTTCCAGGATGTTCAAATGGCACAGGCTTGGGCTATCAGGAAGAACTTCAGCGAGTGCGATGGCGTGGTCCGCGGAGAGATTGACATCCGCAAGGTGAATGCGCTTGAGAGAAGTCATTTTTGGGAGGAACCGTCTAAATATGGCCAGCGCGTCTGGCTGAGCAGAAAAAAGTCCCGGGTTATGAGAGAAGTCGACGAAACGCAGGTTCGACAAACGTGTCAGTCCTTGGAACAACGGATAAAGCACAGAAGGCGTCAGAGAGCAATCCGCCAAGCTCAGCGCATAAAGTGGATGGTCTTTCTCCATGGCGGGATTAAGCAAGTCGAGATGATCCTGGATAGGATTTCCACCAAGGTCAAGACCCTCGCATTTACCGGTCTTGACATACCGAACGACGTGTTCCAAACCCTCCTTCGTCAGGTTGTTGTTGGCAAATCCGAACCTCTTCAGGCCGACAGCAGTGGCGGCATCGCAGATTCTGCGCACATCGTCCGTAGCTGGCCGGCATTCACTGATCAACAATTCTTCGAGGTGATCGCCGCCGAAACGCTCCGCTAGGGATCTTGCGAATACGGTGGAGAGCTCTGTAGCCGCAGATACAGCCTCTCCAGGAACGGTTGCGGTAACGGATGCCTTGGGGAACGGGATACCCGACAGATCGATAGCCTTCAGGGACTTTGAAAGATGGATGAAGAGGCAGATGTGGCGCCATCCCTCTGGCCCAATTTTCGAGTTATCCTTCAGTGACAGCTTTTCCACAACACTAACTCTCTCTTCACTTGTGATTGTCTGTGGCTTGGCCTTGCCGGGTCGCCCTCGTCTATGCTTCATCTGTTCAACGGTCTTGGTTGAGAGAAGTGCTGAAAGGATGGCACGGGTCGAATCATCTGTCAAACCACAGTTCTCGAGTATTAGTTTACGGACGGGTACGACAGCTAGCCAGTCGCAGAACGTGGCAATGTCTTCCGTGGTCATCGGGAAGTCCTTGAGCTCGAGGGCAGCCACTGTCCCAGGCGACTCCACCAGGGTGGACGAGGGAGAGGAAATCTCGTCGACTATCCTCTTGAGAACGGGGCTCTCGCGCAGCTGACAACAGCGACGGTAGATGCGAACGGGATCAGTCGTCGGGTGGGACTGCGATGGAGCGCTAGACTCATCATCAGCATTCAGCTGCAAAGGTATTGAGCCGTTCGCCACGGCTTGCCTTCGTCTGCGCTCTCTGCGCTCCCGTCTTTCCTCTTCCGAACGCTTCTTCTTCTCCTGTTTCCGCGAAGGCTCTTTGCCCTCGCCTTCCGCCGCTTTAGGCTCGCCCGATGCAGGATCTGATGGGCCATTGTTCGTTTGGGTCTGTTCCTGTTTTTCCTTATCGACAGCTGCTGCCTCAGGGGATTTCAATGCAGCGGCTTCACCCTTATCTTTCGACTTCTGGTTCGACTTCTTGGACTTGGAACTATTCGAATCGGAGAATAAACGTCGCGCATTGCTCTGAGCAGAATCGTCGTCTTCGGACTCCCTGCGCGATATCCCTGCGATTTCAACATCCACGGAAAAGGCGACACGACGCAGCTTCCCTTGGTCCAGGTCCGGGACCTTACACCGATCTCTGTTTCGATCGATGTTCATCACACGGCGTTCGCAGATAACTCCATTCGCGGGCGCCTTGCCCAGCCCGGAACCCCCGGACGAGGAAAGCTTGCGAAAAGCATTTGAAAGAAACGATGAACCTCTAGGCGAGGATGAGGTGAACGGATTGCTTTCATCTTTCTTCTCCTCCTCTTTGTCCTTGGGGGAATACGCTGCTCCAAATGGATTTGGGGGGTCGAAGTTTGCTGTCTTGGGACTTGGCTGGGATCCTTTGATGTTTGACTGGGACGGGGGTGTCGATCCAGAGGAGAACTTCGAGCTCAGGTTCGAAATCCATGAATTCCGTCTGATTGAAATCGGCTTGCTTCCAGACTTCTGAGGTGTATTTGTGTCGTTGCTTTTCGGTGCCCCTCCAGTTTGAGTGTCGCCATTTGTAGGTTCTTTGTATTCCGGAAAGACAGAGGTTGTCGACGGAGGCTGTGGATGATGACCATTGGAAATGGCGTTCTTCTCTGACGTGGATGGATTTCGCTTCGGTGAAGTTGGGAGATCCGAATCGGCGCCTGATTTATCGTTCACTGACTTGGAACGGGAGACATAATCTAAATAGGTTAGAACATTAGCATTTGAATTCCACCAAGATTCTGTGCGCAGATTGTCCAAAGACAAGTCGTGTGCTGTAGTACCCCGGATCGGAGTGCGACCATGTACTCACCTTTTTGTGAATGATGGAGCCAGCTCACATCCACAGTCTCGACGCCCTCCATTGGCGTATGTCCTTGTATTTGTAGCTCGGTCATGATGAATGTGCTGAATAAATAAAGCGATTGCTGATTTCGAAAAGGCTATGGTTCGACCGTCGGTGTGCGATAGCGGAGTTCACATAGAACAAAGCATAGCCTAATCAAGGCAGCAGTGAGAGAGATATGCCCAGGCTACAGGCGATAACAAGGCACCGGTTTTCGAGAAATAACGCTATGTACAATCGATCGAGAAAAGAGCTGATAATTCACCGTGGAAATTCGTGGATGCGCAGAGTGGATGGGTTACATACGGCGATCGTGTTCCATAGTCGCGGGACGGCGGAGAGTGGGCATGGTGGAGTGAGTCGATACGTAGTAATAGTAGTAGTAGTAGTAGTAGTAGTAGTAGTAGGGAGAGGTTGAGAAGGAGACAAAAGAACAAAGACGATTAAAAAGGTAAAAATAAAATAAAAAGGAGAGAGAAGAGAGTCAGAAGGCGAAGAGCTGCCAGTGCTAAGTACTAGTACTTGGAGTAGACCAATCGTGACAGCCAACTTCGATTTTGCTGGCCGAACTCTATGTATGGCCGCGGTGCGCGGTACGGGCCAGTTGCGCATTACGGTAATTTTAAGTATGGAACTTCCTTATTGGGTATGGCACCATTTGCAACCATGGGTGTTCATTATACACTGCACTTCATGGAGGAATATGTAGCAGTAGTATCTATCCTGGCATGTATACAACGAAGGGAAGCAATGAGGTTAGAATGATCTTTCCAGATGGATAGGAGAATATCTTGATATGCTAGCACAAGTTAACGTCCTTGGCACAACCCTAATCCTATACTCCGTACCTCGTTGACTAGTTCAATGATATTGTCATAATTCGAAGTATAATATGACGCTTACCCAGCGATGCTGGTATCCTCACACGACCAACTGCCAAGGCCATACCCAAGTGCAAATACAGTGGTAGCGGTATGTTATAATACGCTCCTGGAAACTTTGATCTACGCCATCCCCACTTTCTCGCTAATCGGCCTATCAGGTCCATGGTATTAAGGGGTACTTGGCAAACTTACCAAATCTAACCACATTTGCACTTTGCCGTTCTATCGAAGTCTAAAGAGGTCGCTTCGTATATCTCGCCCTGTAGACCATACTGTGCGAATCATCTCAGATCTTGTCCTTCTATCAGCGCTTTGCTTTTTAGGATATGTGGCAAGTGATCGGCCTGGTTCAGCATCATCATGGATTGGATAACATGTCGTTCCATTGGTCAGATACTGCCCCGCATTTACCAATACACCTGTAATACTAATCTTACTGATACGCTCCTTTCTGCCATGACATCACCTCTATCAGTTAACTAACTACTACATACCTTAAGTAGACGTAGGGTAGCAGCACATCTGCAGAGTGACGAGACCGATATAAAAAGGAAAAATAAAAGAGGATACTATGACAAGGATAGAAATAACAGCACGCCCACCATTTCGTACTTTACAAGTACATACTTACACAACCCCTCCGTCGAATTAACGGCGGAATCTTCGGCTAGACCACGGCCAGTTATTTGCCGTGTCCCGTTCCCGGAGCATTCTTCCCTATTTTCTAGCATCCGCCAACTATGTACTTTTATGGAAATCTACGTGCATATTATTAGTAGTATGATGGGGACGGGCATGGGCTGATGTGCTGTCACTCGCGATACAAACTTAATCCATGAACCATATCCGGAATCGTGCAGGAGCGTATCCATACTGGTAGAGCACTGATCTTTGAATCAGCTGATGGCATGTTAGCCTCGTTTCTTTCGGGTATATACATATCTACTTTTCTGCTGACTGTCCTACTGTACAGAGTACAGAGTACGGGTACAGTACGGAGTAAACCCTTAAAGCTTAGTTGAACACATGCAGATCTGCAATGACATCTAGATCCTTAGGACAACGCTTACCGGTGCCATATTCGGCGGTTTGATATCCTGCAGTGGATTAGCTGAACTGAACCCGTGCGCCACCATAGAGTTGACTCCATCTGGGTTATGAAGATCACGGTGGATATCAGACAATGTGTGAACCCTGGTTTTTGCCATAGCGTAGGACTGAACACATGATTCTGCAGTTTTGAGACGTGAGATCGCCTGTTTTACTTGGGAGACATCTCATCACACATGGAGTATTCTGTACGGAGTACATGGCCACTGGATTGATACCGAATGACAGAGGGAAATACTTCGCTTAACAGAAATATACTTACGCCTCCGTAGTCGGAGTATCAGTTTCTTTCTACTTACCCTTTGAGGCGACAAGCTCCGAATCGGCATCAGGTGCACCACAAAAAAGCCAAAAAAGCCAAAAAAAAAAAAAAAAAAAAAAAAAAAGTCTAAACGCTCCTACCACTGATTCTCCGAGAAGTAAATCCCGGGTTCAAGCAAATTCTTCATGTTGAGCATGCTATGATCCACACCCACTGTATGGTTCACACTACTTGTTTGCAGTTGGGATTGACAAATTCCAGAATATACTTTGGGGTAAATAGACCAGTCGTATCTCCGTTGCTATCTCCGTCGGGGTATCGGTTTCTGCACGGGCTAGGGTAGGGCTGTTATCAGTGCTACGAACTACGTATCCAAAGCAAAGTGGTGAAGAAATCCAGAACTCCATGTGGTATCAATCCATATCCATCCAGCTACACGAAATAAACACAATAAAAAATGTCCGGATATTTTGAAAAAAAGTAGAACTTTTTTGACTATCGCACCCATGTTGTACACTCAAGCACGACCGTAGCCTTCCATATCGTGACATATCATTTAAGCAGCAAGCTCACGGATCTTGGCCTCAACACGAGCCTTCTTCTCGTCGTAGGAAAGCTTGGTAGTGCGGAACTTCTTGCTCTCGGCCTTCCACTCCTCCTTGGTCTTCTTGGGACCGGCCTCCTCGTCGGCCTTGAAGGGGTCCTCACGGATGGCCTTGTGGGCCTCAAGGTAAGTGTCCTCAAGGTCGCCAGCATCGACCTCCTCGTCGATGTACTTGATGAACTGAGAGCGGTAGCGCTCCTCATCATCGTCGGCGAGGGTCTCCATGTACTCAGCGACGTGGCCACCGAGGACGTAGCGGCGGAGAGTCTCGGCGTCGAGTTCCTCAGCCTCAATGTCGAAACCGGGGAAGCGGTTCTCAGAGTGGGGGACGAAGATACCACCGTCGGAGGCACCCTTCATGGCACCGAAGACACGGGCACCGGTGGAGGTGCGGACAAGACCAACGTCAAGGAAGGCCTTGAAGGGGCGGCGAGTGCCCTCGTCGGTCTCGATGGCCTCGGTGAGCTGGTACTCACCGTCAACCTCCTCGACACCAGCGAACTGCTCGTCAAGGCCGAGCTTCTTGAGGGTACGGCGGGCAAGGAGGAGACCGGTGGCGTAGGCGGCAGCCCAGTTGGTCAGACCCTGGGTGATACCATAGCGCTTGAGCTCGTGGGAGTAAGCAGAGGCGAAGACCTTGTCACCCGAGATCTCAGAGTGGATGATCTGAGTGATGATGTCGCGGTTGGTGAAGCGGACAACCAGACGGTACTTGGGCGAGTTGTACTTGTTCTTGGCCTGGGTGATGAGGCGCTTACGGGCGTAGTAGTCGGTCTTACCCTCACGGCGACGGCGGTACTTGGTCTGGTAGCGGCTGTTTTATTGTTAGCTGAGTGCTTCCGGAAACTGTTCTCTTAAGAAACTTACCTGAAGTACGCGCTGTTCTTGACGGTCTTGTGGAAGGCCTACAATTCACACAATCCGAGTCAGCAATTTGCGCTTCAGAAGTCCCGTCCGAAGCATCTTGCAAAGACCCGTCTCAAACCCACAAAAAATTGATGGGCAGAGAAAACAGATGCATTTCTGCATAACGGACAACGATTCAATCGTTTGCGATGAATATAAAACTCACCATTTTGACGGTTGCTGGCGATGTCGACGTTGGCTGCGGAAAGAAAAAAAAGAAGAGTGGAAGAATTTCGTGGGCCGACTTTGTGGGGGATTTCGCTTAGCACTGGCTGCATCCAGGCTCGAGTTTGGGGTTGGCCACGAGCGGCGACACTTGAGTACAAGGCTTTAATTCACGCCCTAGAAAATTAGAAATATTGGGAATAATTACTGAGAGAAATGTGAGATATCTCAATAAGAATTTGGACCAGGTTAATACTCTAACAGGGTCATATCTCCGGATGTGCTGCTCATACACTTATCTTTGGCTTTATTAGTGCCTTAGGTTTCAATCCTATACTACATACTCCGTAGGCTCAGAAATATGGCTGAGTTTTATTAAATACAGCCATGCACTGTATGGATCAAATTTGCACATCTAACTCCCACGGGGATACTAACACTAAGACTCATAGGTACGCCAACAAGACTCGATTACGCTTTCACGGTTTCCTAGGTGTCTTGATTCCCCATTACTACAGCACTATACGGAGTACACGAGAAGAATTTGACGATGTCATCTCAAGGCTCTATGCCGATGATTTATGTCGAATTATTCTTGAACTTGGTACCGAATCTTTGATTTCCCATCACAGCCGGGCATCCAGGGACATCGTGGCTGTGATCTCTATGCTTATATGTCAAGTGAATGCCCTTCGTTTTGTTCTAGGCCTATCAAGATCTCAATGGGCATATCAGCCCACAGTGAAGTTTCGCCAAATGGATACAGTTCAAACGTCGACGTATTCAAAACCTTAGACAAGAAAAAAGAATTTTCCGAGGGAACAGGTCTCTTGCCAAATCGTTCATTCGATACCCTTTACCCGAAGCTGTCAGCATATTGCGAGAAGAGCTGGTATACAAGAATATCCCGCAAAAACTTCGGGGAGTGCAAGAGTGCTATGAAAAAGGATGCCTGCACTCAGAGGCACCGCAAATTGGTGTGGCAAGTTGTGTGGTCTTGTTTCCGTTTCTATTTGCAATGGACAACGACTAACAATACCCAGCTCTTTAGATACATAGACAGGTACTATACCGTGCCAACAGTTCCCTTTTCGATAACTATATTCTCGAGTGTTCAGACGCTGCGAGAATTTTCGGTGGGACAGCTATCATACGACGCCCCAAAAACTTCCAATCGAAGCAACTTACCAGGATTAGTATTACCGCGCATTGCACGAAGAACTAGGGCTTTCAACTAGAGACCGATACGCCAGATAGGCGGGTCGACTTCTGGATCCCAGACACGAAGTGGGGAATCGATATTCTCCCAGAAGAAAACCGACTCGGTGAACACTGCGAGTATTTTCGAAAGACGGAGCATATGGGGCTCTAATAATCAACGGCTCGCTGGTAGACTGGCTGATCATTCTCCTCAACGAGAGGCGGAATTTTCTAAAGCCAGTGAACCTGGTTCCCATTGAAGAGGTCATACAATGCCTTCTTCTCGCGCAGCAGATCGAATTGGGCATACAGTCATGTAACCCAGCCTGGAATGACTTGTCTGTACCGATGATGATACCCCTTGAGAGACTCCGGCTCCTTGAACGGGGTGAATGATTAACTGGAAGATGCGAGGAAGCGTGTTGCCTATTGTAACGTTCCAATCAACTGGAACAACAATACCACAAGAGCATGATGCGCCCTACATTCGTTTCAGACTACATCTAACAAGAAGTAAGGGAAAATTATGGAGAACTGTCTTTTCAGAAGACTTCCCCAGTATCGACTCCTCTAACAAAAACATAATTCTGCGGTTTACTTTAAACGGCAATCTGGTATTCAGAGGTTAATTAATCTATTCACAAGTATTCCATATCAACCTCTCTAGTTATTACTGTTTAGATCTAAAATGCCATTGGTCAGTTTCGATGAAACTACAACCTCGCTTTATCCTGAGCCTCCAACAAGTCAATCCCAGTAATCTTTTCCAACTCCCTAACCGCATCCTGCGTCTTCCCAAGCGTGACCTTAACAGTCCGCATCCCAGCCTTCTTAGCAGCCTTCAGATTCTCACCAATATCATCGAAAAAGACAACATCCGAAGCACCAGCACCCCGAATTCCCTTCTTCTTCGCTAACGCATCCATTTCCTTCAATGCCGCCTCATAGATCTTCGGGTCTGGCTTTCTGAGCCCCGTATGCGCCGACGAAATGAAGAAATCAAACTGCGACCTAAGCCCAATTGCATCCTCATTATACGCGTGCCCTTCAGGATATATGACCGTATTAGACAAAGCCCCAACAACAAACTTCCCCGACTCCCGCAACTTCTTCAGCGCCGGAAACATGTACGGATCCGGCGTGCGAGATATCCGCATCATCTCCCAGAAAAGCCATTCCGCATCCACTTCTGGCATCGGCGGGAACGTAGCAGCGGCAGTACCGTGTGCCTTGTTCTGTCGTAGTCTAGCGCTGAATTGCTCCCAGAGGTCTGGCCTTCGTAGGTCCTTGTTGAAATTGGCAAAGAAGTCGGCGTCCATTTTGATCTCGCCGCGCTCTAGCTTGTGCCAGCTGCCGTGGGGCGACGTTCGGGAGATGCTGAAGTTCACCCATCCTGGGGGGATATTTTGGGCGAGTTCGTAGTCTAGAATTGCTTGGAAGGGGGAGACCACCTGTATGTCATTAGTTTCTCTCTTCTGAATTGGCATTGGTGTAAGAGCGCTTACACAAACTCCCCCGATATCGAAGAGCAGGCCCACGGGTTGCTTGTTCTCCGCCATTGTAGGCGTTTGGTTCAAATCTGCCTGCGGGATATTGCTATTGTGTAGAAAATGTAGTGAATTTGATAATTTAAGCTCCTGTAGTCAAGTTTAAGTAGGGAGATCGAAGTGATTTGCGGAGCTCTCGGTTTACCCAAATTGCCGAGGTTAGATATATATATATATCTGGGGTAACGAGTAGATAAGGTCAACTATCCCGTGTCGGCCGAGGACAGTGATGAAACTATGGCTAACGGCAAATTTGCAAATCACAATTGGATACTCTAGTTAACCCAGCCCCTGTAACACTCTATATCAAGAAACACTTCGCTCAGCTACCCTCGGCATTCGCAGGAAACCCACGTGACCTTATCGATAAGAAAATCACGACGCGCCAAGCCATGCCCGAATGAACAGCGCCTGACACAATCTCCAGGAAAGAAACAGCAGTCGAGATGGGGCCATGGACTCGACGCGCACAGTTTCCGAATTGAAAGCGTCCTTTATCCGGGCCCAGGTGCGAATCCTGTCAGAGTCCCTCGAGCCGGCGGAGAATTGGCGGGATTATGCGGTGGAAACGGAGGAGGCCGATCTGAGCGATAAGGTGGTTGAGGATGTTATGCAGAAAGGTGCGGTTGAGTGTTGCAAATTTTGGTTATTATATGCTGTCCGGGCTTAGGCTAACTTGGAAAAGTAAATGCGACGCTGAAGCAGCATAATCGCATCGTTTATTCCTCGCAGGCTATTCATCATGTCGCGCAGCAGGTCGCAAGTCTCTATTGGTCTGCCGTTAGCCAGGAGGCGCACAGCTTGGGTTCAAATGAAAAGGGAGTCGAGAAGACAGTGGACCTGTCAAATCAGCTGTACGTCTGCATGGCTGAAATACAACCAACTGTCAACTGACATTTCTTCTCTCTTAGGAACATCGCGAAATTATCGACGCGCCTAGAACACCCATCTGCCAACGAGGAAGAGCGCATGAGGTCAGGATAAGCGATGTTATTGGTTATAATTTCTCCAGACTAACGACAAGACATGCAGGTATCGACAGCTACGAGAACGTCTTACGGAACTTAATGAGCAACGACAGCAGCGACAGCGACGCCTGGATGAGCTACGACGATTACAACGCCTCCTGGAACCATTCCTGGAACCACAGCGGAATATCCAACCGAACCTGATTACTCGAGATGGAGAATTGGCACAAGAACTGGAGAAGATGAGGATGTTGGTTGCTCGGGTTGGAGGTCGGATTGGGCAGAAGAAGGGACCAAGTGATGGTTCTTCGCAGACTGAGAATGGCCCGTACCCGACCGGGTCTAACCAGAAGTTGGAGGCACTGTTTGATCTGGATTCATGATGTGGGAATAACGGGGAATGTACGTTTTGGGTGTTGCAACTATGCACAAGCTGTCTCATACGAAAACGACAACTTATCATGACATTTGTTGAATGTAAGCGATGATATCCTCAGTACAGCAGCAGACACGTCCTAAGTAAAAGCAATTCCATACCTAAACAGTGCAAGGGATAGAAGAGCACCCCCAGAATAGCTTCCAGTAACTGAGATCGAGGAGTGAAGGAAATAACATCCACACACACTTTTCTTGCTCAGCACTGCCCACAATAAAAAAAACAAAAATAAGCAGTGACACTTTCTTTATCTTCCTTTCTCAATTTCTCCTCTTCCACCTCTCACTGTGATAGCCATAACAGCCACCCTTTCATCATGGAGAATCATAATCCCCCTCTCACCGCCTCAGTCACGGGTTCCCAGGGACAGAGTTCTGCACCGGCCCACCGCCCGTTGGCTTCCTCAGGAACCGTCTCGAGCTCCTCGTCTCCTCGTTCCTCATCTGCCCCTCCTATTCGTCGTCGTTCTTCTTCTATCGCTCGCGTGGATAACGCCATTGGTGATTCCGAGCGTCGTCCTCTACCAACTCCTGAAATCCAGCCTCAGAGAACGCGTGAGCAGTCCTCTGAGACCCCTCTTCCGCGTCCTCAGGGCACCCTATCTCGCGTCCATCTGTACCCCGACCGATTCGCAACCATCCGTCGAGGTGACATTGTCTTCGACGAGTCTGGTCTGCCGCGTCCGAACCCGAGGCGTGGACACCGTCGTCGCTCCACACACGTAACCCCCGCCGATCTCGAGAGTTTTCGACGGGAAGTGTTGGGAATTGAATCTACTCCTTCTATCGTCCCAGAAGAAGAGACTCAGTCCCGACCCAGACAGAATCCTTCTTCGGATCCCCAGTTCGAGCAGCTGAACCAGGCTTTCGAGAGTGCCAATATGTCTCTGAACAGTGGAAGCAGCCCCAGCTCGGGCATGTTCTCGGGCTACGTGGAGAACCCCAACAACGTTGGTAACGTTCCTCGTCAGTCGATTTCGGGAGGTATGCCTCATACGGCTGGACAGGTGAATGGTGGTGCCATGCCTGGTATGAACGGTGGTCTTCCGATGAACGCTGGCCATCAGATGGATCTCCAGCAGTTGTACGATATGGTCTTGGAGTTGAGTGATGTGCTCAAGAACAACCGTGATATGACTAAGAACATTGTTACGAGTGCGGAGGACCTTATGGTATGTTTAGATAACCCCTACCGATTCAGGACTGGACTGACAGCGACTTAGAACCGTGCTGCTACCGAAGGCACGACCCCCAGTATTCAGCAAGTCAGTACCGAGATCAGTGGTGAGTTTCTATTTGACCGAACTCATTATAGATAGGGAACTGATGAAAATAGCTGCCCGTATTGCGGAACTCGAACGTGCCCTCGCCAAAGAAAAACGCACAGTCGAGATTCTAAAGCACGAGCAAGACGAGAACGCCAAGTTGATCGGTGAATACGAGGCCGCGGTCGGCACCATGGTTGAGCAAATCCGCAACTATTGCCAAAACAACAACTTGCACTTCCTGGCTCAGAAGCGCCAGTACAACAACCTTCTTCAGGCCGAGCGTGACGCTCATCTTGAGAGTCGTCTCGACCGCGATTACTGGCACGCTCAGACCATGAGATGCTCTGAAATGATCCGCACCGCGTACCGACTCCGCTGCGAAGAGGAAGAGGTGCCTATCCGTGTCGTTGCCGGCCTTCAGAATGAGGTACGCGCCTACCGTGACGCCCTAGGCATGGAGCCGGAGAAGCCCGAGGAAGAGTACGGCTGGGAGATCCTGAAGGGTGTTCCGCCCAGCGTTGAGTAAAGGGCAACTTGAGCGCCATACCTCACGACGATATTTGTGAGCGTCCACGAGTTACGATAAAAGTCCTTCTCTTTTCTACGACAGGCCGTTTTGAGCGAATTTCTTTCAAGATTTTCCTGGTGAAGATACCCCAATCTATGTTTTGTGTACACTAGTTGCTGTCATTCTCCCTGTACCTGCGCAAGGTCCCTAAAGTCTAGGATATCTGGATTACGGCTGCGATCTGAAACGTCCTTGAACCGTCTGGATGTCCGGAACTTTCGTGTTCTGGAACGTCCCTGGATAGTCTGGATATTCGGGATGCTGGCTGCGATCCGGAAGTCTCGGAATTGTCTGGATATCCGAGTGTTCTTGTCGATGGTTGGGTCTATTCATTTTCCTGCTGACTGCTAGCAGCGGCGGAATATCTCCATGTACAAAATAATCCATAATGAACAAAGTTTGTGAGCTATTCTATCCCGTCCGTAGATCAATCCGTGTGGAACACCTCATCCAATACCTTCCACCACCCGGGGCCTTCTGCACTGCTCACAGCACCGGGGATAGGACTGTCCTACGCAAAGTCAGCATCTTCAACACAGTCAGAAACAGACGAAAGGAACACACCTGCATCCTATCCGTCATAGCCCACCACTCCCTCACTTTCGGATTCTCGCTCATCCGCTTCATATCGCCCCCCCAATCACTCCCAACCCACTTGAATGTAGCACAAATCGTCCGATCATTATCGAAGAATATCGAGTCTGTCAGCGCCATTAATCAGTAAATTCCCTCTCAGCACGAGATTGTAATGATGGAAAGTACAATCCGTAATGTTGCAGTCTTGGATCTGTTGGAGGACTTCGGGCCAGACTGCTGCATGGCATTTCTTGTAGGCTTCGACGGCGGAGGGCTTGAGGTGGACGATTTGGGCGATGCGGCGGACCATTTTCTTATGTTTTTAGCCTGGTTTCTTGTTTCTTTTGGTTCGGATTGATGTTTGTAGTGAAGGTTGGGGCGTTTGGTTGTGTAGGGTTTTCGTTTCGCGTATGGTTGTGGCTTAACTTGCAGATAGAGCTCAATGCATTTCCCAAAATGACATGGACAATAGACTTTCTAGATTATTTATATCCTTGGAATTGGAGACATAGTTATTTGATCAAAATTTGTAGTATCCCCTCACGATAGTTCGGGATGCTTTAACCCGAGCAAAACTTGGAGAAAAAGAACAACCCAAAAAACTCAATTTGAAAGACCCATAACCCTCGTCAAGCTTCTCCATAATATGCTAAACCGCGTGTTCCCCCGCTTCTCCACTGCCCAGAGCTAAGATGCAAGCAACAGCTTAGCTGTTTGATCTGTGCTTGGTGCATATGCGCCACGCACCATACCTTTGCATTCGCATGTAGTCGTTCTAAGCCATAATGGCCTTCCGTCCACGCAGATATTCCATGTAATTGGAGGTGTACGCTGTGCTGCTCTATTGTTGTCAGCTAATGTTCGTTGCTTTGTTGTATTTTCGAAGTGCTCACCTGTACCATGCTCTTGGACTTTCCTCGTCAATACTGCGACTACTTCCGCAGTCTCTTGGAAAGAGACCCCGGCCTCTTTTCGTTTCAACTAGTCCTTTGATATTGGGATCTCATTTTCGCTTGAAGTAGCCATCAACCAATGCTGTGTACGTTGCTGGATTGAATTGCGTTTTCCCCAGGCTCATGCGCTTGGCCATGTACTCTGTCTAACAGATTGGTTCGGCCATCGACAAAAAGGGAACCATTGGCATTCAAGACGTCGAGGACGTGAAAGTCCATCATTGTGGCTGTCAATGAGAACTTGAAATGGAAGTTTGCTTCGACTCTACCTGAGATATACGCGCTGAAGCTCTCGCGTGCTTGAGGATAATGACTTTGAGGACTGCAGTAACAACGTCCCTCTCCGTTGTTTTGGTAGTTGATAACCACTCCGTGTCCATATAATATAACCCTTTTCCTTTCTCGCAATCTCAAAAATTCCCAGGTCACAAGGGCCATACCCAATCCTCATTCAAAAGAATCTGGAAAGGCTGATAGTTGTTCAGCCCAGAAGGTGCCTGGGCATATTTGTGGACTGCAGGGCAGGCCAGAGAGCACGGAGCAACCGTACTGGCTGTTTGTGACTCTCGACTCTGACCCCATTTCTTTCAGCATGGCAAAGGAATCATCCGAGATTCGCTCATTTCCAGCGGCGTCTGCCCAATCGCGGTAGATACTAGACAGGGTCATAGTTCTGGGTATTGTGCATTGATGAGGACAGATTCAGAAAGTAAGCGAGGAGAGAAGCAACATAGTGCAAAGCAAACCATTTAAAGGAAAGATATAGATGGTGACAAGAGAAAGAAAGATAGAAAGAGACATAGATCCTTTTAGATTCACATTTAAGATTCATTCACTGGTATCATTTGCCTTAACCTTACAAACAATCTCCATATTCGTATGGGAAAGACATCAACGGCTGGGATACGCAAGCGCCGCGCAGAACATCGAGCTTCGTATGAAAAAACCGTGCATAAGCTATGCAACAAACTACACAACTCAGATCCTAAACCCCGAACTCCAAAAGCTCGGCGTGGATCTCATGGACGTTGACCCCATGTGGGCTTGAAATGGGAGTTTCCTGACCAAAACGACGGCAGTGAATCGGGGAAGCGGGCTTCCCTTTAATCCGATCAGATCTGATTCAAGACAGGAAAACACGACCCCGAGACAGACGAAGGGCTGATCTTTCTTTTGTTTTGTCTCATTCTCACATTGTTCTGTGTTGGATATGATTTAGCCATTCAATCATTTGCCGGAGGAGGGAACCTTTTTAGGTCTTCTTGGTTCTTCCTTATCTATTTTACTTATGGTTTTACTCCTATTTCGACTCTCTTGGATAGACTTGTCAATATCGCCGGAAACACAGTATTGCCGGCGACAACATGCAGGTCCACCGGCTGGATTATTGGAACAAGTTCACAAAGCTCTGGCTAATTCAGATACATAACCCAACCAGCGGCCCGCCATTGTCATTAATTTTTTCATCTTTCATAGTGCCACATTTTCCTTGGTCCAATAACATAGAACCTCATGACTCCGGAAACTCCAGCTTCACGCCCATACGCGGTTTACTCATGATGAAGGACAAGAAAAGGTTGACATATTCATTATTATTGGTCATAAGGTTAAAGCATTTAGTCTTCCACACCTGGAGTTTCCCGGATTCGTTATATTTTGCCTGGATGATGCGGCCGTGTTGGGGACCAAAGAAGGATATCATTAGCACATTATAGGTCAGCATGTTCCTATAGAAGACCGTAGAGATTTATATAGAAAAGGATAGAGGAGCAAGTGTCATCTCACTGGAAATAATGATGTATGCTTGTATTCGTCCTGGGCAAGCCGGTTATGGATTGCTTGCATCAGCGCAGCCAGCTCTCCAGCTCTCCCAGAAGCAGTGTCTCATCATCGCCATTTTCCTCATGCAGAGTAATCAGACCAATATGGGGCTGGTATATAATCCCAGACTCTTTCTCTGTAAAGTATTTAAATATTTTCACAGTGGTCCAGGAGTAATTGGCTCCCATGCCATATGTCATGCCTTGTAACAAGCCATCATCATCATCTGGAACAAATGGATGGTTAATCCTATAGTTCTCAGTCATTTTCAGGCATCATAATTGATAAGCTTCTCAGGTTTTGTACGTACGTGATTAGATCCCACATTGCATCGTGTACCAAGCTCCCACGGCCTTTGAAGATATTCTGCCTTGGAAGGTAGAAAAGCTGGTTCTCAAAGTACTGATACAGCATTGTTGCCCTCTCATGCGGATTCATGCCAATAAACTCTTGATTAGTCGTAGGGATTTTGTTGGGATCAAACTCATCAATCTCCAGGGATCCATATTCTTCTTTTCCAAGTATGCGGTGGTTGATAGCATGGGTTCGAAGAAGAATTTGTTAGAATTCAAAAATTCTTCATCATATGGACTGAAATCCCCGAGGTCTACGTTGAGCTCCTGTAACTAGGGCCTTGACTTCGAGACCTTGCTGCAGAGATGCGTAGATCGTAGGTCGTCGCGTAATTTGCGCACAGATTCGGCATATATGGCTCGACAGTTTTCGCGCCGTTTTTGAATATTGGATTTACCCATATTGCCAGGTAAATTGGTTTTAATATGTTGAGGCGACACGATGAACATCTTGGTAAAAGGTTTATGTCAATGTGATGCGGTCAACCTGGGGCAGCACATCTACTAGCTTTTGTTAATGACAACTATCATTCAATAACTCCTGGTATAACCTAAAACTAAAATACATCCAGACTCCGTACATATCCCATATCCATCTCAACAGAAACAAATCCAAACGCCAATGCTAACCAAAATAGAAGAAGACCCAAAACATGTGCATCAAAAAGAAATCATGACCGTGTTGTCTGGCCCCTAGGCACAGGCCGGATCCAAGAAAGAAGCATGTTTCCAGCAATGCAAATAACCCCAATGATCCATAATGAACGCGCATAGTGGCTCGCGTTGTACCGGAAGATGATGGCGAAGATGATACCTCCGAGATTTCCCATTCCGCCGACAGTACCGGAGACAATGCCATTAGCGAACGAATGCACATGCGGCACAAGCGCAAAGTTTGCCCCGTTACACGCTTCCAAGAAAAACGCCAGTCCGGCTGTAAGCCCGAACATAGTAGCCTCGTCCTTCGGATCCGAAAGGCCCATCGCAAGCTGGAAAGCTCCCATAATAACGCCCAGGAATACGAGGAGGATCTTCTTCGACCACACTGTTTCGGTATACCGGTACACAAGATCCGCGACAAATCCGCCAGCCGGACGGCAGACAATGTTCAGCAATCCGAACATGGCGGCCCATTGTCCTGTCTGGGTCTGGCTCATGTAGGGGAAGTTCTGAGCGTAGTAATCGCCAAGGATGGAGTTAATCGAGAGTTCGGAGCCAAAGGAGCAGGCATAGGGAACTGCGACGGCGAGGGTGGAAAGGCTGAACATGATGCTGAGGGTTTCTTTGTGGGAGGGGGTCGGAGGCGTTGTGGTTGTGTCGAGGATGCCAACCTGTCCTGTTGTTTGAGCTTCGGTGTCGATGTTGTTGTTGGGGGTTTCTGCGCCTTTCTTTTCGACGTCGGAGACAGCAACGACTTGGCTGATAGAGGGTGCACCGGATGTGCGGCTGGAGGGGTTATCGGAGGTGATATCGACGATGTTCGCGTTGGCGGCCTGGGGACTGTTTTCTTTCATCCAGATGTGGCGTTCGGACCATTTGCCCATGGGCGTGTCGTCACAAGTGAAGAGCATAGCCACAGCCAGGGCCACGATGATGATGAATGGAATCACATAGGCGACTCGCCATGCCTTGTGTGGCGCGAGACCCTGGGAATGGACGAGGGAGTCATACACAGTAGGCATGATAAAATATGTGATACCACCACCAGAGTTTCCCCAACCACCAGCCAAGGAATTGGCTGTTCCAACAATCTTCTTATCAAAGAACCCGGTGCACCAGACCTGGCAGGGGACAAATGTGCCTCCAAGAATGCCAACGAAGAAGCGCAGTGCGATCAGACCTTGAGGATTGGTGACGAGGCCGGCCATGGCAGTTGGGATGGAGCCACAGAGGAGAAGACCGACGAAGACAAGACGGGGGCCGAAGCGGTCGCATAGTGGTCCGGCGATGAGTCTGACTATGAGTCTGCGGGGGTTAGTTACTCGCTCATTGTCCTTGTCTCTTGTCTCCTGGGAGCTTACGTGGCGAGGAGAGCAACGATATTCGAGTTTGCAACTTGTTGCTGGGTCATGCCCAGGTCATCTTTAATTGTGGCCGTCAACTATACCATGTTCATGTCAGCGGTTGTCAAATCCACACGAGATGAGAACATTGAGACATACCAGAGGCGGAAATGCGTACCACGAGAGGAACGCAACCATGAACCCCAGCCATGAGAACGTGAAAACACGGCCATACCTGTCAAAGGGGTTGAAGACGGGAATCGACAAGGCTTTCCGGTTACTGGGGTTGACTTCTGGAGAAATGAAAAGCAGTTTCACAAAGTCCATTGCCCACGTTCCACTTTTTCTGTCAATTGTATGAAAGGATGTATAGGCCGCGGAGAAATATCAAGAGAGATAGGGGTAAGGTAACTGCACGGAGATGCTATGTTCGGATTAAGCGGAGTATATTGACGATATTGATATCCTGAAAGAGGAAGCATATAAACAAGGCGCAAACGGCAGCTCTATATAGAGCCTGAAACTCATCCGAGAATCCTATACTAAGAGATAACCCAACTCATTTGGATATCCCATGATTCACACACCGGAACGCAAACCCCCAGTTATCTCGAACCAAGCCGTCATTGCAGCGAGCATCCTGTCCGACCCTGTCCAGACAATCGCCAGCAGACCATCCACAACCAGACTCTGTCAGCAATTCGTCTGTTTTGGAAAATCGTAACACAAACCCTATCTCTCCCCAGACCCCAATCTTTCGATCTCCTCTGATTCGTCCGCTGTCACCTTGTCGGGTCTTGACAAACCAGATCCCCAGGATTGGTCCATAGCGTAGACCCGTTTGATTTCAGCGATCATAGTATAACGCTGTCTGAGCTCTGCAGCATGCACCATGGCCCACGCGCAACGACCGAAGATAAGATATGATAGACCGGGCCCGGGGAAGATCGTATCGGGTGGTAAACCGTAGATAAGACCGACTAAGCTAAGTTCACCGAACTATCGACCGTTCCGTCGGAGTATGCGTCAGCCATGCCCGGACCTGGACCCGAGAACGGCCGGTGTCAGTGATAGTGGGCCATAGGGGGTTTCCCGATAACTCTCGGGCGCTTCATTGGACCTAAGAGTAATAAGAACTGTCAAAGACACCTCCGCGGAAATACTGAACTCGATGGACGGTGGCGATTATTTATATCCTGCGATGGAGCCGCCGGTGGATCGTCTACAAGATAAGGTGGTCTCCACCATGTATCTCTGGCGAGTCGATGTTGAGATGTTGGAAAAGGCAAAGATAGTGAGAGATACGGGGAGATATGAACTGTGAACCAATTAGAGTTGAGTAGTGCACGTGATGGCAGTGACCCTAAGATGCTTTCAGAGTATGGAGGATGGCAGAGTGACTATTCACTTCACCATCCATCCAAGCTGTGAGTGGATGATAAAGAATCTACAAGTAGACTCTCTATAGCCTGGCCACATTATCCATCCTTTATGATAGGACTCTCCTTGATCACTATTTCAAACATGCTTTTTCTTTTCTCCATTCTCGTATATACATGAGACATCAGAAGGGAAACCAGCGGAAAGAATCTATTAATTGGCAATGGTAATTGCAGGTGTGACGGCTCAACGGCTCAACGCCAGACAAACAGCGCCAACATATCAAACGATGCCATACAAGCAATGTGGGCAAACAAGGGCTTAAGCCGCACCACACAAATGCCTATAAAGACCGTTCATCGCCTAGATAGATTTCCTTTTCTTCTTCTTCCCCAGATTCGATATTCTCGTCGTTGGGCTACCTAGTCTATATATGAATATTCTTCGTTTTATCTGCTAGTTTCCGAGCCCGTGACAGCAGGCACTTGGGAAGTATGATATGCCTCAAATATCTACAAGCAATAAAGATGTTTTAAGCCCATACGACAATCTCATGACGCAATCATAAATGTCCTATTTAAAACCGAAGCTTGACATCTCGGACAAACGAGCAGAGAAGTTATCACGGAGCATTCATGAAATGTTTGTCGTCTCTCCCGATGGCAGATTTGTGACATGCAACTCTCTGACATTCGAGGCTTGCACAAGTGCTTTTACAGACAAGTTGTTCCCAATCAGAATGAAAATGGAATTGATAGACATAAGGGGGACGACGCCATTTGCTGCTGGCCACTGGGATATCGTGGTCTCGAGCATCGTTCAACGCATATAGACTCCTGTGCAAACTTGGACGTGTTGTTCCAAAAGGTGCCAAATTGGCATTGCGGGGATTTCTTAGTCATTGGTCTAAGTCAACATGGAAATACTACTAATAGTCATTTTCATCATTGAGATTCATTGCTAAGAAGAATAATTACATGCTGCGTGATATCACCCAATACCAAAAACAAACATAAACGCCATGAAACCATGACCACGAGCCACTACCAATCAATGACATTCGTCTGAACACCCTTCTGCCCACTACTCTCAATTTCCCCCGCCTTCTTCCCCCTCATACCCCTATACCTCTTATCCATCCTCTGGAACGGATCCGTAGACTCCTCCTTCTTCACAGCCCACTTCTTCGTACCCAGCAAAGAGTCCAGCTCTTCGACAGGAGGGAGTTTCAGATAAATCCAGCCGTCATCTCGCTCCTCGACAGGGAAAGTGGCGATGTTCATGGCTTCGTCGTTTGAGCAACGACCTGCTTGTTCACCGTTGAGGTCGAAGTTGCGTTTGTGGTATGGGCACGAAACCCAGTATTTACCTGCGTCGTCGTCGCCGATGAGGCCGTCGGAAAGGACGAATGCGCGTTTGTGGGGGCACATTTGTTGGGTGGAGTAGTATTTGCCTTTGATTTTGAAGACAGCGAGCTGTGTGTCTCCGCGTTTGACGTTGGCAGACGAGATCTGTGGGTGTTCGTCGGAGAAGTAGTCTGCCTTGATCATGGGTTGCCACGATGTGCTGGACCACTGGTGTTCCTTGAAGTCTTCGTTGGTGGGAGCATCCTTGGGCCAGTACGCGGGACGCTTTTGGCCACGCTCCTTGACGACTTCGACGGTGTCGACGGTTTCATCCGTATTGGCAAATTGCTGGAAGAACTTGCGGCGTTCTGGGTTCTTAACTGTCTCTGTCCATTCGCAGAAGTACCCGTCGACTAGGTCTTGCATCTGTTGCTCGAGTTCGGCGCCAATGCCGAGTTTGTCGTCGAGTACCACTTCGCGCAGGTAGTTAATTCCGCCGGGTAGGTTCTCGATCCATCGGGCTGTTCGTTGGAGTTTGTCTGCAGTGCGGATGTAGAAGACGAGGTAGCGGTCGATTACGGAGAAGACTTGCTCTGGTGGGATGTCTTTTGCGAGGAGCTCGGAGTGTCGGGGCTTTGCGCCTCCATTGCCTCCTACGAAGATGTTGAAGCCTTTTTCGGTGGCGATTAGACCGAAGCTGACACGTTTAGTATAAATGCTGGACTTGCGGTGGTAGTCGGACTCACTCTTTGTTTTGTGCCTCAGCACATTCTCTTACACAGCCGGATACTGCACCCTTGAGCTTGTGGGGCGCCCGAAGACTCTTGTATCGCTCTTCTAGTCGAATTGCCATGCCGACACTGTCACCGATACCGAAGCGACACCATGTAGTTCCAACGCAACTCTGTATACATGTCAGTTTGACATCTCCTAGAGAGATGGGCTGAGATAAATACCTTGACAGTCCGTAGAGACTTAGCATAAGCATGACCACTCTCCATACCAACATCAACAAGCGCTGTCCAAATGTCCAAAAGGTCCTGCTTCTTAGCACCGAACATATCGATCCGTTGAGCACCAGTAATCTTGCAATATAACCCATACTTCTGTGCCACTTGGCCAATGGTGATCAGCTTATCTGCAGTGATCTCACCACCGGGGACTCGTGGCACAACGGAGAATGTGCCGTTTCTCTGGATGTTGGCGAGGAATCGGTCGTTTGTTTCTTGCAGATCGTGGAGCTCCTTATCCATGATGTGTTGGTTGAACAAGCTCGAAAGAATGGAAGCAATGGCGGGTTTGCACATTTCGCATCCAAGAGAGTCTGGGTTCTTGCCGACTGCTTTCATGACATCGACGAAGGTTCGCAGTTGCTTGACCGCGACGATGTTGTAGAGATCAGCTCGCGAGTAGGGGATATGGATGCACACTGGGCGAGTAAGTAACAGCCACAATCATAGGCCCAGGGCACTTACGGTTGTTAGACACTTCTTGTCCCATATCAAGCATCGTCTTGTTAAAGATCGACTGGACCAAAGGCATACAACCACCGCAGCCAGTTCCTGCCTTGGTACACGACTTGACCTCGCCGATGGACTTGCATGTGCCATTCTGGATATTCTCAACGACGTCGCCTTTTGTCACGTTGTGACACGAGCAAATCTGAGTACCGTCGTCTCTGTTTCAATCACCGTTAGTACCAGGAAAAGAAGATTGGATATATGGGTACTCACAGATCATCTGCGTTCTCTTCACCACCGTTCTGAGCACCGAGAATAAACTGGCTGGGAGGTACTTCCAGCTCTTTCTGGGCCTTGACCATCTGGTTCAGTTTGAGGTAGTCCTTCGTATCTCCGATCATCATTCCTCCGAGCAAGTACTTCCCATCCATGGTGAAGAGATACTTCTTGTAGACACCACCAAACGGATCCTTGTAGGTAAGGGCCTTCACAGGCTCTTCCTCTCCATTTCTCTGCTCCGTTTCGAGAGCTGGTCGTTGGCCCGGCACGAATTTCGGTCCATCTCTGTCTGCGAAGAAATCGCCGAAACTAGCGACATCCACACCTAGCAGCTTCAATTTTGTGCTGAGATCAGGTCGCTTGAAGAGTTTTGGTTCTTTGTCGGAGTTCGTCAGGTTGAAAGCTAGAACATCGGCCATTTCGATACCGGGCGCGATGATGCCAAATGTTTGGTTATCCCAGCTGGCACATTCTCCGACGGCGTAAATACCGGGTACTGATGTTTGTAACCTAGAAGAAGTCAGCATGAGCTGAGGGAACTGCTTCATGGGTAAAGTACCTCTCGTCGATGGCAAAACCACCCCTTCCGGCGCGCTGGATGCCAGCTCCAGGCCCTAATTCATCACGCGGCTTGATACCGATCTGGAAGGATGTTAGCGATGAAATCTTCAGGAATGAAGAAGTGACGTGCAGCAAAACATATGCAAGAGCAACTAATCTCTTCACCATCCTCAAACACAATTCCCGTCACATTATTATCTTCGTCAGTCTTGATGAGTCGCACCCTCTTCTCGTGCAGAACCTCAAGCCCAAGCTCTCTAATCTTCCGCGTAACTAGCGTACCCGCATCACCATCGAGTTGTCTAGCCAAAACCCATTTGTTGCGATCGATGAGCTTGACACTCCCAAAGTTTTCTAAATCGGTCATGGCTTTGGCAGCTTCCAATCCCAGCAGGCCTCCTCCAACTGTGACACCCGTCTCGCCCTTATGATGGGATGCGAATTCGATCAGGCGCTCTAGGTCTTGGATGGTTCTGTAGACGAAGATGCCCTTGGCATCGTGGCCGGGGGTATGTGTGGGGAGAACGGCATCGGAGCCGGTCGCGAGGACGAGGGTATCGTAGGATATTACGTCGCCGGTAGAAGTTCTGACTGTCTTGTCGTCGGGGTAGATGTCGGTGACTCGGGTATTGAGGTGGTAATCGAATGATCGGTCTGGGAATGAGCCATACTAGATATCTGTCAGAAAGTTGCCATCATGTCCGATCTGTCCGCAAAGCTTACCCATTCCTTGGGATTGAGATATAAATTCTCGATCTGACGATGCTCAAAAAAGGACGAGAGGCCGACACGGTTGTATGCGACGTGAGGTTCTTCACCGATCACAAGGATGTCGAATTGGCGCCGTTCAGCGTCTTGCTTGATGACTTTCTCACTGGACACAGTTAGTTCACCATTGTCTTTCCTTCACATCATAACACCAACATGAACGAAATAGCCACCATTCCCAATCCCGCAACCACGATCTTCTGCCGTCGGGCGCCATGGCTCAGGGAGCCATTTCCTACACTTTCGGTATGAATATCCTCCACATGGGAAACATCATGGCTAACGCTGCCAGCAACACCACTGTGGCTTCTTAACCCATCGAGCAACGGCATTATGATCGCGGGGTCAAATGTGTCTGAATAATCTGCAGTACGACAGCTTCTACGCGCACACGAGACCCCCTCTACTCATATACATCAAGCCACACGACCGACGTGACGCAGCATTTTACCGGGATGCGGCGACTATCAAGCCATGATTCTATCGAATCGACAAATGCGAGTTTCTAATCAGCGATGTCGCATGCACTGTGAGAGGCGAAAAGGGGCCACCACAAGCCCTAACAAGGGAGTCCCTGTGCTCCCCGTTAGTCTCCGTTATCAGAAACATGCCCTGACACAGACCAACTGCAGCAACTCCGCGGAGATCTGTTTAGCTGCTATGTAGTTAGTGGCTTATCGGCGGATCCTGAGTCGGCGTTCCGGAAGATAAACAACGCTCCATAATTATTTTCGGGCCGGACACGATACCATAGCCACGACCGGTAACGAATAAGTTGGGAAACAAAAAGAATCACTAATATTGAGGTGTAACATGGCGATTGAATCTCATTGCTCCCCGAAAAATCCCGCATTCCAGGGAGGTGTGGCCGATCCTGCGATCATTCGTCGTTAGCTTATTTCGGCCTTGAGACATACTTTCGGTCCTTTAGCCAAGCTTTCTGCCATTACGCTAGGGCTGTGTGACTATTGCGATAACCCGTGAAGCTGGCTAACATTATCTATGCCGTCTCAAATTCCGGGCCGCGGAGATTCTGCTTTTGTAAGGAGTACAGAGTAAGCTGGTATGGCCAACTATGGCTATGGAGAACGGCGGATACTCTAGTTATCCGTATCCGTATTGGTAAGCTTGTTTACTCTGAAAATGTAGCGTCCAGTCGCCGTTTGCTCGATTTGATTTACTTTCATTCGAATAACAATCGTCATTCCCCGACTCAGTTGCCTACTCTACCTCCTTGTCACGGGACCCAGGGTATATATACAAGCCCTGACCTGACTCCTTATCCGGACTAGTCAGACTCGATCCTTTGTCCTGGACCAGTATAATGGCCACCACGGTCCAGACAGAGACTTCAGTGTCCATCTTTCCGGACCAGATCCGTCTCGAAGCATCCCCATCGCCCGAATTTCAGGATATTCCCTTGCCTCCTCCTTCGAAAAATCCGACACAGATTTTGAGCGCTGATAAGGGGACGCCGGACGAACATGTTCCTCGGGATCCGCGTCTTATCAGGTTGACGGGTGTTCATCCGTTCAATGTTGAGCCGCCGCTTACGGCTTTGTATAAGGAGGGTGTGTTGCCATTGGCCCTGGGTGCTGCTTTTGAAGCTAACTAAGAGAAGGCTTCTTAACATCGCCGGAGCTCTTCTATGTCAGAAACCATGGCCCAGTACCTTATGTCCGCGACGAAGACATTCCCAACTGGGAGATCTCGATTGAAGGGTCAGTACACAATCCATATCATACTCCACACCATAAATTCAATACTAACCGACTCAGTCTCGTCGAGAACCCCCTGACCCTAACGTTCCGAGAAATCCTGCAACAATTCGACCAAATCACATCCCCCATCACCCTCGTCTGCGCCGGAAACCGACGGAAAGAACAAAACATAGTACGGAAGTCAAAAGGTTTCTCATGGGGTCCTGCCGGTCTCTCGACGGCGCTGTTCACAGGCCCGATGATGGCGGATGTGTTGAAGGCTGCGAAGCCACTTCGGAGGGCTAAGTATCTGTGCATGGAGGGTGCGGATAAACTGGTAAGTTTAGATTGTTGTCTTTGGGTATGGTAGATGCTAATTTATGAAGCCCAATGGCCACTATGGAACATCCATTAAATTGAACTGGGCCATGGATTCTAACAGAGGAATCATGCTTGCGCACAAGATGAACGGAGAGGATCTCCGGCCGGATCACGGCCGTCCCTTGAGGGCCGTGGTACCAGGTCAAATCGGAGGCCGAAGTGTCAAGTGGTTGAAGAGGTTGATCCTCACCGACGCCCCTAGTGACAACTGGTACCATATTCATGATAACAGAGTGTTGCCGTATGTCCACTCCATTTTGAATTGGAGTATACGGACTAACACAGGACAGGACATCGGTTTCCCCCGACGAAGCATCGAGTAACCCAAAGTGGTGGACAGACGACCGATACGCTATTTACGACCTCAACGTCAACTCTGCCGCCGTATATCCCCAGCACAATGAAGAACTAGAACTCTCATCAGCCGGCCCCAAATACACAGCCAAAGGCTACGCATACGCAGGTGGCGGACGACGAATCACCAGAGTCGAAATCTCCCTCGACAAAGGCAAATGTACGTCCCCCCCATAAACCCGTTCACCCATCCGATACTAACAAACCCAGCCTGGCGCCTAGCAAACATCGAATACGCCGAAGACAAATACCGCGACTTCGAAGGCAACCTCTTCGGCGGCAAAGTCGACATGCACTGGCGCGAAACATGTTTCTGCTGGTGTTTCTGGTCCCTGGACATTGCCGTCCCCGAGCTCGAAAATAGCTCTGCCATCCTTGTTCGCGCGATGGACGAATCCCTGGCTATTCAACCACGCGATATGTACTGGTCGGTTCTGGGGATGATGAATAACCCGTGGTTCCGGGTTTCTATTATGAGGGAAGATGGTGTTTTGAAGTTTGAGCATCCGTCGCATCCGGTTTTGCCTGGGGGGTGGATGGAACGGGTTAAGAAGGCTGGTGGTGATTTGTCGAATGGTAATTGGGGTGAGAGGCAGGAAGGCGAGGAGCCGGTGGTGCCGGAGCCGGTGCAGGAGATAAATATGAAGAAGGATGGATTGAATAATGAGATCAGTCTGCAGGAGTTGCAGAGCCAGAGTGCTAAAGGCGTGCCTTGGTTCGTTGCCAATGGGGAGGTGTATGATGGCACGGGATTCTTGGAGGGCCATCCCGGTGGTGCTCAGAGTATCATATCATCTGCTGGTTTGGATGTTTCTGATGATTTCAACGAAATTCGTGAGTAACCTGGTACCCTAGACCGAAGTATGGTCTGCTAACACACAACAGACAGCGAAACAGCAAAGAAAATGATGCCCGACTACCACGTCGGCACACTAAACCCAGCAGACCTAGCCGCCCTAAAAAACACCACCCCCCAAGAGGAATCAACCGAACCTCGCCCAACATTCCTCCAACCACGCTCATGGACAAAAGCCACCCTCTCGGCAATCAAAAAGGTCTCCTGGGACACCCGCATCTTCACCCTGAAACTCGAGCACGAGAACCAAAAACTAGGCCTCCCCATCGGCCAGCACTTCATGATCAAAGTCACCGACCCATCAACCTGCGAATCAATCATCCGATCATACACTCCCATCTCCGAAACCGAAAAAGAAGGATCCGTCGACCTACTTGTCAAGATCTACTTCGCAACACCCACAATACCCGGCGGAAAAATGACACTGGCCCTAGAAGCCCTCCCTTTGCAATCAATCATCGAATGTAAAGGCCCAACAGGCCGCTTCGAGTACCTCGGAAATGGACAAGTCCTCATAAGCGGGAAACAGCGCCATATCCGCTCGTTCAAGATGATCTGTGGAGGAACAGGCATCACGCCTATCTTCCAGGTCCTCCGCGCTGTCATGCAGGATACATCCGATCCGACGAGTTGCGTCGTGCTCGATGGGAACAGACAGGAGGAGGATATCCTTTGTCGAGACGAGCTTGATGCGTTTGAGGTAGTGGATGGGGAGAAGTGCCAGATTGTTCATACGCTGAGCAAGGCGTCGGATGGTTGGAGTGGGAGGCGAGGGCGGATTTCGGAAGAGCTTCTCAGGGAGTATGCGCCTGCTGATAGTGAGAGTATGGTGCTTATTTGTGGGCCGGGGGCTATGGAGAAGTCTGCGAAGGAGATTCTTTTGGGGTTGGGATGGGATGAGTCAAGTTTGCACTTCTTCTGATCGACTTCGACTATTTAATCTTGGTTTATGAGTAACGATGGGATAAGGATTGGCGTTTGCAGGAAATATTTTGGACAATTGTACTGGGTATCAGTTTGAAATAATGTAAATTCATGATTTTACTATCTCATCACAGTCGTCAATAGTAACCATTAATATCCAACCGGGAAAGAAGATGATCAAAAACACCCGTAGGCCCTGAACGCGTAGCAAACGTTGCATCAGCCTTCCCAACTGACTTCGCCGACCCCGTACTCCCATCTAGTCCGCGCAAATAATTCACAAAAGCAGAAGCCTGCTTCCTGAAAGTCATGTACAGATGAGAAACAGTAGCTTCGCTTTCCTGTCGCACACCCTTCATGCCATCCATTCTTGAGATAGGCGCGAAGACAAGGATTGTCCCGAAGATGCTCTCGAGTAACTTGGCAGCTTGCGCATGTCGTTTGCTAAGGAATAATGCGAAGAGGATCTCGTCGAGGATGTCTTCGTGGTAATCGCGGAGTCTAGGGACTGAGTGTGCGGCTTCAATGGTGCTGTCAATATCACCGCGATCGAGACAGTATTCGATTCGGGAGAGGGTATCCTGGAAACGTTTCCAGGTGGATCCGACGCCGACGTGGAAGCAGTAGTCACTGACGGCGAGAACGAAGTGTTGCGCGTGGATGCGGAATTTCTGGAATACATTGTGCGTATCTCCCGAGAGGGAGTTTCTTGCGGTTGAGTCGCGGACGATGGATTTGACGACGGAGACCATGCGTAGTAGGCGGAGGAGATGCTTGAAGAGGCGGTCGTATTTGTCGAGGGATTGTTGGGTGATGATTATCTCCAGAACACTTGGTGGTTTGTATTGGAGACGGATAAAATCCAACGCTTGAATGGCGTTCGGGTCCTTGCATTTGGCTATTTCTTCAGTGGTCAGCTCTCGAATGGCGAAGCTCAAGCCACCAGGGAGTTCCTTTTCTCTATGATGCTGGGCATCGTCCATGTCATTCGAGCCACCCGCCGCGTTGTAGCTTTCACTGAGTAGTCCAATAAGCACCAAGCGCAGCTCTGAGCTTGCCGGAGGCCATGTATCACGGCTTCCTAGACGAAGACCGGTGTGCACGCCACTGCGTACGATGCCCGATTTTCGCTCACCACTTTCCATCTCCGGGTCGAAGAGAGCATGGGAGAGGCGAGACACGAAAAACCCATCACCGAGGAGTTGGTACCTCCATTGAAGCGTAAGGTGGTTTCTAATTTTGTGTTCTTTGAACAGCACATGAAGACATGAGAAGTCAATTAGTAGCGCCTGCGATGAAAGGAGTGGTGCAAATGAAAGATAGAGCGAGGAGGCCATCTCCGGTCCAAACTTGCTATCATGGCTTTCGAATTGTCCGACGTCAAAGCTCAGGAGACTAATTTTATCTTTCTGCAGGGAGTCAGGGTCGGTCAATAATCCGGTTGTGCGTTGCTCATCCATGTCATATAGATCGTATATGCCCTCAAGACTGCCGGGATCGTCGTTTCTGGTGGTTTCAGAGGTGCTACCTCTGTTAACGTCTGGATCAACACGCTCGCCGCGGTTGTACTTGAGTATTTCTGCGCGGAGTAGCGATTCATACTCGTGGGCCTTCGACTGTATCCTCTCGATGTCGGTCCAAGAATCCGCACAGCGAAGCCTCGGTGGCTCAGCATTGTGGACCATATCATTCGCAAGAGGATGTTGTGGATGAGATTGCTTGAGGAGTCGCAAGCTTCTGCCACTTTCGAAGATCAATAGTGCCTGATCGTCGGGAATAAAAGAAGGCATTTGATCAGACCGGTATTTGTAGTGTTGACTCGCAGGGCCTGTCTTGACTCGTCCGTTCTCTTCCTGCCGTTCCAGCACCGCAAAGCCTTTGCCTCCCACTAGCAATTCATTCAATACAGGTGTTTCCGGACGAAGTCCGACCCAGGCCTCCAGATGCCCGAGCCAAGGTTCAGTAACACGAACGACCACTTCGCGCATCAGATTCTCTATCCAACCGAATCTATGAGATAGATATGCAGCCTCCTGCATAATAATGGACATAACCAGAGCATCCGATGAAACCTTTTCAGCTGCATCGACCATGCCCGCCAGAGCGTTAACCAATTCGCCGCCTCGCGAGAACAGGGACTTGATCTGGAGTATTGATACCGCGTGTCTCGACTGACTTGCCAATTGTATTTCAAGGGTGTAAATAATCACAGCTGTCGTGCTAGCGAAAGTCGACAAAGTGGACAGCCTCGCCTTCTTGATCGAGGTGCTGCGAACAAAGGCCCGTATTCGTTGCATGTCCGTTCCACATTGGAGCAGTTCGCCTGTGATCTGGTTGAGTATCGAAAGACTTACGCCAGAGACGCGCACATCGTCCAACGCTTTCTCAAATTTCCTTGCCTCCACGTTGTAGCGAAAGAACGCGGAACCCCACCCCAGTCCAAGACGGATAAGAGCCTGGAAGAAAACATCGCTTCGAACCAGTCGTCCCGCAATGTTGACCCTCTTCTTCGCCGAATGGTGTTCCAATGCCGCATCAAAACCCCTCGCCCCAGATTCGCTAAAGTATGCGGAAACCGGTTCACGGTGCGATCGGTTGTGATAAGTCTCCCATGATTGTAGCGGCGGCTTGTAACTCAAATCCCCATTCAGACGGTCGAGTAACCCAATATCGTCTTTCAGTTTGTAGGTATCATCGTGAGGATCGGTAGCATGCTCGTCGAATTGGGTCTCGCTCGATGAATCGGTGATAGGCTCGAGTAACTGTTCAGGTTCGCCGACGAGTTCGTTTCCCAAGATATCCAGCTGATGTAACTTGTCACCCTCGCTATCAAACAAACCGACCGAGCTCTTGAAGAATCCATCTGTCAGATCTTCCAATGTCGTCAGTTTCCTGAGTTCAGTTCGACCGTTGACTACTCACCAGGTAACTCCTCGTTCCACGGTAAAGCCTCCAATGGCTGCAGCGATTGCAAAGTAAACGTGGAGAGCCGCCATAAATTCTCACTAGAAAAGGGATCTATCCCATAGTCACCCTCCATCATGCCAGGGAGTAGCCATTTATCTCAATGGTCTAAAGTCTTTATCGCAACGTTCGCGTTGACAACGCGCGACACGCCGCACTAGTCCCGGATAGGTTTAGGACATCTTCAATCCCGTGCACGGGCCACCGCTTGTTCGGGAAACCGACGCCGCCGTGCGGTCAAACTGTTGCTGTAAACACTACACTTCTTCACTCCACGACATCGTCAATATGCCTCCGAAGAAGAAGCCTAAGCTTGCGGAAGCTTCGGAGACAGAGAATGGACAGGCATCTGCTACGCCAGCTTCGGGCGAGAGCGCGAAGCCAGAGACGGATTACGATATTGTCGCGGACCCTTGGACGGACGAGCAAGAGACGGCTTTACTGAAGGCCATTATCAAGTGGAAACCAGTTGGTACGGCTTACTACTACTAAGGAGATACTGCGCCGGCCATAGAAGCTAATATTTTCTCTCTCAAGGCATGCACAAACACTTCCGTATGATCGCAATCTCCGAATTCCTCAAAACCCAAGGCTATGCGCCCGCGAACGCACTCCACACGCGAATCCCCGGCATATGGAGAAAGCTCAACACACTTTACAATCTTCCAGCGCTGGATGAGCGGGTAAGCGTGTCCGCCTCTTGTCCAATTGCTTGCGCGTTGCTGACGGTGGAGTTTGACTATGACAGGAGGATTCATTAATATCAGATGTCGCGGATGACGGCGATCCCTCGAGCGAACGATATTGTCCCTTCCAACTCCCCGATGACGAATACGGTTATATGATGTTTGAGAGGAGATTGGCGACAGAGGAGTCTGTGTCGCCTACGAGCGGCCGTGCAGAGTCGAGACGAGGGAGCACCGCGGCTGATACGGATGGTATCTATTCCCCTTTCTACAAGTTGTTTATGTCATTCTTTACTAATTGGCTTCGCCTACAGAAGCACGCTCCTCCCCCGCACCCTCCCGTGGACGAAAGAGCACCCGCGGCCGTCCCCCAGGAACACGCGGGACACGCGCAAAGCGGTTCCAAGCTGAGGAATCCCGAAAAAGCGCAGCTATTGTCGACGATGAAGATGGCTCCGAAGAAGAAGAAGAAGCTGATGAGGACGCGTCGGACGCCGCGAAAGATGACAGTGATATCGAAGATGATGAAGAGGAAGCGGGTGATTCTCCGAATCCGAGGAGTACAAGGGCTCAGACGTCACGGTCGAGGAGAAGCACAGGGACAGGGACGAGAAGGACGGGGCGGCGACGTTGAGATTCCTTGTTTAAGTTGCAATAATGATCGAGATACCTTAAAAAGGTGTTAGACGGCGTTTTCTCGGGGTTTGTACGGATTCATTTTCAATTGGCAGTGGGGCACCTGTCATTTCTCAATATATTCTGAAGTACACAGTAAGGTTTAATTGTCATGTCTATTTTTCACTGGTACGTTAAAAAAGTATAATGACAAGCATCTCAAGTGCTACATGTAGATACTATACCTAGGTCGTTCGCGGGTTATAGAGAGTAACAAGGGGGAATAGTACAATCAAAGTGACAGAAACCGCTTAGAGACGCTTCATGATAGCCTCAGCGTACTCAGCAGTCTTGGCCTTACCGCCAAGGTCTCCAGTGAGGGCCTGTATAGCGTTAGTATCAATTTGTGGGAGTATCAATTGCATCGGATAGAACTCACCTTGCCCTCAGAAAGAGTGTCGAAAGTGGCCTTCTGGATACGGGCAGCGTGGTCGGTCAGACCCATGTGCTGAAGCATCATGATACTGCTCAGAAGCAGAGCAGTGGGGTTGGCAAGACCCTTGCCAGCAATGTCGGGGGCGGAACCGTGGACGGCCTCGAAGATCGAGCACTCGTCGCCAATGTTACCGGAGGGGGTGAGACCGAGACCACCGATGAGACCGGCGCACATGTCGGACAGAATGTCACCGTACAGGTTGGGCATGACAAGGACCTTGTCGTTGTAGGGGGTAGGGTCGGTAACGATCTTCAAGCACGAGTTGTCCAGCAGCTCAGCGTCGAACTCAACGTCGGGGAACTCCTTGGCGATGTCGCGGGCGAGGTTGAGGAAGAGACCGTCAGACATCTTCATGATGGTGGCCTTGTGCACCACGCGGACCTTCTTCTTGTTGATGGAGCGGGCGTACTGGAAGGCGAAACGGAGCACACGCTCGGAAGCCTCCTTGGTGATAAGCTTGATGCTCTGGACGACACCGTCGACGACAACGTGCTCGATACCAGAGTATTCACCCTCAGTGTTCTCACGGATCAGGACAGTGTCGACGTTGTCGTAGGGGGTCTTGTAGCCAGCAACCGAGCGGCAAGGACGGACGTTGGCGAAGAGGTTGAAGGTACGACGGAGAGTAAGGTTGAGAGAGACGTGACCCTTTCCAACGGGAGTCTAAAAGCGTTTCGTATGAGTATATGCGAATCCATTGTCGAGTCGAGAAATAACCTACAGCGAGAGGACCCTTAAGCGCGACGTAGTTGCGCCTAACACTCTCGATAGCATCATCGGGAATTGCGGTCTTGCCGTCCTTGAGGATGGGAGTGACGTCGACGGGCTCCCACTTGACGGGGGCCTATTATCCAACTTAGCCATCATTCTTCTCCCATTTGTTGTTATCAGATAGCTCGAAGGCTCGGGGCGGGGTTTACATTTGCGGCGGAGAAGATGTCCTTGACGGACTGAGCGATTTCAGGACCGATACCGTCACCCTCGATCATGGTCACGGTGTATTTTCCCTATCGAAACAATTCTGTCAGACTTTCCATTCTCACTCGTATTCTATCCGTATCGTTGCGACTCGATTCGAGGCACCAATGCCTTGTCGACCGTAGTGGAAACATCCTCCGATATAAGGCGAAACGGGGTGGGAGAAAAAGAAAATATTTTAACGGCGGCACATACATCAGCACCCTTCTGACCCTTGAACTTGGCAACCCGCTCATCGGCAGCAGAGGCGTAGCGACGGAACTAAGGCCATAGTTAGCTTGTATAGTCCACCAGACCAGGAGGGCTAAATACCTGCGAAACCGGCGACGCAAAGCTGGGGGACACCCGTGTTGTCCGCAAGCACTGACGCGCGGGGGCAATGAAGGTTCTAGCAGAGATCATGGTGGCAGAACCCGGGGATCGCTACCGGAGGATAAATCTATTAAAGAAGAAAGTGAGAGTGGAGGGTTGAAAGGGGAGAGGGGAAGAGGAGGAAGAAGGGAAGTTGTGCGCGGGAGAGAAAAGCCTCAGTCAGTCCATCGTCAACGTCTCGGCAGCGCCGCCCGATCCGACCGGGCAGAATACCGCTTTGGGCCGAGTCGGTTGATCTGATAACATACGCCTACTACGGGGTACAATTGCATACTTTTTTGTATACTGGGGTACATATACACAAACGGACTCAACACTGCTTGTTCACATCCTTGCAGCTGCAGATGTCTGCATGAGATCTGTCTAGCTTGATCGTGCGTGCGCCGTCCTATCGGTCTACCTGTCCCCTCCCTTAACTCGCCTACCACCCCTCGAGACCATGAACGATACCGATATCGCAAACCATTACGGTCTACCGTCAGAATTTCCAGAGACATGGCCGGCAGAACTCGACGAGAGCGATGAATCCGACACGGAGAGTCTACGCGGTGACGGGGCGCGGTCGCACAAGTCCCGATACTTTGCTTTGGAGCGCAGTGGGAGCCAACGGAAGAATCTGGGGTCACAAAGAGGGGGTAATGGGAAGGACAGTCTGGCTCAGAAGGATGAACCTGATCCTCTAGGCTCTGGGGATAGCGTTCTGAAGGTTCTCAAGAAGAGGGGGCTGCCCTTGGATGAAGAGACCCGGTTACGAAACAGGTTCCTCCTCTCGTCAACGTCGTTCTCGCCAGCGCTTTTCCTCTCCCAGGCTCATTCGAATGACTCAATCCAATCGCTCCTCGATGGATTAGGCTACCTGTCGCGATCCATTGACCAAAAGTCCGCCTCGCTGAAGGTGCTGGTTGAGGCCAACTTCGAGCGTTTCGTCCGCGCCAAGGCGACCATTGATAGCGTCTACACAGAAATGAGAAATCAGGGCGCACCACCACAGGATGACGTTCCTTTGGCCCAGATTCGTCGCCGGTCGGCACATTTTAGGAGCAGCTCGTTAATGATGCGCGGCGATTCCCCCGCGCCAACGATGTTGGAGAGTAGTAAAAATGCTTTGACCAAGGAGAGTGAATACGGTATGAAAGGAATCCGTGCTCCCCTGGTGGAAGCTTCTGTGAAGGCGGAGGAAGTATGGGGCCCAGCCCTTGGGGGTCGTGAGAGAGAACAGGTACTGAAATCTGTGGTCGACACAATGGAGAGGCATCGGGATGTCTACGAAATTGGCGGACAGCTTTCCAAGGCGATCAAGCAAAGGGATTACGAATCAGTTTTTGAGCTATACACGAATGCGAGGACACTAGCCAACAATGCTAGGAATATTGCAGGCATGGCTAGCAGCGATGGCCGGTCGTTGACCGACGAGGAAACGCATACGATTTTGGCCATGGGTCGAATGTGGATGGATGTGGATCAGCAAATCCAAGCATTTACGCGTGATCTCTGGAGGCGTCTGGGTGATGCACCCACAACATCCACGACGGCCACAGCATCTGGCCCAGTCGAGGAACACATGGAATTGATCGGGGCCTTGCTGGAACTGGGCGTTGAGGACAATCCAATCTGGATATGGCTCGTCAACCGCTATGACTTCCTCAAGACCAAGATTACATCGTTCTGTGAACGTTGCAAGGTCGAACTCGAGATCCTCCGGCGCAGACTGGCCAGTGGTGAGATCCCGTCCCCACAACAAGTGGCATCGTACCTTCGACTAGCCCCTCGCGAGGGCTCACTCGATGCGCAAGCAATGCTAGATACGGATCAAGTTACTGAGCTCTGGGAGTGCATCCATACTTACCTGAACAGATTATTGTCTCCCCATGGAGGAGTTTTGGGTGAAGTGCTGGATTTCTGGGAAGCCGCACAATCGTTTATTGATGGCAGCAAGCAAAGGATGCTTCCGGTTGGATTCGAAGGGGAGAGTCGTAAACATCATCGGCTTTCTTCGGAGGAGGCGTTGACTCTGGAGAATGGTGTGGTTGAGTTGATCAATCTGATCCGCGAGAGCGTGTTGGCGCTGTTTGCTTCCCCCCCAACGGATGATCTCTCGATTCTCGCAACTCCAATATCACCACCCAGCCCAAGCACCCCGAGCTTTGGGGTCACACCCACCGAATCTCGTTTCAAACTCGACCCCAAAAATATGCCTTTCCCGATTCCCAAACGGGGGGAGCATTGGGAAGACTTCGCCTTCTGGCCGCCTTTCTCAAACTCACTCAGTGGCATACACTATCTCGACAAGTTCCTGGCCATAATCGGTATGGCAGCTGGCGAGATGGCTGCATTGGGCCCCGTGGCCCACAGCGGTAACACCCCCGATCTTCTCAAGTCGCTTGTGAGTACTGCTCGTGAGCGATCGGTCCGCGTCGTATGTGCCGCCTGGGGTAAGGATGCGGAGACCTGCAAGATGCTGGAGGATTGGACACGAGATCCCGAGAAGCGAGACTTGACCAAGATGCCGGGGCTGTTCGTTGCATATGAAAGTGCGATCCTTGGCGGGATGCAGAAGATCTTGTACATTCCAGAGGCCATGGCCAAGCCTCTTCAGGTGGAAGTTGTCACGCAACCTCCGGCCAAACTTCTCCAGATGGTGCGCATGCAGTTTGTGTCGAGCGTGTACAAGGCGCTCAGCGGGCTGGTGGAAAATGCGGAGCATCCTGCGGCGCCAGAAGAGGACAACGAGTGGGTTCTCGTTGGACATGCGACATCGGTCAACGGACCAGATGTTGCATCGTCTGTGCTTGCGGCAGATGCTGTGGATGCTGGGAACAGGGTAAGTTACCATTCCTTTTTCATTGTTGCGCGAATCGTGGCTGACCATTACAGAACGTGCGCATACTACTCACGCTCTCCAATATCAAGGAACTCCAGGCCGTTCTAGTACCACAGCTCATCTCGAACTTCGAAACATCCTTCTCCGTCAAATTAACCGACGAAGCCAAGACCATTCGAGATGCACTCCACCAGATTGATGACCGCCTCTTCCAATCTTACACCAACCCAACCGTCGAGACACTGAAATCCACGATCTTCAACGGCATTACTGCCCCAGACTGGGAACCATCCACCAACCGGCCCGATCAAGTCCGGCCCTACGTATACAACACAATGCTAGCCTTGGTCCTTGTCCACACCGAAATCTCAACCACCATCCCGTCCACCTCCCTCTCAGCCTCGAGTCGGTCATCCTCTGGCGTCCCATCTCCACTGATGAAAACCATTCTTACCTACCTCCTATCCAAGTTATCTTCGTTGCTGCTATCCTCATTTGGTGCACGATCGGAGTACACGCTTGCGGCGCTGATGCAAGCCACTCTGGACACGGAGTTCATTGCGCAAACCCTCTCACAGTATTCCACGGACGAGTCGTCTACGGTGCAAAGCCAGATCTATGTGGAATTGGACCAGCGGACTACGCATGAAGCGCGCGCCAAGCTTCAGGCGGAGCTTGGGGAGATGAGGGGAGTTTTGAGGAATCTACGTGATAGGACAAAGGGAGAGTTTGCCTGCTTCCGGAAGCCCAGGACTGGGACAGGGCTGAAGTCACCTCAGTAATTAGTCACTTAATTTTGAATAGCATTTGCATTTATTCACAAACTGTATCCATATAAATCAAAACCAGATCATATTAACGCTGGGTATCACTTTTAATCCGACACTTTTCAATGCACACTGCCACAAGACCATCTAGGTCTAACCAACCATCCGTTGAACACGACTAAGCAGCACCGTACTCTCCCTCCCCAACCTTTTCTTCCCATTCTGATCCGGCCGTTTAGCCTTCGCCATGGCATCGCGATCCTTCTGCCTAAACTCTCTTTGTTCCCTTCTTCTCTCAGCCTCCTCTTGGCGCTTCCGCGCAATCTCCAACTCCTTGTCAAAAGCAGTACGCTTTCCCTTCTTGTTTCTGCCACCCTCGCGACGGTTCTGCGCACGCTCCGGCCTAGGTTTCCGTTCAGGTGCGGGTTCGGGTTGTGGTTCATTCAGCATAGCCACTCGGTCTGGGTGAAGCTCCATGCCAGCGCCTTCAGCCTCTTGGGGCTCGTTGGGATCGGCATGTTCGTTTTGTCGCCGCTCATTTTCTTCGCGTTGGCGCTGTTCTTCGAGTTCGTAGACGGAGGGTTTGGTTGGCGCTTCTTCTTGGGATTTTACTTTGGCGTAGGCTTTTTTAACTTTGGCTTTTTGGATTAGGTCGGCTTTGATTTTTTGGGCTGCCAAGCTGTCAGCATCCAAGCTCATTCATCTCTGTAATCTTTCTTCTTTGGGATGTCTACCTTTCCGGCGATATGTGCCATCGGGGAGGTTATCAGGCGCGACAGAAAAACCCTTCTTGTTCTTCTTGACTGGGGGTTCGGTTGTCGCAGAGCCCCCTGGACGATCTTCTGTATCGCGCGAACGCTTGGCCGACATTATGAATATGAATTGCAATAATTGTGCTTATCGAGTGTTTGTCAAGAAAGTCCTAACGGTTTTTGATCTCGATTTTTTGCAAGGCGGTGAGTCGGGGGTCCAACGGCGCGATAAGCGGAGGGGAAAGAAGTATGCGCCTACTATCAGTCAGGATTGATATAGTTAATTATGCTTCTTTGCTTCATATTCGAGTGGTTAAGAGCGATATACCGCCCGAATAGTCGTTTGATTTGCATTCCTGAGTGACGCTGAGCTATATAGTAGCCAATAGTGCGCAGGCCTTAATTATCAGGCGATGATTCATCATCCCATTCCGTTTCTGCCGTTCCGAGTCAGTCTCTCTTCCAACTTCTCTTCTTCCTCTCTCTCACTTTTTCTCTCTAATTATACCATATAAATCTGTGTATTCAGCGTCGCTCTTGTGCTTGCATCTGTCACCTTGTCATAAGCAGTTCTCTTGATTGCATCTCGTCCCCCGCCATCAGCGCATCACTACGTATAACTGCCGCCATACAACGCATACTGCCCGCCACTTCGGCCTGACAACCTCGCCTCTCTCGTCATTTTTTGCTCGTTATATACCGTGCTGGCCACCTTTTAGGCACCTTGCGATGCTCAATATTTCAAACCCCGTCTCATAGTCTGCAATTTTCGTTGCAAACATGCCCATTTTTCAAGATCCGGATCGTCAGCGCTTCTACGACCTATGGTCCGATGGCCGCCGGCCCCATGACCACCAGCACCACCAGGATAGAGAGAATAGGCCGTGGGATCATGAACCATCATGGAAGAACGGTTTTGGATACGGAGATCTTGAACGCGAATCCTCGGATCCGGAAGTCAGGGACTTTGGTTACTCCCGAGTCCCGGGTCCTCAGCTCCACAAGTTACATACCAGTGATCGCGGGGAGTTGATACAGTACCTTAAGAGGTCTGAGTCGTCGGCTTGGATGCAGGGTCGTCTGGTATGTCTAAGCGTCATATTTTTCTAATATAGTCTAGTATTTCTCTAACCGGACAATAGGCGGACAACTCAAGTGATTACTCGATACATGATATGCAATGCGAACACTCACATATAGACAGTTTTGACCGGAATACCGGTAGTGAGCGACAAGAAATTGAATCCCAAGAACTAGCATCGCCAACTAGTATCGAGAGGCCTCGTTCAGCGTTACATTCCGGTGATTTCAGGGAGGGAGGTGGTGGACAACAGATAAAGGGACAACTACAGTCTCTTTATACTGAACATGAACATGGCCCTTCCAATATCTCTCTGCTTGGATCGTCTCCCACCACTCCTTGGTTCAACGCCCCAGTATTCTCCTCGTCGCTGTCACTGCGCACCCCCACGCATGATCCGGAGCCGAGAGGTCCGGTAAATAGGTCGCGGGCACCTTCGTTTGGATCGAGCTACGTTCTGAAGGCTCCAACCAGTCCTCTGGTGCACCAAGCGAATAACACAGACCTAGACTTTTCTCCCAAGGTTGATGCCGTGGAGATCTCGGAGTCGCAAGAGAAAGCCAACCGTCGTCGCACTTTACCCCCAGAGACTTTCCGGTATCTGCAGTCGTCGCCTACAGACCAAATCAACTTTGGCGCTTTTGACGTCCATCAGCAACGCGAGGAAGCACATCCATACCAGCCCAGCTCGCCCCGACGGACATTGACGTCCGGATACAGTCTTCAACTTGCTTCTTCAATCCAGGCCCCTGCGCAGCGGGCCAGCAGGCCATCTTTTGACGTACCTTTGAAGGGACATGCTCCGATGGTCGGATCATACGAAGAGTCTATACTCCGCGGGCGGATGTCGATGAATCCTTCGAAGCCTCTAGATTTCACAGCGCAAATTGGTGTCCTGGGGAAAAGTAAATGCAAGTCAAATCTCAAATGTCCGCCGCATGTGTCGATACCGTTCCCCGCGGTGTTCTACAGTTATCCTACGTCGGGTTCTGGGCGGTCTATCTCGGATGATAACCCAAGTCCTTATGTTGGTCACATCGATTTGGAGAATTCACTTCCGAAAGACGATCCAACTACCAACAAGCGTCGCAGACGACATCAAAGTCCAGCAGGAAAGAACAACGATTCTGTTGTCGACGATGCAGCTGCGCATAAACATAGCAACCAAGACATACTGCGCCGGCGAGAGAAGAAGAACAGAAGGGCAGACTCACCAAAGTGTCCACCCGGTGGGTGTTATAGAATCCCGCAACAAGGACAGCTTCAAATCATGATCAAGAACCCGAATAAGACAGCCGTCAAGCTGTTCCTCGTTCCGTATGATCTGGGCGATATGGAACCGGGTACGAAGACATTTATCCGGCAGAGAAGCTATTCAGCAGGTCCCATAATTGACATGCCCCTCAGTGCGCGCAAGAATTACGGCACTGATCGCCCAGAGGCATCATTGAGTGTATCAGAGGATCCCAAGGATAAACCTATCCTGCGATACCTGGTCCACTTGAACATCTGCTGCCCGTCCAAAGGCCGTTTCTATCTCCACTCGAGCATCCGCGTTGTCTTCGCCAATCGAGTGCCAGATGGAAAGGAGAAGCTGCGAAATGAAACCCAACATCCTGATCCAAAGTACACACCCTATAAACCCGCTCGGGATCCTGGCACGAAGTCTGCCTCAGAGAAGACGGATTACAGACGGAATGCAGCAGGCCAAGGTACGATACCCAATGATATTCAGGGAGTAAAAGAACTCGATCCCGTGCCTGCGCGGCATCCGTTCCAGCCTATTCCGTCTCTAAGAGAAACTCCACTTACCTCTCCCGGTTCCGAATTAGCTGGACCTGGACCGCATACTGAAGCCGGGATGTATAACAAACTCAGCAGGGGAGATACTGGATACGGTGGCTATCCGTTTTTGCCCACTGGCTCTGAGGTTGGAGAGAGCCTGCTAGCCAAGAGATTACGCGGGCTGGATGTCCAGAAACATGACACGCGGTATATCAACTGAACAGGATCTTCAAAACCACAACGACAGTGATGTTTTATACCTATATCCCGAGTACAGACCTTGCTTTTCTTCTTCATTCCATTATATACGCAATGGCGTTGGCGTTGACTAACATACAGGACCTTTGAAACAGGCGCAGGCTCACCATCTCCCTCATTGAAGCATTGGATCTGCTTCTTTTTTTTTTTTTCCCTTTTCTTTTCTTTCTTGGGGGCGTTTACAGACTAGACAAGGCGCACAGAATAGGCAATATACCCCATTCTTTTTCGTTCGTTTTATAGTGAAGTGAAACATGCATATAACTTTTGTCTTTCATGCTTGGACGAGGTTTCTATTACTTACACTCGTTTCTTGACTTGGACGGCATCCGGTTTTGGCTTTTTGGGTGTACATGGATAGGTGTTGGTTCTCGATATTAGTGAAAATACAATCAATGGATTCCTAAAACTATCTACACATTTTACCCTATACAACCCCCCACAACGCATTTAACCAGCATACTCGACAATCTCGTTAACGATCTTGCCGTCCTTAACGTACGTCTTAATCTGCTCCGGAAGAGGACACTCCTTGGTATCTTCATCAGACCCCTCCTTTGGCGGAAGCATGATGTTAACAGCCGTGCTATTGCTCGAGAACACCTCCGTGCCCAAGCTCTGCTGGCTCAGATAGACAGTCGCACCGTCAACCTGGTCAAACAGAAGAGTAGGGACGATACCGTCGATCTGGAGAGCGAATTTGGGCGACTTGATGACGTCCAGACTGCTGACCAGCGAGTCGACGATGACAGACAGGCCGGTGCAGTTGTCGATGGAGATGGCGTTTGCCTTGTTGTTGATCTTGATGATGGTCTTGTTACACCGGGAGATGAGGATGGAGTGGTTCTGCGCCGCGGGGATATCGATGATCTCGCCTGGGTTGTCATAGTTCTCGATGAACCACTTGTTGCCTTCGAAGTCCTTGCGCGGGGGCTTGCGGCCGCGCATGCTCTCCGGCTTGGGCTTCTTGCTTGGCATGGGGGACCGGGCGCGAGACACGCTGTCTGAGGAACCGGGGCGCTCTCGTTCTCCGGGGACCGTCGAGCCTTGCCGGAGGGCTGGGTTCTTGTGTGTCATCTGCGATTTGTCGACCTTGCGGAGACTGGATGTGATCGCATCCCCTTGGTTCAACTGGTCAAAGACAGCGGTCATATCAGCGGCCGGGGCTGCTGACGGGGCGGGATTGAGGAGTGCACCCGGTGGGGGAGGCGGGGGAGGAGCACCGCCAGGCACATTGAGGGATGGCACCGGCGGCGGAGGGGGTGGTGGTACGGCGCTGCCAGTGTCGGCAGAAGAGTCGCCCTTGATCTGTCTCAGAGCATCCTGCGCTTCGACGCCGCCCTTTTCGTTCCAGGTCAAACCATTGGCATAGTGCTTCTTGAGATACGCTGCAAGTGCCTTGAAGATTTTAGAGTATGCTCGAATGTATTCAACGTGAGTACGGTCCCTAATAGAGAAACACCGTTAGCGATTGGTCCATTTACTCCATTTCGAAACCTCTTACTTGTCTTTGTACTCCTTCATAACCTTGTTCCCGTAGTATTCAATACCGCTGATCATCTCATTGACGAAATCAGCGGGCTTAGGCTGGAAGAACCAGCCCAGCGCAACAATACCCTCTGCAACGGCGCTGAGGTGGCTGAAATACGGCGAATCACGGTGTGCCTCGCGGAGGTTGTCGATGGTATCAGAAGCATTGTGCAGGTCCGTCATAAGCTCAGGAGGCTGCGGCGATGGTTTGCAGGCCTTGAGCGAAACGTAGACGAAGGTCCGCTCGGCTTGGAAAGCTTGCAGAACTGCTTTAGATTGCTCCTCGACCAGACCCCCAATCTTTTCTCCCAAATCCACGAAAGTCAGGACCTCATTCTTGATCAAAGCATCGAAGTCGTCGATTTGCGGTGGTGACTGGGGGGCTGCGGGAGGTGCCGCGGGAGCTGGTGGTTGGGGTTGCGCGGGAGCTGCGGGCTGGGCAGCTGCAGCAGCGCCGTCATCAACGGGCTTGGGAGCATTGGGGTCATCAAGCGCCATGGCCATGTCCTCCAGACGGGAGGTTGCGGCTTCGAGCCTGTGCAAGTATACGGGTCAGCATGGTCAACCACAGGCCTACCAAGTCCGGGAGGTTGAAGACAACGGATTCGTAGCGCAACTCCGTCAAGGCTATAACAAGGTCCAGGGTGGTAAAGCATACCGCTTGACGAGGGTGGTTAAGTTATGCATATGGCCGCCGCTTGCCATCTTGACGGCTGCTCCAGCAAGGAGACGGAGGACCCTTGGAAGCTCGTAGAGGGATAGGAGTGGGAGAAGAGATGCAACAAGCAGAGAGTCGCAGTGAGCGTCGACTCAGGTATAGTAGAGCAGTAATAGAGAGAAGGACAGAGATAGGAGAATGTTGCAAGGTGTCTGTCTTCGATGCTCCTGAGCCGTTCCTGACGCAGGTGGACCATTACCGTACCGTACAGCGGGACTCCCACTTTACTGTGGACCCTCATGACGTTGGCGGTATAAAATGGTAATTTATGTTACCACTCTTATCACCAGCTTCACTTCTTCACTTCATATCTTTTGCATCCTCTGTACAGTTACTGCCATTTCCCTGTGTTTTCACTGTATATACACCACTGCTCGATAATGGCGTCTAGTAACACTCCTGGGCAGGCCCCGGTCGAGTTTGTCACTATGGGCATGTTCATTCTCGGTATGCTCTGATATATACCAATCTTTTCCGTCTGGAATTGATGGATGGGAGTGTTTTCTAGGACAGAGCTCACCATATATCTCCATCTCATGTAGATGACATTGACTTCGATGGACCCCAACCAAATGTGAAGAACGTCCTGGGTGGTGCGGCCTCTTTCGCTGTGGTGGGCGCACGTCTGGTCACCGGAAAGAAGGACGCCCAAGCTGTGAGCTGGATCGTGGACGTGGGATCTGATTTCCCGCAAGAGGTCCTGGATCTCCTGAAATCATGGGATACGGATTGTGTCTTCCGGGAGGACCAGAACCGATTGACTACGAGAGCATGGAATGGCTACGGTCCAAACGAGAAGAGAGGTTAGTAGACCATAGCGGATGCAAAGGTGCACCTGATAACCAACGAACAGATTTCGAATACTTGACCCCCAAACTACGCCTGGAACCTTCAATGCTGTTTGAACGCCAGGTATTCTCCAAGACGGTTCACATGGTTTGCTCGGCATCTCGTTGCATTTCCATCGTGGAAGATATTATGCACCGGCGTGAGCAACTGCGACAGGAGGGCAAAGCACCCCCGGGTGTCGATACCTCGAAAAGACTATTCTTCATCTGGGAACCGGTCCCTAACTTGTGTACCCCGGAGGAGCAAGACAAATTCTTTGCGGCGAACAAGGTCGTAGATGTTGTGAGCCCCAACGAACTAGAGCTGGGAATGATGTTCGGTCAGCCTGGTTGGAGTGAAGAGAGCGAATTCGGACGAGACATTGTGAAGCGCATTCTGGACTCTGGCATTGGACCTCAAGGAGAGGGACTTTTGTCCATTCGGGCAGGCAAGGATGGCAGCTACTCATATACTAGATCGCAGAGGATTTGGTTGCCCGCATATCACCAACCGGGCTCGTCCGGAGCTACAAAGGTGGTCGACCCAACGGGTGCTGGCAACTCATATCTGGGGGCATTGGCCCAGGGGATGGTGAGTGCAGGTAGAGATCCAGCCAATATTATCGACTCCGTCCTCGCGGGGTCTGAGAACTGGCGCAAATCCACCCAAGATTGGGGAAAGCAGAATCACTACCTCCCCGCGTTGATATTCGCTACTGTCGCAGCAAGTTTCGTGGTGGAACAGATTGGCGTGCCTCGATTATCAGCGACATCTGACAACGCTAAGGAACTTTGGAACAAAACTGAATTCACGGAACGGGTCCGTCTGTACACAGAGCGATTATATCGAACACTGGAGGAGTCTCCCCAGAGACACCTGCGCGGTCAATTGACCAACTGATAGAAGAACGCCTTTTCTATTGTCGTACAGCCCACAATGAATTATGAAAACAGAAACAGCCAGCCATTTCATCATAGAATCCCTTCCACGGATTTTCCCTTTGCTTCGTATTCTCCGGCCCTGGATATTGTTCTATGACTCGTTCTTCTGCTGTCTCTCGTGTTCGATAATTTGCTTGCTCCAGCTAGATACAACGAAAATAGAGCTCGTCAGTAAGGCGGTGATCAAATTGAATCGGTTCCGGAGTAACTGACTAGCGACTGGGAAAGAATCTGCCGGGCTCGGGCATCTTGTCGCGGCGCTCACGCTCGGCGCTGAGGCTCCAGGTCGCGGCAACAATTCCGATGACAGCAGCGCCGATGATGGCCGTGTTGGCTTTCCAGTTCGCGGGCTGAGCGTACCAGCCTCCGGCGGGAGACCAGACTTCCTTGGGGTACCTTCCGAGATGACGCCGTTAGCCCTTCATCCGACAACACGATTTCGCTCAGCAGAACCAAAGGGAAAACTCACGGGATCTTGCCGCCACCACCCATTTTGGCGTTATAGAGGAATTGGGAGAGGAAAAGAGGGAATGGGAATGTTGTATAAGGCGGAGGTTATTAATGGGCGGCAGCTCAGTCGTTGCAGCCGAATTGGCCGTCGACGTCCCTCAGTCCCGTGATCCCATGGCCCAATTGGGTTTAGTTCCCCCTCTCTTCCCACGAGACCGCCCGGATCCCGTGACCTGCGCCGGTCGAACATTTTCTCTCTCCAGCAAAGCAAAAAAGTTGCTTTTCTGCCCGGGTTATTTGACTGTGCTCCCTCCACGCTTTGGCTTCTCTGCTTGCGCTTCTGATACTTGACTTCCCACCGCTCTTTAAGGCTCAATTCTCGCACATTCGCCCAGATGAAAAGGCTGCAGCTCCAACGATGGAGCAGTTCGGTCCTTTCGCCGCGGGTCCGGACTGGTAGTAGCCGCCTGCAGCACCATCTCTACACAGGACTCCGGTACCAATCGACTGTTTCGCCTGTGACCCAGGTCGAGAACGAACCATTGACGCATGAACAATCGCCCATGTCGCCAATTCCTTCCCCCAACTCCCAAAAGTCGAAATACACCCTCCCCTCCCCGCCGGTAGAAGCCGCACGCGAGTCGGCAAAATTGGCCGCCCTCCACGCTCGTCTTTACCTGCCCTCACGGTTACCCCTCGAGACCCTTGCACGATCGTTGGTGGATGCGTCGGCGGAACCGAATTCGAATTTCAACAATGCATCGCTGGCCACGCTGGGCCATGACCTTTTGACCTACTACACTTCCGAGCACCTCATCTGCACATATCCTCGACTTCCCATGGCGGTTGTATTTGCGGCGATGTATGCGTACGTCGGACCTAAGACTTTAGCGGCAATGACCAAGGAATGGGGTGTGGAGCACGCTGCCACGCCCGGAGGCGAGGTCGACCCCGGCTTCTTGCAGTTCAAAAGAATCGACCCGGGGACCGAGATCGAGGAGGGACAAGTGAACGGATCGACACGACCCAACGACCAGCGGAGATGGAGAGTGTCGATGAGCTCGCGGGTTGTGTATGACAACGAATTCGGTGAGCCGGTCCAGGACCCCACCAAGAACGACGGGCAATCGACGCCGCTTCCCGCGGGCGTCACCGCGGAACAGGCCAGTGCCAACTTCATCCGGGCCGTCATGGGCTCCATCTACCTGCACGCCGGCCGTCCGGCGGCCAAGCGGTTCTTCGAGCAACACTTCCTTTCGCGACACCTGAGCATCACAGAACTGTTCGACTTTTCACAGCCGGCCCGCGATCTCAGTCGGTTGTGTGCGCGGGAGAGCTTCGAGCCCCCCGTGGCGAAGATCATCAGCGAGACTGGTCGCAAGAGTCGGCACCCGGTCTTCGTGGTTGGCATCTACTCGGGCGAGGATAAGCTGGGCGAGGGCGCTGGCGCCAGTCTGCTTGAGGCCCGATCCCGGGCAGCGGTTTCGGCGCTTAAGGGATGGTACATGTATAGCCCGCTGAATGTGCGCGTGCCCAGTTCGATGGAGGAAGAAAGTGCAGCACCATGGAAGCCCGTCCATGTGGATCTGGGTGAGGTGATTGTGTAGGAGGGGGATCTAGAAATATTTTCTTCATTTCACGTGTTTGATGTCTGTTTTGTTCTTTTCTGTTTGGGAAAAAGAAGAGGATCCCGGTTGGTTGCAAATAAGCTTTTTATGTACGGAGTCACTCTTACTTTGCCAAACGACCAGGAAGCTGTACAGTATGGGTAAATCTACTATTTCTATTCTCTTGATGTGTTAATGTGGTTCGTTTGTACAAGTTCGATGTTTTGGTAGTTTATAGACTGGTTAGCAATGAATTGATGTTTGCAGTATTAGTCTACGACGTATACCTCCCAGTCTAAATATGTTCCAGGATGACCACACAACATTATGTATTTTGCCAGTCACCCCTGTATAGATATAAGTTTTTCCCGGTCCAATAGGACACGCTCAGAACTCGAGCTGTTATCCAATACACCTCGGCAGTTAGCGAAGCACTACAGTCTTACACCTCCAATTGTGAGACCAGATATTGCTATGTATTAAATATTATAGTGTTGGAAATGATATTTCAATTTCGAAGACCAAAATGATGCACGTATTATTCAATAGACAAGCCCCTAAGCCGCCGCCGCAGCAGGCAGGAAAACGCGCTTCCTCTAGAGTCATTGTTAGCCCATCATCATTGATTTCACAAAGCACAGTCAGAAGCAGAAATAAACATACCGAAAGAGCAAGTGACCCCACAAGCGCAACCGCAGACCCAGCATACGCCACAATAAACCTAGTTAACTGTCAGCCCAGCCCTAAAATATCTGCATCGGTTAATGAAACCCAAACATACACCTTATCCATATTAGACACAATCAAACTCAGCGCCCTCTCCCGCATCTCAGGCGACAACGCCTGCAGCACTTGGCTACTCGTCCCCGAAATCGCAGCCTGCAGCTGATCCTTGGGATACTCGGGTAGGAGGTCTTGGAGTTGGATTGTGGCGCCGTTGACGAAGACAGCACTGGCGATGGCGAGGCCTAGTGCGATGCCGCCGATTTGTGCTGAGTTGGGTTAGTTGGTTTTTCTTTTCTTTTCTTTTTTTCTTTTTTTTTTTTTTTTTTTTTTAAATTGTAGTGGGTTGGAGGAAAGGGATGGTTGAGATTATACATACCGACCATCATGAAGCTGACTGCGTAGCCCAGGTCTTCGGGGGGAACAACTGCTTGGATCACGGCGTAGCCGGCTTGGACGAAAGCTCCGCCGCCGATGCCGAGGAGGGCTTCGAAGCCGTAGATGTAGGAGGTGGAGGTGTGTTTGTCGATCCGCGCTGGTTGGTGGGTTAGTTGAATTGGTACAGTTTGTGTGATTGATTCGAGGAGACTTACAGAGGCAAACATTCGCTATAAGCATCAAGGCAGCACCAATGGCATACCAAGGCATGTAGTAGCCCAACTTGGACATTAACCACCCATTGGTCAAGATAGTCGCGCAGAGCAGAAAAATGAGCGGCAAGAGACGCACGGCAGAAGCCAAGGCGTCGTCACCCCAGGTAAACTGGAAGAAAATGGGAACGTAGTAGACGGGAATAAAGACCGCCGCATTACACGTCGCCGCCAGGATAAACAGCAGCACAGCCTCTTTATTCCGCAGAAATTGAATGGGGAACATGCGATTTGTTGTGGAGGTGAAGATATTGAAGGTCTGCTGAATACCGAACAGAATCCAAAGGACTCCGCCAACTGTGAAAAGAGCAATGATGGCCGCGCTCCTCCAGTCATACAAGCCGCCGCCGAAGTTGATTGGCATAATCGTCGTGATGATGGCTCCCATGCTTAAGATGCATCCTACCGAGTCGAAACTGCGTAGTCGCTGGCCGAGAGAGAGGTGCTTGCATGGGTGAGCGGTGTTGGGGAGGAGGAAGACCCAGATTGGAGCTAGGACGGCACCGATAATGAGGTTGATGTAGAAAGCCCAGCGCCAGGTAACCTTTTCAAATGCACCGCCGATGACGGGGCCGAGGACAGTTCCAATACCCCAGACCAGTCCACTGGTTTGGATGTTAGCTTAAAGCATCAGACAGGCGGTTCACGAAACTCACACAAGACTCAGATACATGGGCCGTTCTTGCTCGGTGGTATTGACAGACAGCAAGATCATCACTCCGATGTAAAGACCAATGCCGCCAGCGCCTGTAAAGACACGACCCACGATTTCCGCATTGATATCCGGGGCAGCTCCACACAGCGCCGATGCAGCCATGAAAATGATGCAAGAGATCAGGTAAAGAAATTTGACGCGAAAGAGGCCATAAATCTTGCTCAGAGGCATGATGACCGCGACACCTCCAATCTGAAACCCAACGGACAGCCATCCCAATTGATCAACCGAGGAAAAGTCATTGATCATTGCCTGCGATGAGTGTTATGAGTTACCCGATTGGATGGCTTTCAAGGTGCACTTACCGGCAAGATGTCGGCGACAATGGTGTTGTCCAGCGCATAGAGGAAGATGCTGGACAGGATACTGACGACAACGAGGAACCACTGCAAGGTCGCAGATTAGTTCCATTTTATCTCTTAGGCAAAGGCATGCTATACCGAGAAACCTTGCACTTTCCGGGGCGCGGGAGCAGCCAATTGCTCGACATCGACCTCGTTGGGATACTTGGGCTCGGAGGTCGCCGCCTCGTGGGCATGGTCCAGGGAGTCGATCATGGTGCGAAATTCGTCGCAATTGAGATTGACGAGAGATAGAAAAGAAGATGGAGGAAATCGGCTCACTTGAACAAGAGACAAGAGGCTCTCATCTTTCTCGAGGATTCCGGAATGTCAAGCTAGATTGGTAATCAGATGGGTAGCATGCGGGCTTTTTGCACTCATTTCGTGATGGCTCCTCGTATCCCTAACAAAGAATGATTAGAAATCAAGCCCGTGGAAATATGCACGCGTCCGCTAGCGCGGGAATACAAATAGATTCTTGTCTGAACGGGCTTCAGATTAATTGGAATTAATGGGTTTAATTGACTCTTCCTTACGGCGCAAGAGTCAGCACTAATGCGCGGGTGATTCACGCCGATCCACTCCGGGTGATGTTCCGGACGGGAATACGAAGTGATAAGCAGTGTGGTCTGTCCGGATCTAGGTACATCTCCGCTATTCAAATTTGAGCCCCAAGAATGTGAACAGCCGTAGGGTCGAGTAAGATCATAAGCCCTAACGGTCATCCGTAAGCCGTAAGCACTTTCGCATCATCATGTAAGAGCATAATCCACTAGGAACGAAGCTGACTGCTTGAGCTATTCGGCTCCTTCAATGGGGCCATTGGGTGTGAGAATGGTATTCCTGATGAGAGAGGTGTCTGCCATCGCCAGCCGGAGCAATAAAAGCTTCTTGTCTGGCTTGATTCTATTGTTCAAGTCTGTCCGTCTGAGTTTCGCATGAGCACCGGTCAACAAATGTCTGCCCTCTCTCTCCTTCCGTTGGCCACTGCCACTCTCTTCACGGCAAGTGTTTCTGCTAGCGCACTTCATGCTAGAAACTCCTCTACCCAGAATGCTCCTGTGGCCTACACTTGCGGACCCAAGACCGCCAACGTCACCTGCATCAACCGATACCAGAGTATCCTCCCTCCGTCTTTCTCGCGCGACGCGGATCCAACTGTCGGCTACTCCGGTACATTGGTCCCTGATGACCCGTCATGGGGATCTCTTGTCCCCAACGCGGACTTTGTAATTTTCGACAAGAAGCGCGGACTGGAGTTGCTGGGCGCATCTCCGAAAATCGCCCACAACTACATCCCCGTGCTGAACGTCATCCACGAAGCTCCAATCTATGTGCCCGAGCTCAACAAGCTGTTCACCACCCAGGATGGGCCTCCGGGGAATCTGACCAACATTATGATTGATTTGAACGTCGACCCCCCCAAGGTTGAGGCCTTCGTGACGGACCCGCCCATTTACCAACCAACAGGAGGTATCCTGCACGATGGAATGATATACTGGGCGGTCCAGGGCAACAATGTGACTCTTCCCAATGGGCTGAAGCAGCGTCCTGGTGTTGCGAGGGTCGATCCCAAGACCCTCAAGGCCGAATGGCTGCTGAACAACTACTACGGATTCTTCTACGGAGGCTTGAATGACCTGACGGTCGATAATGTCGGCGACGTCTGGTTTACTGACAGCGGTATGCCTTCCCCTGACATCACTCAACTGAAACAAACCTGCTGACGCGCTTAGACTACGCCTACGGCCTAGGCCTCTCCAACATGTCCAACCAAAACCAACTAGCCACATACCGCTTCCGCCCATCCACCGGCGAAGTCCAAATCGTCGACGCCAGCCTCCAACACCCCAACGGCATCACCTTCTCCCGTGACGGCAAGACCCTCTACGTGACAGACTCAGGCCTAGAAACGGTCGGCCCGGACGCCAGCACCCAGGGCTTCTACGACTACCCGATCCGGATCTACTTCACGTCGACGAACGCGCGCAACGTCTACGCATGGGACGTGGAGCGCACTACTGATACGGGAGCGCCGATTCTCAAGAACAAGCGGAACATCTTCCAGTCGCTGGAGGGGAGTCCCGATGGGATTAAGGTGGCTGCTAACGGGTATCTGGTTGTTGGGTCGGGGTTGTCGAATGGTGTTGATATCTTGGATCAGTACGGATCGGTTATCGCGAGGATTCAGACGAATCATCCGGTTGAGAATATTGCGTGGGCGGGCGAGGATTTGAAGACGTTGTTTTTGGTGGGGATTGGGGGAATCACCAAGGTCGATTTCGATCTGCAGGGACCGGATCCGAATAATTATTTTGTTAAATAACTAGTTAGTTAGTGCACTTTACTTTTAGGCAAGCGAGATTAATAACTAGAGCGTCTTGTTCTTGACATTGTTCATTTTGGAGTAAATGGCTTCATTGTACGGAGTATAGACTGTACGGAGTATAGATTGTGCTACACATTAAAAAGTAGAATGAAGAGCAAGGTTCCTACCTACATCTCACATCTCAAAAATGTGCATTACAAACCCTCACGAGACTAGCCTTATGCCGGTACGAGGCTGCTGCGATAGTGAGGCTGTAAAGTTCCAGGTGGGCCTTTCTCGTATTTTTGTCACGGGCAGGAGAGCCAGTCATACAAGAACCATGATTATTTCTCAATCACGGCGGGTGTCAGCGTGGGGAGTTTCATAAGCGCTAGCGTATCGAAGTATGCCAATGAGAGTCATGTCTGTCAGAACAAAGACGGTGTTGATTTCAAAGCACATCGAAGGACGAAGAACCAACTATACTATGCTGAGGACATACAAGTATATATAATCCCTCGCCCTCATGTCCAATTTCTCATCCATTCCCAATCCCATTCAAGTCTACTGCAATTACTACTTTGTTCTACATCCCTCACAATAAACAATTAAAATGGCCTCTTACTTGATCACCGGAGCCTCGCGAGGCATTGGCCTTGCCATGGCCGACCTCCTTGCCTCCAAGCCCGCTTCGGAGGTGTCTACTATCATCGCCGCGTTCCGCACCGAGACCGATGAGCTCAAGCAGCTGGTCTCCAAGTACTCTGGTCGGGTGCAGCAGGTCAAGATTGACGTGACCGATGAGGCCAGCACCAAGCAGGCTGCTGCCGAGGTGGAGAAGCAGCTTGACGGCAAGGGTCTCGATGTGCTTGTGAACGGAGCCGGAATTATGAATTTCACTGCCAATGGAATTGAAACTATGTAAGGTCTCATTACTACCAACGGAGTTCTCACAGAAAGCTGACTGAATAGGACGGACCTCGAGTCTACATTTAAAACTAATGTCACCAGCGCCCACCTGGTCACTGCTGCCTTCCTGCCGCTGCTCAAGAAGGGTGACCTGAAGAAGGTTGCCAACATGTAAGTCTCGAGTTATGGTTGATTTAAGTGTGTCCGTGCTCACTATCATAGCTCCACAGCCCTGGGCTCCATCGAGACGTCCTCCCACTACGCCCTGTTCCCCGTCCCAGCATACAAGATCTCCAAGGCCGCCCTGAACATGTTGACTGTGCAATACGCCCAGTCTTTTGCCGAGCAAGGCTTTACTTTCCTGGCTATCTCCCCTGGTGTATGTTCCATACCTAACCCTTTGTACTTCGTATTGATGCTGACTTTCCAGTGGGTCCGCACCAACCTCGGTGGCGACGCGGCCGATCTCTCGACTGAGCAGAGCTCTACTGGTGTTCTGGAGATCATTGACAACGCTACCAAGGCAGACAACGGGAAATTCTACAACATCAAGGTGCCCGGGTGGGAGAATGCGGAGGGACTTAACCGTTACGACGGTCTCCAGTATCCTTGGTAGATACCCTGCATTTGTTACGTCGATACACGTATGAAACTGTAGATAGAAATTTTAACACTGTGGAATATCTTTTGAGGCTCTATACTGAACTTACCCGAATCACCTCATATTTTTAGATCTCAGCATGCCAGCATGACTCGGATAGGTTACAATCGGATCACTTTGCTACCTAGTAGCGAGGATCGAATGCAAAGCGTTAGTATAGAGACACTACCATAATGAATCTTTTGGAATCTCGTTCATGTCGGTCCGTGGCTGAACGATTGGGGTTGATGAATTCCGATTGCTTGTTGGTGAGCTTGCAAAAGCTTGAAAAGGCTTGAGTTATAGCGAAAGTCCGTAGAAGATGGCATGTGCTATTTCGTTTCGGACAACATGGCAGACAGGCATGATTGTACATCCGTATCCCGTCTTTCTGATCTGACACTTCGTATCGGCTTATCACGTCAATTCATCAAATTCAACGTGCTCGGCCAACAGGCACAGAATAATACATATCGTCTGCTGCAGCGTATACACAGACACCCCTACGACCTAGGCGTGGAAATGAAACTATGCCGGCGTGAAGGTATATCGTGTACCTACGGTTTCTTTGTTTCCACTAGCCAATCCGGATACGAGGAACAAACGACCCCTCTTCAGTGTGCATAATCAGGTAGTGAGCTGACGACAATAGCCAGGATTGAATTTGTAAGCTGACACGCAGTTATAAAATCCTTTTCTGAGACCTTTCCCCTCGATTCACCTTCACAATCCATCATCCAACATGTCTAGCAACCAAGCTGCCTGGATTCCAGAGGCCCGTCAGCAGTTGACTGTTGGCCCCGCTCCTACACCAAAGCCAGGGCCTGGCGAGTTGGTTATTCGGAGTCATGCAGTTGCAATCGTGAGTTTTGACTGTGCAGCTTCGGTTCCTGTGCGGATTGCTGATGCTATTCTAGAATCCCGTCGACTGGAAAGTCCAGTGAGTCAATCCCATTTCGTGCAATGCTTCTCAGCCGCTAATCTAGCAGGGATTATGGAATTTTCATCCAGAACTATCCCTTCATCCTGGGAGAGGATGTTGCTGGCATCGTTGAGGAGGTCGGAGAGGGAGTGACTCGGTTCGAGAAAGGCCAGAGAGTAATCGCGTTAGTTGGAGCCTACCCCAATTGTACCGAAACCAGGCTAATTCCTCTGAAGACATCTCCTGTCGCTGAAGACCGCGAATGCCGCTCATTCGGGTTTCCAACTGTATCCAGTGGCCCAAGAGAACGCAACAGCTGCGATTCCCGACTCACTGACCTTCGAGCAAGCCGCCACCTTGCCGCTGGCTGTCTCAACTGCTTCTGTAGGACTGTATCTCCCAGACAATCTAGGTCTTCCACTTCCATCGACGAGCCCTGAGTCCATTGGAAAGACTCTCTTAGTCTGGGGTGCAGCATCGTCCGTTGGCGCGACGGCCGTTCAACTTGCCGTTGCCTCGGGCCTGAGAGTTATTGCGACGGCTTCTCCCGCTAACCACCAGTTTATCAAGGACCTGGGGGCAAGTGCCGTCTTTGACTACAGGTCTCCTACTGTCGTGAATGACATTGTGAACGAGCTTAGAGGAAAGGAGATTGCCGGAGCCTATGATACTATTTCAGAGGAAGCCACTTTTGGACCACTTTCCGCCATTGCAGAGGAACTCGGCGGTCTCCCGGCTGCCTCTGTGCTGCCTTACGAGAATCCTTCGGAGGCATTCAAGCCTAAATTTGGTATGCCCGTTGACTCAACAATTGAAAGATGAAAGAATACTGACAGATACTAGTGACTGCCTCTTCCATAGTGACGGTCCCCAACGAGAAGATTGGCCAAGCTATCTGGGAGGACTACGTACCCAAGGCTCTCGCCAGTGGACAGCTGCAGGGCAAGCCCGATCCGGTCGTTGTTGGGCATGGATTGGATAAGATTCAGCATGCGTTTGACGTGCAGAAAGCGGGTGTGTCGGGGAAGAAGATTATTGTTACTCTGTAATTCCTGTCATAGTTTCTATTTATTGTGAACTTTACTAGCCCTAGAAATGCAAAGTACTTTTTTTTCAACTGTTTCTGGATAAACACGGGAAGAGCCGTAACACGTGATACTTGAGAAACCTTAAAATAGTTCATGGAAAGAATGGTTCTTCAGGCGAAGGGATCCACTAGACAGCATAGCCTACAGCAGTATTCAATATGCAGCGACAGGCCCAAGAACTATTGCATGATACTGTCCAGCTTTCTTCGGCAAGATCCTTCCCGGTCATACAACAACGCAACCATCAGCACTAAGACATTGAATGCTGACATCGGCTCCACACCCTGACATGCAGCTTTACAGTGATCATGGTCATCACCAAGCCTCGGCCCCACTGGGCCAGAGCTTTGGTGGGTTTGTACTATTCTCATCGGGAAGCCGAGAGTCGACTAATGGTTTAGCTCAATCAGGGCTAGGGAGTCATGATCTTACGGTGAGATGGGGGCAGAGTCATCCATCCTAAGCCTTGGATCTGACATTGTCTTCAGGATCATGCTTACCAAGGAATACCGTATACCGTATGAAGGCACTATTGATATCACTCGTGATGGTAAATTTGGGTGTGAGGGCGAATTCAAGGCTCATTTTTCCCAAAGTAAACGGCAGAGTTTCAGGCGTTGAGTCTCTTGACAATCATATAAAAGTACCCAATGACCCAACCACCAGGATGATCTTCTATCCTTGAACTCGTTCCTCCATTCAAAACACACATACATATGCCATGTGGCCTCCCTGCAACATGCGTCCCATTCTCTTGGCATCTCTTACGCTATGGGCATCATTAGCTCAATCAGCTCCATTGTCCACCGAGGACAACTCTCGCCTAATCGGCTCCTCATTCGGAGTCCCCCAAAACGCTACCTACGACTACGTCGTTGTCGGCGGTGGAAACGCCGGCTTAACAGTAGCCGCTCGCCTTGCTGAAGATTCCTCAATATCCGTTGCCGTCATCGAAGCAGGCACCTTCTATGAAATCGCCAACGGAAATCTCAGCCAAATTCCAGCCTACGATACATACTGGAGCGGAAAGGACCCCGACGACGTCAGCCCGGTCGATTGGGGGTTTGTCACGACACCGCAGGACGGCCTACTCAATGCCAGTGTACATTATGCCCGCGGCAAAGCCCTCGGTGGATGTTCCGCCCGGAACTACATGGCCTACCACATGGGAACAACCAAGTCCTACGAGAAATGGGCAGACCAGGTTGGCGATGACAGCTACACTTATGACGGCCTCCTGCCCTATTTCCAGAAGAGTCTCAACTTCACGCCCCCGGGACCGTCGAGGGCTGCTAATGCGACTCCCAACTATGACGAGACGTCGTTAGGACCGGGCGATGGGCCGCTGTCTGTGACTTTCTCCAACTATGCCAATGCTGTGTCGTCCTGGGTTGAGAAGGGGTTCGCGGCGATTGGAATTAAGCCGATTCAGGGTCTTACCAGCGGTGCCCTTAATGGATCCGCTTATGTGCTGGAGACTATCAATGCGGCTGACCAGACGCGCGAATCGTCTGAGACTGCGTTTCTGCAGCCTGCTATGGAGTCGACTTCGTTGAAGGTTTACCAATCTACCCTGGCGAAGAAGGTTTTGTTTGATTCGGAGAAAACTGCGAATGGTGTTCTTGTCGAGTCGGATGGCGTGCAGTATGTTTTGTCTGCCAGCAAGGAGGTTATTGTTTCGGCTGGGGCTTTCCAGTCTCCTCAGCTGTTGATGGTATCCGGTGTGGGACCCAAGGCTAGTCTTGAGAAGCACAACATTCCCGTCGTGGCAGATCGACCTGGTGTAGGCCAGAACATGTGGGTGAGTATCCCTAATAAACACAAGCAGTATGGACAGAAAGTGACTGACATGCATAGGATCACGTCCTAATGGGCCCAACTTACCGCGTCAACGCCATCACTTCATCCTCACTATCAAACCCCGACGCCCTAAACGAAGCCAACGACCTCTTCATCAACAAACAAGAAGGCATCCTCACTAACTCCGGCGGCGACTTCCTCGCCTGGGAGAAAATCCCCTCCTCCTACCGATCCCCCTGGCCCAACAACACCCTCTCCGCTCTAACCCAGTTCCCCAGTGACTGGCCTGAAGTCGAGTATATAAGCATGAGCGGATTTCTGGGCTACCAGCAGAACTACCAGCGCGATGCTCCGACGGATGGGTATAACTACGCAACTGTGTCGACGGCGCTAGTTGCGCCATTGTCCCGAGGGACTATCGATATTTCTTCGGCCGATATGGCTGACGCGCCGGTCATTAATCCTAACTGGCTCACTCACCCAGCGGACCAGGCAGTTGTGGTTGCGGGGTATAAGCGCGTGCGGGAGATGTTTAATAGCACTGTCATGGAGGATATTCTGATCGGGCCTGAGTATTTCCCGGGTGAAGATGTGCAGAGTGATGCGGAGATCTTGGAGGTTATTCGCAAGACGGCGAGTACAGTGTATCATGCTGCGTGCACGTGTGCTATGGGTAAGGAGGGCGATAAGAAGGCCGTCATTGACACCAAGGCAAGAGTATACGGAGTGAAGGGGCTGCGGGTGGTTGATGCATCGTCGCTCCCGATCTTGCCTCCAGGGCATCCGGTGGCTACTATTTGTGAGTGGCTTATCCTCGAATTGATGATGGGACAGTGACTGACCTTGACAGATGCCCTTGCTGAGAAGATTGCCCATGATATCCTGGGCTCGTAGGTGAGCATTGCAAGTGATGCCCATCCGAGAAAAAGGCCATTCAGCTCTCCAATCTCAATGCATTGTTTGAAGGTTGACGATGCACTATGCTCCATCTGGCCCAAGTGTCTAGCAGCGATCCACAAGGGACGATCACAGCATGACATTTACAGCTGCCAGTATTTGCCAGTGCTCAGTTAGTTTCTCTTCTATTGACTATTAACGCCCCTGTATATTAGGTTTGGTTGTTTACTGTTTGTTTACATGGAACCGTGTCACTGTGCCGAGAAATAATAAATAGAGCACACAATAGAAACACTGGATGCAAGTCAATTGATGTCTTCAATATAATTCTCTCCTTTTCCTGTGCTTCTACTCCATACAGTACATCAGCACTGACACCCCACTTGGTCTGTCACCCTCACAACCACACGCCGTCGGGTATAAACAAAACAGAAGAACCAGGAAAGAAGCCCAATGAATATAAACACAAACATACAATTATAAAGGAAAGAAAGAGAAAGGAAGAGAAAATAAGAAGAAAATACCAACACTGACATCCCCAGTAGAGGTATTTCTGCTCCTCGCGTTCTCCTTTTTCGGCCATCCCTGATTCCTAAGTCTGTGAAATGACTATTTGGACTGACATCATCCAGTTCTTTTTTCTTTCTTAAAAATACATTATAATATCAGTACACAGAAAGACTCTTTCTACGAGGGACATAATATTAATTTGTGACATCGCGTCTGTCGCTTAACGTCGCTGTCTTTGCTTCTCGTCGCCGCTTCTTTCTCCGTCCCTCCCACTCCCTCTTACTCACCACTCAACTTCTTCACCCTTCGTCGAATCTGCGACTTCTCAACCAAAATCGCGTCGCTACGAATATACTCCTCGCAATCGACTACTTCTCACCAGCTCGTTTGATCCGCCGCGTTCCATCGCATTTCGCCGTCTCGTTCGCTTCCCCTCCTTCCTATCCCCCCCCCCCCCGCGAACATTCTTGCAAGCGCCGGCTGAACGAGACTCAGAACGTCGCAAACAGGTATGAGCTATTTTGTTAGTTGCTATGACTATTGTCGCAAGTAATACTCTGGCACAGTTGGGCTTTGCTGTCTGAAATCTTTTTGATGACATATCTTGGCCTTCCCCTCATCTCTCCTTCCGGATTTTTCCTTTGTTTGCGCTCCCCGGAGTACCAAAAAAGTATATTGTACTAATCATTCGCGTTGATTTGACAGATCTTTCCAGTTCTACGCGCATAGTGTCAATTCCCTACGCTACCATCTCGCTGAACGCAGTCGTCTGCTCCGGTTACCCTCCTCTATGTCCGCGTGTCGCTAAGTCCCCGTCGCGATCATGGAGTCAAAGGCTGCGGAACTATTAGCTGCGCTGAAGAACGTCAACCTGTCCATTGACGCTAAGGCTGTGCATCTGACAAGCGTCAAATCCGATATCAAACAAAAGAATGTCCCCGAATATGCTGTTACACCCGTCTTCGAAGCGCTACGTCTGGCCCTCACCTCTCAGCAGTCGTCGCTGCTTGGTGGCGGGTTCTCTACCCTGAGTCATTTTTTGAAACGGTTGTTCATTCAGGATCAACATCATCTGATCTCGGGCCAGGGTCGGATGCTCTATCCTATCCTGTTGGAACGACTGGGAGACCGCAAAGAACGTACTCGCGCCCAAGCGGCACAAGCTTTCACCGATATGTGGCCGGCTGCGAACGCTGATGTCGAACACTATGTGCTGGAAATTGCGCTGGTTGGCAAAAATGCTAGAGCCAGGGAGATGAGTATGATTTGGCTGGCGAATGTATGTCCGTCCTTTTCCTACATCTTTATGCAGTAATATCTTACATTCGCGTGCAGATGACAAAATCTCATGGACTTCTGTTCCGTGCATACGTCCCTAGTCTGGTTGGCTGTCTAGAAGACGCCGACAGTGCGGTCCGCGACACGGCAAAGATGACCGTGGTCGAATTGTTCCAGTACGTGATATCTGCGGTTGATTACTTTTCGACGGACTAACATAACTAGGAATGCCCCCGCGCGTGCCAAGTCAGATTTAACCAAGCAGATAACCGCTCACAATGTTCGAAAATCCATCGCAAACTCGATCCTCACGAGTATCGGACTAAGCTCCACGGATGGAGACCATTCGGCACCTTCGCGTCCTGCATCTCGGGCTGAGGCTTTGCATCAACGTCCAGTTTCGGTCATGTCTTCACGTTCGCACTATCGTGTTGATTCACCAGGTATACCTCTCGTCCTCGCCATATGAGGAAGCCGGGTCACTGATGTCGTTTTTAGAGCCCGAACCTGTTAGACCGCAACGCCCCATGTCCAGAATGGACCGCGAGCGAAGTGCTCCCCCGCCGCACCACGCCGCAGCTGACGAACATCCTGACGAGGCGCATGGTTCCCAAAATGACTCCGACGACATTGAGCCTCTCATCGTGGCGTCATCCCGCGACCTCGACGACATGGTGCGCGACATGCTTCCTTGGTTCGAAGGTCGAGAGACCGAACAGAACTGGGTTTCGCGTGAACGCAATGTCATTACCCTTCGACGTCTTACCCGCGGCAACGCACCGCACTCGTTCCCCACCCAGTTCCTCACCGCCATGAAGACACTGTTGGATGGTATTTTCAAGGTGGTTAACTCTCTGCGGACGACACTGTGTACCGCGGGTTGTCTTATGATGCAGGACCTGGCCAAGACCTGCGGTCCTCGCATCGATTCAATGGTTGAGATTATTATGCAGAACCTCATCAAGCTCTGCTCTGGAATGAAGAAGATCAGTGCGCAAAGCGGCAACACCACGGTCGATGTCGTTATTGGCAATGTGACCTTCACGTCACGTATTATGCAGCACATTACGAGTGCTGCCCAGGACAGAAATGCTCAACTGCGTCTGTATGCAGCGGGCTGGATCAAAACCATCATTCAGAGGCAAGCGCGTCATAAGAGCAGCATGGAGCACGCCGGCGGCCTTGATAACCTTGACAAGAGTATCAGGAAGTGCCTCTCAGACGCCAATCCGGCTGTTCGGGAGACGATGCGTGTCACATTTTGGACGTTTAACAGTGTTTGGCCAAGGAAAGGCGATGAGTAAGTTGCCTTTCACAATTTTGTCTGATTTATGGTCTGACACAGAACAGGATCATCTCTACTCTCGATAGCAAGTCAAGGTCCCTGTTGGAGAAGGAGAATCCAAACGCGGATCAATCCTCGTTGAAGACTCCTTCGACATCTCAAAAAGGCCTTTCCAGCAGCACATCGTCTGCCATGTCTAGCCGCTCTGCTCTAAAGGAGGCTATTGCTGCGCAGAAAAGAGCACGTCTGACACCTGGACGCTCCTTGCCCCCAAGGCCGGAATCAGCGCAGTCAACCTTTTCGGATGCCAGAACGACGGACCCGCCGTCCAAATCTTCTACATCTACTTCTGCTGTCCGGACTGTCCCTACTGGATCCTCCGTCTCTTCCCTATCATCCGCACCCATGCGTCCGGGTTCGAGGCCTCGAAGACCAGAAATAACTCGTCCAGCGACGGCAGACCCGTACGCTCGTCGGACTGGCGAAGACTCGCGGTCTACCAAAGCAAGTTCTGCTCCTAAGGTAGATAGCTCACCGCGGGCCGTTAAGGGTAGATCAGCGGCTACACCGTCGTCAAAGACCCCTCGCCGGGACCCTGCGCATCTGGGCCCTACGATGAGCAAGCCCAAGAAGTTGGATATTTCCAAGTCCCGTCTGCATGATCAGAGTGCGAACCATTCGCGCAGCGGCTCGCATGATAGTATGGCACATCATGGCCGCGAGTCACCGGCTTCGATTCAATTGGAAAGCCCTCCTGGGTCGACGATTCAGCGTCCTGTTCCAGCTGTGGAAGAGCCTGTCCCCAGTCTACCTACACTGCCCCCGCCGCGGATGCAATCTGTAGAACGTAGCACCCCGGAGCCTTCACGGGAGCCCACCGCAGATCTGGCCGATGACCATGTGCCATCTCCGGATGTTATTCCGAACAGCGTCCGAAAACAACCCGCTCCAGTGCAAATCTACGAAGACCCTGTTCCTGCCCCTGCGGAGACCCCTGCGGAGACCCCAGTGGAAACAGAGAACCATGCGGAAGCCGTTCCTAATGAATACTATATCTCCGCTGATACATTGGCTCGTGATGAAGAGCACAAGGATGGTGATGATGTCGGGGTCATGCCTGATGCACCGGTTGTGACTGAGCCGGCAAGCCCTCACGAACCTGAGCCTGAACCCGCTCAGATTGACGTGGAACAACCAGCCCCAAGCAGCGCATCCCCGGAGATTGTTGCGCATGACATCCCGGCTGTTACGCCCGAGCCGGAGCCCGTTTCACAGGAGCACGAGTCTCCGGTGGCTGCGGCTCCAGAAACCGACATTGAACAGCACGACTTGGCTCCTCATGAGGAAGACCCGGATAGTCCTTCGTCGGTGATTCACCACCCCGTTACGGTTACAGATGTGGATTATCACGAACCACCTACGCCATCGCCTCGTGCGAGAACCAACGAGAACGCTACGCCGTTTGCCAACAAGAGTATCAACATCTCTCCTGAGATCCGCTCCGCACCGAGACACAATGTGTTGGGAGAGATACCGAACAATGAACCAGCGCGTGACAACAGGACCCCTCGACCTATCGCGGGGAAGCTTCGGTCGCCGGAAACCATGCCGACGGCAACACCGGACGTGTCGCGCCGTTGGAAGAAGCTGGAGTCGACCAAGGATCGGAAGCGTAGCATCAGTCCTCGATCGAAGGACCCAGCCAAGGCACGGGAGATGCTCGACAAGGGAATGCAGCGGATCCGGACAAAGACGATGGATATCCTGGGCTACCGCAAGCTACAAGGACTGATTGAGTACCACGATGCGATCTTTGACGACGAAGCGAAATACGACGAGATGTTGGTGGCCTTGTTGAACGAGTTGGAGAGCGCGCCCGAGGAGAGACGAGCAAGTCGGTCGCAGGACGTGAAGACACAGGTTCTGGTGACGATTCGGTTCCTGTTACGTCAGAACGAAGAGTACTTTGCAGCATACTACCCGAAAGCCATGACGGCGCTGGTCAGTGCCCGCAAGCGCTACGCCTCGAGCTGCCACATCGTCAGTGGCCTGGAGGAAACGGCAGAGGAGATCATCGCCGGCTGTCCAGCGGCCGAGGTCATCGAAGCCGTTCTCGACCAGATCGAGCACGAAACGCAAGACGAGGAAGGCTACCGCGCAGTGACAATGGGCACGAGCGTGGTGAGTCGTCTGGTGAAGCAGATCAACGGTGGACCAAGCAAGGGGAAAATGGAAAGCGGACTGGTGGAACGGATTGGAGGGTTCTGTGGACGTCACCTGACGGACCGGCAGCCGGATGTCCGACGGCAGGTTACGGATCTGAGTGTGGCGCTGTATCGGGGGATGGAGGACGAGAGCCGGTATTGGGAGGTGATGGGGTCGCCAAGAGAGAATTCGCGGAACTTGTTGATTTATTACATTCACAAGTAGTGTCTTTTCTGTGTTTCTGTGTTGTGTGCTGTGTATTCTTCGTATCTGTTTTATTACTCTTACTCTTTATTTAGTCTGTTGGGATTGGAATCGGGGATTGGAGGCGTTGTACATACGTTAGGTTAGAATAATACCAGGTTGGACAGCGACATATGCAGGGATCCATTCTAGAAGCGTCGTCATGGTCATCAATAGTAGAGGTCCAATAATGACTGGACTATGGACAACTGACAAGGCCGATCATCGGACCCAATTAAGGGGCATTGGAGAATCTGATTAGATGCGGATCAGATTAGATCATTCAACAGGTCTGTCTCGGACTTGGGGTTATTTGAGAGACCGCAATGGAAGAAACTAGTTGGATAGTATGGAGTAGAGCTATAGAGTACTATGGATGGGTATGGAGTATCCATGGTTGTTATTCGGAGTGATACGCATGTACGAATGCAGGAGTGCAAGTGAAAACTCTGCACTGACTTTAGAGTACAGAGTGTGTACTGTACATGCCAATGCAACATGCATAACCACTGCTACCTAACGTATAAAGAAAGCTATATAAAATATATATATATATATATATATACATAAAAAATAATAATAATAATAATAATAATAATAATAATAATAATAATTAACATAGTGGCCGGTGTAAAAGAACTCGTATGCAAAACCGTATGCACCACCGTATGGACCCGACTCGGGTGGAAAACCAAGAAAAAGTTATCAATCAATCAGATTAGATCCGGTCAGGGGAATGTCCACTTTGACCAGACCGCTGGCCTTCGCTTGCACTACTGCTAATATACCCACCAGCGGATTAAACCGCCGATCGACATTTCTCTATGCAGGGTAGAGCTGAGCAAAAATGTTGCACTGTGTATTCTGCACTCTGTCCGCTATGGGAGTTGTACGGTGGGAGTGTAGTGGGAGCACGGGGTTCTTGTACTCTGTGCTTAGGACTCAATGGGATACGGGATAATGGGGTGGGGGGTAGGAGTGGGATTGTGCAGATATGATTGATATTCATAACAATATCAATCTCTGAATAACACTTGAAATGAAGTCGCCCCACGCTAAAAATTGACTGTCACAAATCCACATCCCACCCGTCGTCGTCGGAACCTTTCCTGATTAGTCCATGCCGGCAACGGAGTCTGAACTTTGGTTATTTTTCCTCGGGTGCTGTTCTCGTTTTCTTTTCTTCACTTCTCTTCTTTTATTCCATTTTGTCCAACAGATGCCATTCTTTTGCAATCAATTGATGGACTGACTCTCGTTCATATTAAACTACCTATCACTGCTAGGATTGGAATGTAACCTGCATTCTTGCTGCATTCCGTCTAGACACAAAAAAGAGACCCCCCCCCCCCGGTCTCCGGTGTTCCATCACCATGTCCCAACTCGAAGACGTCCCCAAGGATGGCTTTGCCCAAAAGGTATTCATTCCTCTTCACTCCCTCTTGTCCTCATTAGATACAATCGGGAGCTAATAGCAGAATCAGGTCAAACGCTACCTCCCCACCAAAGAAATCTGGGGCAGGTCCTTCTCCTACATCCGCCTCCTCTTCTCCCTCGACTACACCTACGTCGATGTTATTCTCATTATCCTCGGTGTCATCTTCGGTATCGCCGGTGGTATCCCCTTCCCGCTGCTTGGTATCGTCTTCGGTGACCTGATCAACGATATGAATTCCACCACCTGCAGCGCCAGTTCCGGCTCCAGTACCTCGGACTTGTCCAGCCACGTGCAAACCGAGGTGCTGTACGTCATCTACATTACCATTGGAAACTTTTGCTCCATCTACATCTATACCTGCTGCTGGTGTTTGGTTAGTGAACGTCTGGCACGCCGCTACCGGAGACACTACTTTGAGAGTGTCATCAAGCAGGAGGCCTCGTTTATCGAGTCGCTGCCGTCTGGCGATGTTGTTTCGCGGCTTGTTGGCGATATCGAGGTCGTGCAGGCTGGTACGTCCGAGAAGGTGGGTTTGGTGATTACTACCATTTCCTACTTTGTGACGGCGTATATCGTGGCGTTTATCAAGGTGCCCAAGATCGCCGCCATGTTGATCTCCGTTGTGCCTTGTTTCTTCATCATGTCGCTGGTTGGTGGACACTATGTGAAGAAGTTTGCGGGTAAGATTTCGGACAACATCAATGCGGCGACGTCCATTGCGTCGTCCAGTTTGTCGCATCTCATGCTTGTGCACGCCTTCAATGCCAATGACCGCTTGGAGAAGCGCTTTGCGACGTATCTGGCTGGTGCAAGAATGGATGCGCTGAAGAAGGCCGCCACGCATGCCTGGCAGTTGGGTTTCTTGTATTTCATTGCGTATTCCGCCAACGCGCTTGCTTTCTGGGAGGGTGCGCAGATGATTGCTGGGTCTGTGGCCGGGGATGGCGGCGTGTCTGTTGGTTCCGTTTACACGGTTATTTTCGTGTTGATCGATGCCTCGTTCATTCTGTCTCAGGTCGCGCCGTTCATTCACGTTTTCGCTTCTGCGGCTGGTGCGTCGGAGCGTCTGCTGGCTGTTATCAACCGGCCGTCCTGCATTGACGCGACCTCCGATGAGGGAGATAAGTCCGCTGGCTTCCGCGATGAGGACATCGTCTTCGACAACGTTCACTTCACCTACCCCTCGCGGCCAGATGTCCCCGTCCTGCAGGGCGTCAATTTCGTCATTCCCCCTCGCAAGCACACTGCCATTGTTGGTCCGTCTGGTGGAGGCAAGTCCACCGTCGTGGCCCTTCTGGAACGTTTCTACGACCCCAAGTCCGGCAACGTGATGATCGGAGACACCAACTTCCGCGACCTGAACGTGCGCTACCTGCGCGGCAACATTGGTTTCGTGCAGCAGGAACCCTCCCTGCTCGATCGGTCTATCCTCGAAAACATCGCATATGGTATGGTCGCCTCCGCCAACGAGGCGCACCAGCCCCTGGCCCAGTACATCTACGACTCGACCCTCCCTGAGCTGACCGACAAGATCTGCTCTGGTATGTCCGAAGAAGAAGCCCTGACCAGCTTTCCTGCTGAAGTTGCCGACATTGTTGCCCGCGTCAAGCAGGCTGCCAGTGATGCCAACGCCATGAACTTCATCGCCGGTCTTCCGTACGGTCTTGCGACTGGCGTCGGTTCTGCGGGTAACCAGCTTTCCGGTGGACAGAAGCAGCGTATCGCCTTGGCACGAGCTCTCGTTCGTGAGCCTTGCTTGCTTGTTCTCGATGAAGCTACGGCAGCGCTTGACTCGACTTCTGAGAAATTGATCCAGCAGGCGCTTGCGAAGGTTTCGGAGAGTCTTACTACGGTTTCGATTGCGCATCGGTTGGCGACTGCCAAGGACGCGCATAAGATTGTTGTCGTGCAGACTGGTCGTGTTACTGAGGAAGGATCGCACGCTGAGCTTGTCGCCAAGGGTGGTGTCTACGCTGAGATGGTTCGCTTGCAGAACCTGGGCAAGCTGAGCGCTGAGGATGCCGCCATCCCGCAGGACATGATCGGAAAGGCCGGACCTGCCAACACCAACACCGTGGATGAGAAGAAGGAAGCTGGTGTCAGTGACACTGAAATCAGCGAGACTCCTCCTGCCTCCAAGTCCGCCGATGTCCCTGCCCCAGAAAAGGAAAGCAAATGGAAGATCTGGAAAAAGAAGGACGACGAAGAAGACAAAGACCTCAAGGCCAAGACCAAACGCTCCGGCTGGTTCACTACCAAGTACATCTGCTCCCTTCTCCGCCCCAACATGATGTTCATCATCGCCGGCCTGTGCATGTCCGCCATCATCGGTGGCAGCTACTCTGCCGAAGCCGTCATCTTCGGTCAAACCGTCGGCGCCCTGAGCCCGTGCCTCTCGCCCGCGAGCATCAGCTCCAGCGGAAACCTGTTCGGTCTGTTGTTCTTCATCATGGCGCTGGTCGAGATGTTTGCCAACGTCGCTGGTGGATGTGCGTTTGGCTGGGCTGCGGATAAGGTTCTCTATCGGATTCGGGTGCTTTCGTTGCGGTCGCTGTTGAATCAGACTATCGAGTGGCATCATAGTGAGGGTCGGTCACCGGGGACGCTGCTCACGTATATTACAGGTGACGCGTCGGCGCTGAGTGGGATTACGGGTACGACAATTGGATTGCTGCTGGCGACTGCTGTTAACTTGATTGCTGGTCTGGTGATTTCGCTTGCCATTGCCTGGAAGATCACCGTCGTTCTGCTCCCAACTATCCCCGTGCTGCTGGTCGCTGGTATGATGAAGCTGCGCGTGCAGGCCAAGTTCGCAGAGCGTCACCAGAAGGCCTTTGCCAATGCGACTGCCATCACCGTCGAAGCCGTCGACAACATCCGCGCCGTGGCTGCCTTCTCCCTCGAGAAGCAGTCGTACGCCGTGTTCGGCCGCGCACTGATCAAGCCCTACCACGCGACCATGAAGGCCATCGCATGGGGAAATGTCTGGCTCGCGGCCGCGTTCAGTATCAGTAACCTTGTGTACGCGCTGGCATACTGGTGGGGATCGCGGCAGATCGCAGCGGGTCTATACACGCAGACGGAATTCTTTACCGTCCTCCCAGCCCTGCTCTTTAGTACCCAGTCCTGCGGACAAATGTTCGCCCTGGCACCCGATATCTCCAAGGCCCGCGTGGCATCCAGCAACATCGTCGAGCTGCTCACCACTCGCTCCGCCGAAGAAGAAATCTCCCCCGGCTCAACCGCCAACGTCCAACCCTCCAGCCGACTCCTCGACGAGAAACTCCCCGACGTCGAAGCCAACGAAAAAGCCGCCTCCACCACAACCTCCTCCTCTCCCCCCTCCTCCCCCGGAGACAGCACCGGCCTCCTCATCCCTCCGGAGAACGGCATCGGCGCCCAACTCCGCAACGTCCACTTCACCTACCCCTCTCGCCCGGAACGTCCTATCCTCCGCGGTCTGAACATCGACATCCAACCGGGTCAATTCTGCGCGCTCGTCGGACCCTCGGGATCCGGTAAATCCACCACCTTTGCCATGCTCGAGCGCTTCTACCGCCCGGCCCAAGGTGCCGTGGTTATCGACGGGACAGACATCACCCGGCAACTGGGCACAAGCTTCCGCGATGATATCGCCCTCGTCCCGCAGGAGAACGTCATGTTCGAAGGCAGCGTCGCGTTCAACATCGGTCTCGGCGCGAAACCAAACCACGAACCCAGCCAAGCGGAGATCGAAACCGCGTGCAAAATGGCCAACATCCACGATGTCATCACATCCCTCCCGCAAGGGTACGATACCCTGTGCAGCCACGACGGAAAGCAATTCTCGGGTGGCCAGCGGCAACGCTTGTCCATTGCTCGCGCGCTTGTCCGGAAACCCCGGATGTTGCTGTTGGACGAGTCTACTAGCGCTCTCGATGTGGAATCCGAAAAGCGCATTCAAGAAGCACTGGCTACATTAGCCGGCCGGACAACAGTCGTCGCGATCGCGCATCGGTTGAACACGATTCATCGGGCGGATTGCATTTTCCTTATTGAGGATGGTGTTTGTGTGGAGCAGGGGACGCATACGGAGTTGATTCAACGGAGTGAGACGTATCGCACGAGTGTGATTCATCAATCGTTGGAGACTTAAAAAAACACTCCGTAGTGCGAAACACGGAGGAGTGTGAGTACGGAGAATTACTGGTCCGTACCTTGGAATATATTAAATAGTTTTGTTATTGTCTCTTTATTATAGAGCATTATTGGCGTTTGGGAATTGATACCTTGTGGTATTTACTGTATTAGTTGGTCAATATATATTTCTACTACCTTTCAGAGTTCAATTGTATTTTTATTTTCTCGTCTGAAGCCTAGACTGCTTCAACTAAGCGTAAAACGTATGCTGTGTTCTTGCTGTTCTTGCTGTTTTTTTGACATGGAGGAATACAAGTAGTCATGTTGAATGTGTCCCCCCGTACTACCGCACCCGACTACCTCGGTCCGTCCAGGATTCAAACCCCGACGCACCCCGGATCCCGTACTAAAAGTACGGAGCACGAAGCACAGATCGACCCTGCATGATCCATATCCTGTCCACTACTATCGTACCCTACAACACACCCTACAAGCAAAAAAAGAAAAGCCAATCAGCGACAAAAGAATTATTAAAATTCAGTTATATATATATTTATATACATATCATAGGCGCAGAAAACGCTTAGTTCTGGCCCTTAGGTTTGCATACGCCCGCGGTCTGGCTGGGCTCTTGCTGTGGGATTATTAGCATCTTTCTTTCTTGTCCACGAGAGGAAAGGCACTGGGCTGGGCTGAACTTACGACGCAGAGGCCGCTCTTGCAGTATTCAGTCTTGCTGTCGGACTGGCAGGGCTGGTTGTCGTCGATCTATTATGTGTTAGCTGTTGAGTTCCGAGTGGTTGAGAGAGGATGGATAAGGGGAGAGGGACGTACGGTCTTGGAACCACCGCTACCACCGGCGCCAGCGGCGATGGCAGAGCCGGCGAGGAAGAGAGAGGCGAAGATGGAGAGCTTCATTGTGGTTGTTTGTGAGGGGAGTAGAATTGTTTTGTTTTAAAAGGATTGAGAGATGAGTTGTTGTTGATGAGATTCTGGAGGTGATGAGGGCGGGTATTTATAACCTATTCTGTACTATGTGCTTAGTTAAGGGAAGAAGAAAAGAACCTCCTGATCCGTTGCTTCTATTGCTTCGGATGACGCGTTTGTGGAACGGTGGAACTATGGAGTATGGATGGTCTGGTCGAGACGGTGGGAGACAAACCGATGTTTGTGGTCTTGTTTCCGGGCACAGCAAACAGCAAACATACTATGCTCATACATAAACAGTTTGAATAGGCGCTGATACTCAGTTTGTCTCAATCATTCATATTCTCTACGAGTAATGGGCATATGTCCTCTGTATCCGTACTCCGTACCTCCGTACAGAGAACAGGCATACCCTTCTCCGGAGAGGGTCCGGAGAACAAATGGCGGTACCGATGGAGCATCCCAACCCCAGCTGGGGATCGGCAAGGCGTGATCAGATGGCCCCCGTGATTGAATTGACGCTAGCTCGTAGTCTGCCCGTAGTCTGCCCGTAGCCTTGTCTCCGTATCCGTACTCTCCATATCCTATCCATACTGCCGAGTCAATTACTTCTTCTATAACTTTATACTACTCTTCTATACTTCCCTCCCTTACATATCGTAGAATACCCTAATGCTCCTCCTGCACAGCACACATCCTCCGTAGTACATGTACTTGTGCATAGTAGTACAGACCGATAGTCAGGGGTAAAAATAGAATGCAGATCATGACATCACAGGAGATGCCCTATACATTTCCGGTTTTGATTGGCATTCTATTGTTCTAGAGGCTTGGCAGGGGATATACTATGTACTTGTGTGGACTTGTTTGTGCATACGTATGTTCCGAGATCTGTCTTCCGGAGTGCGGAATATCGGTGTCGGTGTATGCGGGATTTCTGGATATGACTTTAGCCGGGAATTAGATTGCTGTCGACGGAGTACGTGAACTGTCTTACCATGTAGGATAGGCATCACTATTCGAGCCGGGCTGAGTTGAACTCCTTGAGTGACTGTCTATCAGTTATGGATATGGATTGGGGTGAATGTTTCTATTTTTTTCGACGGAGGTCTCCGCATTTCCGGATTGGGAATCTCTCGGAGTACAGCGTATCGGATGATGATGATGATGTCTTCCATTTTATAGAGCATTTTCCAGTCTAAGACTATGCATGCTCTACCCACCCCCTTGGGGGTCAGCGTATCGGAATTTGCTCGACGATGCAATACCGGCTGTTATGTTCATTAATCGCAGTTCAAGGCGAATAAGAGCTGTGCTTGTTCATTGAAACCACAGCCGCGAAGAAATGCGAATGACAACCGGAATTCGGTGCGAACATTGAGGTCTGGACATCACTCATCACCTCCTTTGGAATAACTAGACTCAAAAGCTTACTCTAATTTTTGACTGAACTATAGTTAGCTATCCGAGTTATTCAGACAATCCCAAACGAAAAGCAGGGTAGAGCAGCTGCTAGTCCTCCGTCTACGATTAAGGCTAGTCACCATCGTCGGAATCATATACAGACTTGATCAAAGACGGAAAACGGGTGTTTCTGTATGAATTCTTCTCCACGTACAGCCAGACGTGGTGTTCATGGGAATAAAGACAGACCGCTGGTTGTTATCTGTCCGAATGGACCATGCACGGTCCCCATGATGGTATTGAAGTGGTGACCGTAAAACCACGGTCACCGACGAGTGCAAGGCCTTGGTAGCCCATTGCTCAGCTATAACAATCCAAAGAACCGACTAGCCGTCGCACAAGAAACCATGGTCTTGTTTCCTTTGCATGGCACCACCGTCTGTCCACAGGTACTTTGGCAAAGCCCTCTTCACGCTCAAGCCCATCAGGGCAGCACGCATACCGTATGATGCAGATCTGGTGACACGTCGACACTGTTCCACTGATGAGCATGTTCCGAAGGATACATAGTGTTTTTTTTTTAAAAGTGACTCTGATCAGGAGTTTCGTGACACCACCCTCCAAGCTGACTACGGAACCAAGGTGATGAAGAAAGCTTTCAGTCTCCGTATGTGCTGACTATAGAACAAAACGACGGATCCTTTGTTCCCAAAGTGGAAGCCTTCAACAACGACTACAAAATCGCTCCGTCAGTCTAACGCGCAGACATTTACAAGTGGCTACAGAGTATTGGAAGATAATGCTGACTGATATGTATGATGCTGATGAGTCTATTTGCAGCTACTCAGGCTTTGTCGGAGAAAGTTGTACAGAAAAGACTGTTTCCCATGCGGTAGCACCCACCACTACCTCTACCTCTACCTCCTTCGATATACCACCGGAAGAGATCCAACGGGCGATCGAAGAGAAACGGACCATGAGATGTCCTATCCTCCCCATTGACATTTGCTGCCGAAGCACAACCATATTGGTCGTAATGATGCGATATACTTGGACATCCGACGACTGGTAATCGACACGTGCAGTGATGACTACCGAATTGCAAGGACAATTGCCACAGGTCAGAAACATGATTGCCGCCATCATTTTCATGCCATGTATGATTAGCCAGATAGTTATAACTACTTATGAGCGCGTAGAGGCTATACTATTCAGACTCCAAGCCGAGGAGATGGTGCTATCTAAAGTGGTCACAATTCACGGAGGGTAGAGTATAAGTCAGAAGAATCACTCGAAGGTTTTATGATGTCCTCGCGGGTACTCCACACTCCATACATGAAGTAAAGGAAAAGAACTGGCGTCGATGCAATACAGTCCATCTGTAGACTCGTCATGCCGACTCTATCAAATGTCACAAACGCCTGGGGAATCATATTCTGATCTCGACCTGCTCCTGAGGCATCAACCTCAGGCAACAATTCGTAAGCGTCACTTCGACATGAACGACAGAGAATGAACACTCACATAAACGCAGTAGATATCAAATTAAAACGGGGAAACACGGTGGTCTTCCCCCCCAGGCCCAACCCTACCGCCCAACCAGTCTTTCCCGCAAGGAAAAGTCCTTGTGGTCCAGCATGGTCAGTCGGCCGGAGACAGTCGTTGGGACCACTGGCAAGCCCAGGACCGTGTCCGGCCTCCCTCTAGGGCCAGTGTATTTGCTGTTCTACGTCAGTATGGTTAGAGCTCGTAACTTCTTAGCTTCGTAACGTCGTAACGTCGTCCCTGTACCCTACCCAACCGCCAACCAGGAGCTGTATATGTATAGCAGTGTATATATATGACTCTGTTTTTCCCAGGCTCTTACCCTACCACCCTCCGTGGACCAGGACAGGGTAAATTGCAGATATATGATAATAGATGGTTTGAATTAGGGCAGATGATAGTAGATGAGAAATAAACGAGAAAATAGCGGGGATAAGAGGATGAATACAGTTGGAAGAGAAGAAGAGAAAAGAGCAGAGAGTTGGAAGAAGGAAGAAAAATAGAGGAAGAGGAAGAGGAAGAGAGAGAGAGAGAGAGAGAGAGAGAGAGAGAGAGAGAGGCGAATATATGGGAGGCTGGAGGCAGCAGCGCGGCAATGAGATAATGGCTCCGGAACGGACAAAGTGGCGTTGCGTTTGTTTGTTTACTTGAACAAAACATTCACTTTCGAAGCTGGCGAGTTTCATTATCCACTGGTGTAACATGTATACGCTTACGCTCTCGATTTGCTGGAATTTCAGATAATGCTTGGTTGGAGTACTGGCGTCAAGGGTCTTGCTTCTGGATCGACGAGTGCAAGTATCGTTATGTGGTCGCGGAAAAGGGCGTTGATATCTTGTCAGAATATGGTGAACTGATTCCTGAGGGTCGTATGTGTCGTCAAACCAGTTGGAATGTTTCAACTGACGTTGTATAGAACCGAAGTTTAAATGCTTGGTGTGCCATACAAACAATTTGCCCGAGGCCTTTCACGTTCCTTCCAACTGCGTGCATCGGATGTGTCCAGGTAAGCTTCAAAAACTTATCTACATACAATCTCGCAGTAACTGACGCGAGTGTTTTAAATCAGGCTGCATTGAACAAATCCGGTCCCAAGACATTAACGGCAACCCCATCGAAAAGAAAAGCGCACCATTGGTACCATACGACAGAAGAAACAACAAATGCCCAAAATGTCTCACCACGATACGCTTCGTGATCAACTCGCCCATGTGAGCATCTGGCCCGGCCCACTACAAGAGGATCATTGAAAATTACCGTGCAATGTGACAGAAATTCCCCTGCAAGTTCTTCCAGGAAAGCCTGCCATGCTGGGAACAGAATGGTCGTAACGAGCGCTTTCTCTTCTGTCCGCTGGGAAATCTGTGTCTTTCTGGGCATTGGATTCCTGGGTCTAAGAGGAAGCCGTTTTTGTTCTCGAAAGCTCGGAAGTATGAAATGGTTAGGGCGCGAGAGGAATGGAGAGAGAAATCCTGGGGTTGTGTTTGATGAGTTTGAAATCTGGCATATGAGGGATGGAAACGTGTAATTTTGTAAGTTAAGATCCTCAAAATACGGCGACAAGTCGAGATCAATGCATTGGTTTTACAAGATTTCTTTCTATGGAGATAGTTTATGATTGCATCAGCGCTCTCCTAGAAGTGGCCCCTAGAGGGATTCTGCGTACGGACTAATGGCTATATGAGAGACAAATCATTGTGAGACTTAGATACAGAGTATACTTGAAATCAACCTCATAGTGTTTTATCCTCGGTTTCACTGAGTCCAATGATAGTAACAAGTCCAGACGAGTGAGTCATAGCGACCTTATTACCGTGAATGGCCAAACGGGTGGCTTTATATTCATCAGGAAGGTGTATCAGTTTCCTCCCATTCTCTGTCACCCAGCCATCGCGTAGGAAGGGTCCTTCGCCTGTGATCTCTTCCATCTGTGAAGGAGAGCCAGTATTTTTGTTGAGAATGGACGCAACCTTGAGCCGATCCTCGTTGGTACTGACCAAGAAGCCTGATTATAACTTGAATATCATCATGCCCGTCTCGAGTTCCAGCATGGCACTCATCCAAGGCATCGAGAATAAAGACGACTGTCAAAGGGGGTCTTGTTCTTAGTAATCTTAAGAGGTTGAAGATTAAATGCTTCCACTGGTGCTCCAAAGCTTGGTCTTGAATATCATGATGACCATTGATAGCTTCGCATACAGATTGTCTAATTTCAGGAATCACATCAACCAAGTCTCTTGCCAGTGTGGGAAGCAAATGTCGTGGGTTCCGACAATTAGCTGAAGAAGAACGTGCCTCAAAGACATGATTCATTAGACAAGAATCCCCGGCCAGTTAAGCCCGTCCCATTGTAGAATGCAGCGGCCACAGTTCTTGTGGTTGTAGATTTGCCGGAGGACAGATGTCTGGGTACCTTCAAGGCATGTTCCTCGATCTTGCTCATAAGAACCATATACAGCCCGCGTAACAGCGGGGAGTTAGCCCAATAGTTGTCTGTTGCTTTGAGCCTTATACAGAGTTAGCTTGTTCGGTAATCTACCAGGGACTCTGGGACTTAAAAATAATGCCATATTTTATATCCAAAGCCAGCGCCAGTGAGTCGTCTACCTTTTTTGATATTGAATCAACCTTGCAGTCAATTTCCCCTACAGCCTTTTCCGACAAGGTCTGAAGTAAATTGCGAATAGAATCATCAGCGCCCTGAATACCAGTGAGGATTGCCTTCCAATAATCAGCAGTCACGGCATCTCTCATGTACTGCAGAAATCCCGAACGGAAATCTGTTTGCAAAGCCGGATCTGGCATTCTAGAATCTGCGTGTAGAGCCCGATGGTCTGCTTTCTGACGGAGGCGTTGAGTTCAGAAGCATTATCGGATTCACTATTAAGAAAAATTAGCACACAGCTTTAGCAACCAGAAACACGTTGCAAGAAAATAAATATTCAAGGAATGATTTGCCGCGTACACTATCTTGCATTGGAGGCTGCGGTATACAGCTGAATATGTCACTCCTGCATTACTCAATATCGAACCAGGAGAGTCGAAATGAACTCTAGTCGCTTCACTGCGTCTTCAGCTTGCGTAAAGGCTTCAAGATAAACTATGTTCTCATGTGAGTTAAACTGAGCATCGGAAAGAAAGAAAGGGACAAGTGCTTACTGGTAAAACCGTCATAACCCCAGCCCATGCAAGCGCAGCATGAGACTCAGAACTAACAGCTGCAGCGATGAAGTCCTTTGCAATGACAATCCCCTGAACAGTCCGACAAACATGAGTTCCTATGACGCCCTGCCTGGTGCGAATGGGTACGTCAAATTGGCCCTCCTTCACCGCTTGAAGTCTGCGCATTACAAGATTTTGAATCCTCTCGCTTCGATCCGTTCGCTTTTCGTTTGGCGAATCTTGCTCATTTGAGAAATCTGCCAACAGGGCCCTTTCATAAGATTCCACCAGATTTTCATTCTCCTTGCAAAGCTCCTGGTATGCTTCTTTCCAGGTGTCCTTCATTACCTGATCCCCCAGCTTTGCGATGCTATTTGAGGATTGGCAGTCAGTGCTGGATCTTTCCCGGGGGGGGGGGGGGTGCTGGAGCTATCGGGGCCTCAATCGGGGCCTCAATTAGCTCAACAGCCCCCCCTGAACTGAAAGGCCACCTTCATGGGGTATCTGCCTTTTAGACCGAGTCCGCATTTGCTTCTGTTCCTCATTTGCAGCCCGTAAATCGCTTACTTCTTTCTCAAGAAAAGCAGCTGATTGCATAGTGATTTGACAGGCCTTTAAAATTTGGTTTATCGCACAATTAAGCGGGCTTAGAGGGCTTTTGGAGCGCTGTCGTAGTAAAGCCTTGATTGACGATGCCTGCTTTTGTAATTGCATGTAGTTTGAAGGTGTTTTTGGCTCCCAATCACTACCCTGGCTTCCAGGGGGTGTTGGCGTACGAAGCTGAATATCAAGCTTTGAAATCACTCGATCAGGGTTGTATGGCGCTAAACCAGCTGCTGTGAAGCTATTTTTGATAGTCTCCGATTTAAAGGCTTCAATTCGTGCGTGTGGGTAGGCCTTGAGGAAGTCTAATTTATCGATATGGTTTATACCGAGCCGCATTTTTGTTTCAACCATCTGACCGTATGATCGCTTTAACACTGCAAAACAACCGATATCGAGCGGCTGTAAAAGATGTGATGAATGTGCTGGCATACAGATTGGAATGATATCATTTTGGCTACAAATTTCATCAAATTTCGGTGTCAAATGACTACCGTGGCCATCAAGAATCAAAAGCCGATATTTCCCTTTTGTACGAGCAGTTGTCGATGGAATAAAGAGCTTTTGGAGCCACCGAAGCCCGATTTCATCAGAAGTCCATCCATTTGGGCTAAGTTCAAAGCGCCAATCCTGTGGTAAGGCCGGGTCCTCAAACCAAGATTGGACAAAGACCTTGCCTTTGAAAATGATGCATGGAGGCAAGGCCCACCCTGATGCACTTATTGCCTCAATTGCAGTGACCCATTCACGATTTCCAGGTTGTAAAAGGGATCGCCGACCATAGTATTCAGATCTTGTAACCACTTTTGCAGTTGCAGTCAAGCCCATTGCGAAGCCAGTCTCATCAAAGTTATAGATATCATCAGGATTGATGCCGTATTGAAGTATTATACGTTGTAAACAATCAAACCACTCAGGGATGATTTTTGGGTCTCCACACTTTGCACGCTCATAATTATAGCGTCTTGAGAATCGGGTTGAAAGCTCAGCATGCCTTTTCACAAACTTATTAACCCAATTCTCGCCAACTGTTTGAACTGGGGTAGATCCACGCGCTGCAAGTAATAGATCCGCCATTTCTCGGACAGTAGCAGGCCGAGGCGCTGCTCCGCGAGAATCCATAGAGCGAATCCATTGAACAAGTGATTCCTCCTCTATTTCCGTCAATTTATGTCCATTGGCGCGAGTTTCAGCGCGAGTTGTATGACCGGCAAGGCGGCGTTGCAAGGTTGTACGAGGCACATTAAAAAGGCGTGCTGCTTCGCGAATAGTGCTGATTTCTTGCTTTTGAATAGCTTCAATAGCAAGCAAGATCCTGCCTTCTTGCTCTATTGAATTTCGAGAGCTTTGGGAGCGAAGTGGTGGCATAATGGGTGGTTGAAGAAGACGGAGTACACGGAGGTGTCGCAAAGCGCGTTAGGTGGCCCGCTCGTTTACCGATTACGTTAACTACCGAGTGTCAGCCTGAGGCAGAATATCACGTGAATGATCAGGGGCCATACACTGGGGAAATGCAGAATATCAGCAGGGATAACTACTCTGTATACTTGAAACAATGCTGACACTTATTCTATTGTTGCCATGAGTGAATGAATAGGCCTTTGCTTTTTTGTGAGCTTTGTGTACCTGTACTTGTAGTTTTACTAGTACTACAGAGTACTCCGTCCATAGATGTCCATGTACCTCCGTACCAGACTTCCGCATTTGTACAGCCTCAAATTCCACCCCGACCCCCCCTTTCTTATATCAGATTCTCTTCCTCCCCGCTGCCGGCTTAGTCTCTTTTCGGGACCCTGTCAGTCATAATTCGGTTCTCTTGTTTTACAATCTCTCTCATTCCACTGTGCTCTACCTCACGCACTGGTCTCGACCGTTGCTTGTCAAGAGGGGCACTCGAGTCCTCTATCTGAAACGGCTCCGTGGAAGGTGAGTTCCCTGACTCGCTGCGGTCCTGAGCATCGCCATTTCCCAGACTCTCTTTTCTGTCTCCTATTCGGTATCTGGATTCGATCTTCCTGTTGTCTGTTGTTGTCCGTCTATCTGTGTGCTCTTTGGCTGTGCATTCTCCCCCTCCTGGCCTGTCCTGTCCTGTCCGGCCCCCCCTCTGTCATTTTCCCCTTGCTGCTATCCCATCGGCTTTTTTTCTTTTCTATTTTTTAGTCTGTCTTCTGATGAACCTTCACACTCATTCATTGATTCGTGTCATTTTGATATAGCCCAAGATTGTGATTGCGACTGGGGTACGGAGCTATTTCTCCCTGAGACGGCGAAGACCACCGAGCTCTACATTCCTGAACTTCACCAGAACTGACGCACTAATTTCGCTTCTCTTGTCCAGATCCCATTTGCGAACGAACAATTCCTACGTGTCCTCCCCGTCCTGCCGCTACCCCTTCGCTCTCCCCGAATAAGCTCAACTATCCGTCGGAAACGGCGTGCGTGTCCTTCGGTTCCCCGACTTTTTACTTTATCCCCCTCTCGGCCATATTCCATCCATCAATCCGTGAACGGTCTCGATTGCGCTCTACCATCCCGCATCAGATGAATGCTTGACCCAACTTTGGAACTACACCGACAACTCGTCTTCGCTGCGTCTTACATCTCACGCGGGCCAACTTCTCGACTATCCTGGGGTAAGGAGAGCTATCATCGGTAACACACCGCTGGGCTGCTGTTCAAGCGCCGCTCGGACATCTACACCATGGAGTCGCCGGCCGTCTACCCAGATTCGCCCATGGAACAGGATGATGTCCCATATCCTTGCAAGGGCTGTGGAGAGGTACGTGCTCGGATCTGACAGTGTCAAGGGGGGTAGGAAAAGGGACTGACGTGGTTGTGGTTCGACAGATTCTTGAAGAGGGAAAGGCATTTGAATTGGGTACTTTTCTATTCCATTGGTATCATATCTGGCTCGACAGCTTAACACTAACGGCTCTTCAGCGGGCAACAGGTGGCATATCGACTGTTTTCGTTGCAGCACATGTGGGACCCTCCTTGACTCCGACGCACACCTGCTGCTGCTTGGCGATGGCGCCTTGATCTGCAGCAATTGTACCTACAGCTGCAGTTCGTGCTCAAATAAGATTGAGGACCTCGCCATCTTGACAGGCGAACAGGCTTTCTGCAAACGTTGTTTCCGCTGCAGGAACTGTAAGAAGGAAATCGACAATCTACGCTATGCACGAACCTCCCAGGGTATTTTCTGCATGGATTGTCACGAGTCCTTGATGCAACGACGCAGAAAAAGAAACCGTGTCGCCGCTGCTGCCAACAAGAAACAACCCGGGGTCAAGTTGGATAAGTCCTTGCCGTCTCTACCCCCAGAAGAGGAGACCCACTCCCGGCCGGCCGACGATCCCGCCGCCGATGCCTATGCGGATGCTACGACCGAGGTCGCGTCCCGCGGAGCGGCGCCTGCACTCGATAGTGCGAAATTCGACGATTCTACCCCACGTCAATCCCCCAACGATGGTGAGTTCCCCCCACCTACCCCCATTGTCTTACCGTCTTAATTCTAATTGACATGCCGTAGACAACCTTATCCTCCCCTCGAGCACGTATCGCAGCAATCGCAATTCGAGCATCCCCCACGAACAATCAGAAGCCGATGGTGGTGGCGAATTTCTTATACCTCTCGCATTCGACCCGGACGAGGATAAACGCGTTTCTGCTCGCACGCAGCCCCCCGTTCCCAGTCATGGTTCAGAATCTCAGCAGTCGTCCAGAGACGGTCTGGAACCACCAATCTCGTCGGAGACCGCGTCCCCTCACATCGCCTACCAAGAGAAAGGACGCGAGCCCGCGGTTCTGGAACCGGTCCGCTATCGCCCGGAAGAGGTGGGAACACCAGACTCATCTCCTGCGGCCCGGCAGCATGTTACCAAGCCATCTCGATCAGGATCGGTCCTGAGCGCCCAGTCTGACATCCCTATGCATATGCGAGAGACCAGCTCCTTTTCGACTCCCAGTCCCGAAAGCACCAGGTCTTCTGCACTTCATACCCGGGATAGTTCAACTTTCGACTCGCAGCGTTCGGAAACCACGGCCACCATTCCTTCTCGTCCGTCTCACGAACTTCACAAGCTGCATGAAAACAACTCCGTGGACTCGTCACG